TCAGTTCCAGATAGATACCAAAACATTGCACTAGTTAAGCAGTTTTTTGACAGTATAGTTTGAGAAATGTGAATAGCACAATATCACAAATGTATTATGACCAGCCCTTATTGATTAAAGTGACCATTATTCTATTTTCTGCTCTGTATGTTTCCTCATCAAAAACATACCTTGGATATTTTGTTTCATTCACACATGTTTGACACACTAACCCTGAATATTTAGACTGAGATCTTCTCTCAGACAGAAAACACTACATTCCCCCTTGTGATGTCATTTGGTAATAGAAAGTGTTCCAGTGTGCTCCACTGTGTTTTTAAACTCCACACCTTCACTAGAATAATTAGATTGATTTCAGCCCTGGAATTGCAAATCTCTACTGAACTAAATGTAAAAGGAGTTAAAATGTTAACTTAAAAACCTTCATGACATCACAAGGTAGAAAAGAGCATTTTGAGCTTTGGAGATATGGATAGACTAATGATATAGAATGCAACTTGCAAGCATGTGTGTATAAAACAAAGTACAACTCCAGGTATGTTTTTGATGATGTTAGAAGATTCTAACATGGCTTGAAGCTCACACGAATCAATTTCACTTAATATAGGACCTTTAATCAAATAACCTTGACATCCCTGGTAATGAGCATCATTTAGAGGAACCAATGATAATAAAAAATGTGTTATGTGTAATTAACATAACCATCTTGAATATTGGGATTTGTCTCATGCACTGCAGCCATTTGTGCCACCAACACAACAAAGCAAGATCTCCAATGGTCTGACTAATTGATGCAGAGGGATTCATTATGCACTTCTCATATGCGCAGCCGGTGGTCTGACCATAACCTTGCATCACCTATAGCCTACATTTCAGAAAACAGAGCTGTAGGATAAAAAAAAAAATGAAATTAATCTGTAAAATGTTGTTACTCAATCTCAATCCTCTGCATCCTCTTTTCACACAATGACATACAGTCTTTCTCTACAAGTTAAGATAAAATACAGTGTTTTTTTAATTTTTATTATTTGGTATCATGTTTTTAGTTTTCAAGAATGTATTGATGGGCTGAATACTTTTGTGGTTTATGAAATCACATTTTTGTCAATAAATTAAAAATAAATCAATCATTCAGTCTTCCACCCCCAAAAACGTCTATATCAACATCTTAGAATAGCACATACTGATGAAGTGCAAAAAATCTATATGTTCATGTATTTTTCTATTGCTGTTGCCTCCCCAGTGCCCTGTCTTCATTATCAGGTCCTCATCACCTCTGCGTTAGGTGATAAGGTTGTGTGAGATAGGCTGCACTGTGGCCCAATCCATGCTAAGTGGGTTAGGGGGCTAAATCTTCAGCTCTCCAGGGGCAGAACTCTATCTCTCCTCGTGTGTGCGTCTCATCTACTCCCTCCAAAACCAAGTGTCTCACTCACCAATAACATCCACCTCTGCGCTCCTCTCTGCTGTACTCGCCTCCGCTCACTGCCTGCCCAGATCTGTCCTGGCTGCATATTTGTGTCTTTGTTATCGAGTGACCAAAATACCTCCATATAGGGTGGGTCAATAAGACAATTAAAGGTTGTATTGTCTTAAAAATATAACAGTCAGAAGTAATGTAATAGAATTTTTTGCAGTGGTCTAAACGTATTCCTGTCATTCTCATTATTCACTTTGATGACTTTATAAGTGCCTTTCTCAACTTTCAGAGCCTAAAAGCCTTACTTCATGAGTGGTTGACTGAGGTTGGGACCTTTGTTGTTTTATTACTGTATTATTTCATTTATTTTATCATCATTAATACAATTATATATATATATATATATATATATATATATATATATATATATATATATATATATATATATATATTATATATATATATATATATATATATATATATATATATATATATATTTATATTATATAATCTGGTAAATTGTGACAGTATGCTATTTTGATGAAGACTGAGTATCATGATTCTTTTCCCCACCCACTCCTCCTATTGTTCCGTCTCCTTCATATCCTAAATGAGTGACAGACGCATTTATCCAATCACAGTGAAGTGTGACCTTTAGTTATTTGTACCAAAAGAATCAAAATTGTTATCAAGGCTCTGAAAAACGATTTAAAATTTCAGCTATGTTGCCCACCCCTATCTGTGAAGTACAACTAACACATAGTCTTAAAAATAGTTATTTAGGCTATTGTTTCTTCCAGGCAGCTTAACTAAAACCCCATCCCAGCTGCGATTTGCACCATGACTCACCAAACTTGATGTGGAACTTTGTGACAGATGACATAGCCCCACTTGACAGTCACAGTGAAGCATAGCCTTATTCAAATTAGACTGGAGATTTATTTCAGCAAGGCAAAGGCAGCGTTCACAGCTACCTGATAGGAGTAATGATTGTTCAGATGCAAAGGAATAATTGAAATGATGATGTGAGGCTAGTTATGATAAGAATGCTTAGCAAAGCGGTTTGAGTCATCAGTGACTCCATTAATGTACCTGTTCAGATGTGATGGTAAAAGTGTGTATCATCATGAGATAATTTACTTTATACCAGAAATGTTGTGGGAAGACTGTTATTAAAATCTGTGCTGTGTACAGGAAAACCAATTCAGGACAGCTCAGACTGCCAATACAGCTTGTTCTGTTTGAAGAAGACCTATTGTACTTGAGTTTGCTATATAGTTAGAATCTATGACACCAGTGGGTCATTATGCTATAATTGTATAATTTGCACATTTTGAATTGCAATATTCATTTAAAACGACTCAATAAAAGAAATAGGTCAGCTGACTTCCCCATTCGAAAACTGCGATTCCCAATGGGAACTGATGTTGCCGTAAACCTTGCCACAACAGAGAGCCATGCAGCTGATGACATCTCCTATGGATAGCTATGGATCACACTAGCGAATAGCAGATTTAAATTTAAAAAAAATAATTTTTACCAAAATGACTACACACCCCTGCCAAATCCTAGGTGTATCATTGACTAAGCAATATGGCATCTTGAAATCTTGAAAAAGCGATTAAAAATCACTCAAACATGCACAAATCAGTCCAAATACATCTTTGAGAGGGTAAATGAGAAGAGGAAACAGCTGTAACATAGTTAAAAGCTCTGAAAAGTCTATTTTGCGTAATAGATCTGCTTTAAAATGTCTAACAACATCTATAAGATGATGGGAGACTGACCGACTCATTTTTAATTCCCTTTCAAGACACTCTAGATCTATGCACTTTTTCAGTTCAGTTCAAGTTCAAACCTCAGCTATACTTTACTTAAACTTGTTTTAATTTTGGTTTATTTGATTAGATTTTAAAAATGTTGTACTCATTCCAAATTCACACTCATCTTGTTTTGGTTCTAGATGTTTGGCAGCACTTTAACTGTGATATAGACTAGGGGTGGGCAATATGACAAAAAAAAGAATATCACTTGGAGTTGGATCATGATTGATTTCTAGTATATCACAATTCATAGGCTTGTTATGTTTCGATAACCTTTTAAGAGGCAGGTAAACTGATCTGCTTCTTCTCACTTCATGGTGGTTGATTATATCTAGATGTCACTCACTAAGAGTCTTACAGGGGCTGACCTATAGGAGGAGAGGATCTTTGTTTGACGGTAGAGCTGTACTAAACAGAAAAATATTGAATCACAAAAGATGGTCTCAGGTTTGAGATCACGATTCGATTTTTAGCACCATATTGCCAAGCCCTAATATAAACTTGGTTTGATCCTGTTCTAGTCCAGGTCTAGTTTTGGTATAGTTCTGGTTTATTCCAAGTTTAGTTCCAGTTTTGATGTGGTGCATGAGAAGGTGTGAAAGCTGCCAAACACCCATAGATCTGCTACCTGATCTCATACCACTTTCTATAAACAACACATCACTGCCAGCTTTGCCACGCTCTTGTACAATCCAGAAGTTCAAATAATTAATAGCAGTGCATATCCAGAGCTGTATATCAAGCATACAATAGCCAAATAAGCCCCATTATAGAAGAAAGTGTCCTATACCTTCGAGCACATTAACCATTCGCACCCCTCTCTCATACTCCCATGCAGCCTATAAAGCTATAAAAACCTACAACAGTTTTCAAATTGGCCAACATACAGAAATCATACAAACAATCATGTCAACATTATTCACACTAACCAAATGTCATAAATGTAACATAATTTTTCACAAAAGGTCTGTAAAAATATAATTACCCCAACAGAAGTCAACTCTGACACCTCACATATTGAAACTCATGGAATGCTCAAATGTTAGATGCACTGTACCATGCAGTGCTCTTCATATTCCAGGACTAGCCTGAGTGACCAGGGGGAATTTGTGTATGAAAAATGACTGCAAGATACTGGTCAATTTCTAAGCTGCTGCTGGGGTTACTAAAGAGCTGTGAGGCACACCTGGATATGGGGAATATCTGTGAATATCAGGGCTGGAATAAGAAATGATCTGTAGCACTACCAATTTGCAATTATGAGATGAGACATTTTGTATTTGGAAGCAAGGCCAAATCAAATATTAAGGGCAAACCTTGTACAGCTGAAAAGCACATTTTATATGAATAGAAAAATCTTGTACACGCATTTTTAAAGCATTTTTTTAAAATTTTTAAGTAAAACATATTCTCCAATTTCGAATTGAGAACTGATACTGTCCGAGATGATAATAAAATGTCATTGTGTTCAACCAAATCTCTAAAACTTCCAGTTTTAAGGCCAAATTCCAATATTTATTTTTGCATTCTGTAAATATTTGCTACATCCTTGTTATAAATAATATAAGTATCTTCATGATATTATTAACAATATAGTAATGGTCTAGTAATGTGATCAAATGTTTCTTAGTATTTGTTTTTATACCTAAATGCTGTACTTTTTAGGTTTTTAGATTATAGTGCACACAGTATTGTCCACAAACCTTATAGACTGTCTCTAATGTGACTGGTGCCCATAGAGTAAAGAGCATGCTTACCTCAGTCAGGTGGGGGTTGGGGTTGAAGCCGCACTGGTTACACACCAGAGAGCGACACTGCGTGCAGGTGTTGGCGCTGGGCTTGTTGCCCATCAGGTCTGTGGTCTTGCAGACTGGGCACAGTTTGCTGCTGGGCATGGGAGCGATTTGAGGCACAGAGTAGGGGGAGGAGGGGGCGCTGCGGTCAGGGGACACTGAGGGGGACCTCCCTGTCCTGCTGCTGGCTGAGTCCACCTGTAGAGTCATCCGGGACTTCTGGTCAGTCCCATGTGAGGCCAGTCTGTCCCCGGTCCCCTGGTGGTCACTTTGAAGGGCAGCTTTTGGCCCAGGATCTGACGGTGGAGCTCTATAAAGATCAAACCAGGAGAAGACAGAGATTAAAGCTAGACAGTGTAAGTTTTGGTTCAAGAGTTTTATAGGAAATATTTTGATAATACAATGGTTAATTTTTAGCACTGGGGATGCTATGTACAAGGTCTTTTATAAGTTCAGAATTTTATCAGACAATCAGACAATAAGTTGCTATAACAGGTAGGTTAATGCTTTAGATTCATCTTTTTTCACACACATACACACACACCCAGACACACACACATATACAGAGCACAGTAACATTATGGAGGTGGCATGTTACCTGCATGATTCCATGGAAATAGTTCAAACCATATTTTGGAAAATACTGTGGAAGATTATAGACATTTCCATGGAAACAAGTTGGCCAAATAAAGAGTCACGTTTGTGGAGATCCAAACCTGAGTAAGAAAACATGTTTTTCAAAAATTTTTCAGTGCAGTATGCTTGTATTATAGTTTATTTTTGGCTAAAAGGCTTCATACTCTGCCTTTATAATGAGACTTTTCTTTTACATTTTGACTTAGAATGATTAAACTAACACTAACCATGGTCTGGATGTATTAAAAAAAAAAAATCCAGAATTGCATATATTAACTTAAATCGGAAAATAAGGTATTGAGAAAATAAGTTGGAACAAGTGTGCGTAGAGAACATTAGTGATTCAAGGCTCCTCTGTTGCGCTCATAAGATTAGTTTTACCACTGCAGTAAACATATTATGCAGCCTCTATACGTAATGCACAATACATTTAGTTGAATGGGCTTTAGAGTTTGGGCTATTACAAATTACATCTCTATATAGGAACTTTTTATTAAAAAAGAAAAAATGCAATGGGAGAATACGTAGGTGCTCATAGTGTGATATCAGACTACTCAAAACATTGGCTAACAGAGACAAATGCTGAATATTTTATATAGCCTCTATCAGTTTTCTCTGAGCGAGGCTGCTTTTCATTCTTTGAAGCTGTTCTGACCACATCTATGATTCCAGGGAAGAACAAAGAACCCAGATCAGACGATATTTACAAACATTTTAGTCAAATTTGGGCTCTGAACACCTGTGTCAATTGAAACTCCACACAGGTCTTGTTTTTGTTTCGGTGTTGACATTCAAAAGCACCTCCACCTGTGCGCTCAAGTGAAACAAATGTAACAAATGTAAATAGCGCATGGAGCTATTGTGAGTCATTGCAGATAACTGGGGCTGCTCCACACCTGCATCTCTGCTTGACTCTCTGCACGATGCCTTTATGTGCTACAAGGAAAAAACTGCACTTTTCAAACCACGACTGGCACATGAGACGGTCCACACTGTCCCAGTGATGTGAGAACTGACAGATCAGAGGACAGTCGGAAAATTGGGAAAATGTCACAGCACGATAATTACTTAGTAAAAGAAGGAATTTAAAAACTATGAACAAACTGGATAGCTGTTATGTTTTGTATTATTATAGTATAGATATATGGTAATATATATGGGAATGCAGTTTCTCTTTTCCTCAACATACAGCGTTTGTATGTAACCAATGAACAGATAATAAATGGGCCCAGTCAAGCAGAAGTATACAGCAAAGCCAAAAATTCAAGTTAATGCATCTGATATAAAAATGTATTCAACAGATGGCATATGTACTCTAGTTTATGAAACTGTTTACTGTTTATTTTAAACATACCATGTATGCAACATGGAACAAAAATGATTTCCCAAATTTCAAAGACCTTCAAATCATGTAAATAAATTGATGTATTTCATCATATCTTGTGTTATTCGATCTTTGAACTGTTGATGAAGGTGCATGATTTTTCAAAAGAAATGTATTTAAAATGATAAAAATTTGTTTGGAAGAACTGACATATTTTATAGAAATAGTTCCCTTTCATTTTGAAGTAATATTAAAGTATTCAGAAGAAAAAAGCTGACAAATTATGCAAAATCATGCACCTTCTACTTGCTTGTACAATTTCCCCTCCGTTACTTTTCCCTCTGTTACACATGACCTTTGTTAATAAAAAATCTCATTACTCAAAAAGTAAGAGGTTTTTCAACCTAATCTTGTACCATATGGTAGAAAACTATATTAAGCAAATATTCAAACCAGTTTGTTAAGGATATGTAAGTGAGAACCGCTAGTTATCTCTGTTTGTATTTATTGCCCAAAAAGTGCTGCATATTTCATTCCCTCCGTTATCGACATGAGTTTTTTAATTTTTTTATCAACAACTTGAAAGAATATCACAGGTTTAACTTTACCCTGTTGGAGTGTTAACTCTTTCCTACATTCTGATACTTTAGTTATTTCAATAGTTCCTCTAGTTTCTGAATAAGAGCTATTTGAATGTAAAAAATCTGCCCCTGTTTCCCTCCGTTACCGCTTGACCGGACCCAAATGTTGTAAGAGACATAATAAATATCTGCAAGAATGAAATAATGGTACCAATGGTAAGAATTAAGAAGTACAAAATGATCGATGTAGTACCGGGTAACTGTACTGAATATTGAGTCTTTTAAGTTCGAATTTTTTGCACTGTGACAACACTAATATAGCACAGTATATAACACAGTATATAAATAAAATGTTATGATTTATGTTACTTCAATTAGTTATTCCAATAAATGCAGTTGTCAAAGCAGAATTATTCATAACATCTCTGCAGAAAGTCGCTCTAAGTCAAAATATGACATAAATCTATACATTATAATTAAAAATATACATTCATTTCATACACTGTAGAGAGTAATGCAGAGGGCAGCCTAAATACTTGGGATAGCTGACAATTGCGTTTGGAATGTGCCCCTTAGTATAGAAAAAGAGACCCGATCTCCAGGGATGTATGGCTTTAATGGAGATGCTATATGTTTCTCTGTATTGATTGAACTGTTGTCCACTGGAAATGAAACTGGGATTGCAGTGAAAGTGATCCGACTGCTTCCGTTTGAAAGGTCAGGGTTTGGATCAGGCTTTCACATGCACCATTTGTTCTTAATGCTGGTTGTTTGAAAACATCTGCTGCTAAAATTGCATTACTTCGTCAAAAGAATGTTATAAAAACTTTTGATAATTTGTGTCTTATGAGTACACTCAACAGAGGATATTTGATATGTAGCATTACCTGTGCAGGAAGTATAGTTGTAGTATTTCAAGCAGAGCGGGTAAAATAAAATGTATGAATAAACTTGTTGTTTTGAAGATGCAGAAGTGTCCAAATTACAGTGGATTTACTGAACATCAAGACATTTACAGATGGTTTTAGGCAAGCACACCTCTAATAGATTACAAAGGCATAAACCATGCCCTGTTATCGTTATTTCTAGTAACAATTTTGTTGACACTTTTTATTTTTTACTGCATAAATGTACCAATATAATTACTGGGAAAAGGGGATAGAGGTTAAAATGTCATGTTTTTAATTGCAAAAAGAATATTTAAATTTTAACAGGGTCAAACTGAACTGTGTCCTGTGGTTCTGATTATGAGACAAGAGCCTTTATGTGGAGACTTGATTTTTTATTACTTTCTGTAAAAAAAATCACAAGAATTTTATCTGAATCACTCAAATGGCTTAAAAGCTATTACTGCTTCAAAACTGTTTTAATGGCAATCTAGTCTCTATAGAGATGTTACTGACACATAGCATCAAAATTAAACAATAAAAAGTTCACTGGAGAGAGTGTAGATTTTTCCAAGGTATTTTTAGCTATCAAAGCACAAAAAAATTTCAAAATACAATAAAATGTTTAATGTCATACCATGGAACATTCTAAGCATACGTCTTTATGGTGACTAGCAGGTTGCTGCCCCTGCACCGGAAATGTTACACAGTGTACCTTCAGTTTTGATGATAAAAACACTGACCTGAACAATATCACTTAAGAATTGCCTGTGATGGAACAGGAGCAGAGGTGTCATCACACATGGAGCTGTCTCATTTCAACAAGCAACAGATCACAAACACACTGGGACTAAACTTGCATTGAATAAAACAGAAAATGAGTTGTAGGGAGTTCCAACTTTAAAGCATGTAATGCACATTAGGAACGTCACTCCAAGATAGATGCATTTGAATAAACCATTTAAAATGTGACAGAGGGTAAACAGCTAGGCTCTGATTTATGGTCATCATCTTGCTGTCATCTGCTTTGACTGGAACAATTGCAGTCCTAAATCTTTAAACAAAATGGAACTGCATTGTTTATGGTTGTTTGATACAAGCATACAATTAATAAAACATTTGTGTCCAAGACAAGACAATAAACTGCAAAATTATGCCTGTTTTCTCCCAAAAGTACTGAGATGCTATTACTCAAAACAGTACAAGAGATATTGTAGTAATCTAAAACGACTTTGTACATCCCCCCTCTCAGGATTTAAGTCGACTTTCACTACATCCATAAATCTCCTCTTTGGGCTTCCCCCACCTCGCAGCTCTTACAGTATTTACTATCACTCTCCTTCAGTATCAAAAGTATATCAATGTGGCTCCTTTGACTTCATCTCCAAAACATCTAAAGAGAGGAGAGCTGTACCAGTGATGTACTTTAATATCCAGCAGACTAAATGATACACTGCAAATGAATAGAAATGGCAAGTTGGCATTTATTATATCACAGTTCCTGAAATTATTTATATAATAGGTTGTTCTTTGTAAGGAACAAAATATTCTGTCTTTTTATTAAATCTTATACTGCTGTTTAAATCTCTATTTGCAATTTACCTTTACTTAAGTCGTGTTATAATGTTACTTCATCAAAAACATACCTGGAGTTGTGTTTTGTTTTATTCACACGTGTGAGTAACTCTTTATTGTTAGTTTATCGACATCTCCAAAGCTCAGAATGCTCTGTTCCACCTTGTGATGTCATGAAGTGGTAGTTTTCAAGTTAAGGCAATTCCAGGACTGAATTTACCCAAATGATTCTAGTGAAGATGTATCGAGTTTAAAAACACACTAGAGCACTTTCTGTTTTACCACATGACATCACAAGGTGGAAAAGAGTATTTTCAGTTTGAAAGAAGAACAGAAGATTATGCTGGGGTTGTGTGTTAAACATGTGTGAATGAAACAAAACACAACTCCAGGTATGTTTGTGATGAGGAAACAACATTATAACAATACTCAGAAAATAGCTTAATATGGGCTCTTTAACACAGTAATATCAGCAGCTCTAACAGAAAATCACAAAGTCTGCAACATACATTTCTCCCCTGCCTTCTCCCATCAGGCATAGAACAACATGATATAAGACAGCAAATAAGATTACAAAAATGGTGAGATCTAAAACTCTCTCTTTAAAGGTGAAATGCAATGCATGTGTAATAGCTTGTAAACTTGAAATCTGTTCTTTAGCGTGACCCTTGACTATATTCAGCCCTCATGTCAGGCTATAAATAAAGGATGGCGTTCTGCTGGAGCTGAGATAGATTTTGTACGTATGTGTTGTGCTTGTGTTTTGTATGTATGTGTTGAGCTTGTGCTGATAGATGCTTTCCTTGCTGCAGATGAATAAAATATGCACCCATGCTGTTTCTCACCGTACATGATTTTACTGTTGTGACATTATGAACTCATAGGATAGATCGTCATTGAAAACAAATCTGGAATAACAAGGGTTTGTATTTGTACTGAACATGTGCTAGAGATTAGAAGACCTATTTTGTACATACAGATTTAGATTACAAAATAGTACTATGCATTTGATGATACTATAATTAGCTTAATACAGCTTCTTAATGGTATAATACTGTATTAATGGATGTCTTTTTTTTTTTCATTTAAGACAAGCCCCTGTATTGAAAAGCTACTAATTGTCACTGGTTCTTTCAACCGCTTTTGAGAGAAAAAATTATAAACTGAATCATGGCATGGCTTTGAAAGGGTATGAATCAAGAGTCATTAAACCATTTATTTAGTATTTTTAGTTAAATCAAATCTTTTCATCCTTTTGTTGAGGTTGTAGCCTATTCTCCAAGCTGAGATAAGGCCTAAACTGACAGACTTCCATTCACTTTCACATTCATTACAGGCAATTTAGATTCACCAGGGCATGCATGTCGCACACACCACTCAAGGATACCCTCAACCCCTTGCTAAATAAAAGATCTTATAGTGGCCTATTCATTATAGTGGCTACTGCTGGTGGGCTTTTAAAGTATACACTATCAATAGACCACATGATGGACACTCTCAAACAGCAAAGATGGCCGCCCCAAGCAATGTAGACTTACAGTGTTGAAAGGTTGACATAGGTTATCAACTAAATTATCACATTTAATTCATTTGAGACAAAGGAAGTATCTTTGATGATGTATTTTATTAGAGGATTTTCATTATGTTACTGAATAGAGAGGTACAGCATCAGGTGTGGTACAGATGTGTGAATGTCATACTCAAGATATCAAATCAGTAATTCTGCCATACACACAAACCCTCACTAGTTTATCACAACTTGCTCATATGTTACATAGACTATAGTAATATTCTTGGGATTTGCTGATGATGTCAGCCAAAGAGACATTATCATATAAAGATGAGTAGGATATTAAATTAATTTTNTTTCGATAACCTTTTAAGAGGCAGGTAAACTGATCTGCTTCTTCTCACTTCATGGTGGTTGATTATATCTAGATGTCACTCACTAAGAGTCTTACAGGGGCTGACCTATAGGAGGAGGAGAGGATCTTTGTTTGACGGTAGAGCTGTACTAAACAGAAAAATATTGAATCACAAAAGATGGTCTCAGGTTTGAGATCACGATTCGATTTTTAGCACCATATTGCCAAGCCCTAATATAAACTTGGTTTGATCCTGTTCTAGTCCAGGTCTAGTTTTGGTATAGTTCTGGTTTATTCCAAGTTTAGTTCCAGTTTTGATGTGGTGCATGAGAAGGTGTGAAAGCTGCCAAACACCCATAGATCTGCTACCTGATCTCATACCACTTTCTATAAACAACACATCACTGCCAGCTTTGCCACGCTCTTGTACAATCCAGAAGTTCAAATAATTAATAGCAGTGCATATCCAGAGCTGTATATCAAGCATACAATAGCCAAATAAGCCCCATTATAGAAGAAAGTGTCCTATACCTTCGAGCACATTAACCATTCGCACCCCTCTCTCATACTCCCATGCAGCCTATAAAGCTATAAAAACCTACAACAGTTTTCAAATTGGCCAACATACAGAAATCATACAAACAATCATGTCAACATTATTCACACTAACCAAATGTCATAAATGTAACATAATTTTTCACAAAAGGTCTGTAAAAATATAATTACCCCAACAGAAGTCAACTCTGACACCTCACATATTGAAACTCATGGAATGCTCAAATGTTAGATGCACTGTACCATGCAGTGCTCTTCATATTCCAGGACTAGCCTGAGTGACCAGGGGGAATTTGTGTATGAAAAATGACTGCAAGATACTGGTCAATTTCTAAGCTGCTGCTGGGGTTACTAAAGAGCTGTGAGGCACACCTGGGATATGGGGAATATCTGTGAATATCAGGGCTGGAATAAGAAATGATCTGTAGCACTACCAATTTGCAATTATGAGATGAGACATTTTGTATTTGGAAGCAAGGCCAAATCAAATATTAAGGGCAAACCTTGTACAGCTGAAAAGCACATTTTATATGAATAGAAAAATCTTGTACACGCATTTTTAAAGCATTTTTAAAATTTTTAAGTAAAACATATTCTCCAATTTCGAATTGAGAACTGATACTGTCCGAGATGATAATAAAATGTCATTGTGTTCAACCAAATCTCTAAAACTTCCAGTTTTAAGGCCAAATTCCAATATTTATTTTTGCATTCTGTAAATATTTGCTACATCCTTGTTATAAATAATATAAGTATCTTCATGATATTATTAACAATATAGTAATGGTCTAGTAATGTGATCAAATGTTTCTTAGTATTTGTTTTTATACCTAAATGCTGTACTTTTTAGGTTTTTAGATTATAGTGCACACAGTATTGTCCACAAACCTTATAGACTGTCTCTAATGTGACTGGTGCCCATAGAGTAAAGAGCATGCTTACCTCAGTCAGGTGGGGGTTGGGGTTGAAGCCGCACTGGTTACACACCAGAGAGCGACACTGCGTGCAGGTGTTGGCGCTGGGCTTGTTGCCCATCAGGTCTGTGGTCTTGCAGACTGGGCACAGTTTGCTGCTGGGCATGGGAGCGATTTGAGGCACAGAGTAGGGGGAGGAGGGGGCGCTGCGGTCAGGGGACACTGAGGGGGACCTCCCTGTCCTGCTGCTGGCTGAGTCCACCTGTAGAGTCATCCGGGACTTCTGGTCAGTCCCATGTGAGGCCAGTCTGTCCCCGGTCCCCTGGTGGTCACTTTGAAGGGCAGCTTTTGGCCCAGGATCTGACGGTGGAGCTCTATAAAGATCAAACCAGGAGAAGACAGAGATTAAAGCTAGACAGTGTAAGTTTTGGTTCAAGAGTTTTATAGGAAATATTTTGATAATACAATGGTTAATTTTTAGCACTGGGGATGCTATGTACAAGGTCTTTTATAAGTTCAGAATTTTATCAGACAATCAGACAATAAGTTGCTATAACAGGTAGGTTAATGCTTTAGATTCATCTTTTTTCACACACATACACACACACCCAGACACACACACATATACAGAGCACAGTAACATTATGGAGGTGGCATGTTACCTGCATGATTCCATGGAAATAGTTCAAACCATATTTTGGAAAATACTGTGGAAGATTATAGACATTTCCATGGAAACAAGTTGGCCAAATAAAGAGTCACGTTTGTGGAGATCCAAACCTGAGTAAGAAAACATGTTTTTCAAAAATTTTTCAGTGCAGTATGCTTGTATTATAGTTTATTTTTGGCTAAAAGGCTTCATACTCTGCCTTTATAATGAGACTTTTCTTTTACATTTTGACTTAGAATGATTAAACTAACACTAACCATGGTCTGGATGTATTAAAAAAAAAAAATCCAGAATTGCATATATTAACTTAAATCGGAAAATAAGGTATTGAGAAAATAAGTTGGAACAAGTGTGCGTAGAGAACATTAGTGATTCAAGGCTCCTCTGTTGCGCTCATAAGATTAGTTTTACCACTGCAGTAAACATATTATGCAGCCTCTATACGTAATGCACAATACATTTAGTTGAATGGGCTTTAGAGTTTGGGCTATTACAAATTACATCTCTATATAGGAACTTTTTATTAAAAAAGAAAAATGCAATGGGAGAATACGTAGGTGCTCATAGTGTGATATCAGACTACTCAAAACATTGGCTAACAGAGACAAATGCTGAATATTTTATATAGCCTCTATCAGTTTTCTCTGAGCGAGGCTGCTTTTCATTCTTTGAAGCTGTTCTGACCACATCTATGATTCCAGGGAAGAACAAAGAACCCAGATCAGACGATATTTACAAACATTTTAGTCAAATTTGGGCTCTGAACACCTGTGTCAATTGAAACTCCACACAGGTCTTGTTTTTGTTTCGGTGTTGACATTCAAAAGCACCTCCACCTGTGCGCTCAAGTGAAACAAATGTAACAAATGTAAATAGCGCATGGAGCTATTGTGAGTCATTGCAGATAACTGGGGCTGCTCCACACCTGCATCTCTGCTTGACTCTCTGCACGATGCCTTTATGTGCTACAAGGAAAAAACTGCACTTTTCAAACCACGACTGGCACATGAGACGGTCCACACTGTCCCAGTGATGTGAGAACTGACAGATCAGAGGACAGTCGGAAAATTGGGAAAATGTCACAGCACGATAATTACTTAGTAAAAGAAGGAATTTAAAAACTATGAACAAACTGGATAGCTGTTATGTTTTGTATTATTATAGTATAGATATATGGTAATATATATGGGAATGCAGTTTCTCTTTTCCTCAACATACAGCGTTTGTATGTAACCAATGAACAGATAATAAATGGGCCCAGTCAAGCAGAAGTATACAGCAAAGCCAAAAATTCAAGTTAATGCATCTGATATAAAAATGTATTCAACAGATGGCATATGTACTCTAGTTTATGAAACTGTTTACTGTTTATTTTAAACATACCATGTATGCAACATGGAACAAAAATGATTTCCCAAATTTCAAAGACCTTCAAATCATGTAAATAAATTGATGTATTTCATCATATCTTGTGTTATTCGATCTTTGAACTGTTGATGAAGGTGCATGATTTTTCAAAAGAAATGTATTTAAAATGATAAAAATTTGTTTGGAAGAACTGACATATTTTATAGAAATAGTTCCCTTTCATTTTGAAGTAATATTAAAGTATTCAGAAGAAAAAAGCTGACAAATTATGCAAAATCATGCACCTTCTACTTGCTTGTACAATTTCCCCTCCGTTACTTTTCCCTCTGTTACACATGACCTTTGTTAATAAAAAATCTCATTACTCAAAAAGTAAGAGGTTTTTCAACCTAATCTTTGTACCATATGGTAGAAAACTATATTAAGCAAATATTCAAACCAGTTTGTTAAGGATATGTAAGTGAGAACCGGTAGTTATCTCTGTTTGTATTTATTGCCCAAAAAGTGCTGCATATTTCATTCCCTCCGTTATCGACATGAGTTTTTTTAATTTTTTTTATCAACAACTTGAAAGAATATCACAGGTTTAACTTTACCCTGTTGGAGTGTTAACTCTTTCCTACATTCTGATACTTTAGTTATTTCAATAGTTCCTCTAGTTTCTGAATAAGAGCTATTTGAATGTAAAAAATCTGCCCCTGTTTCCCTCCGTTACCGCTTGACCGGACCCAAATGTTGTAAGAGACATAATAAATATCTGCAAGAATGAAATAATGGTACCAATGGTAAGAATTAAGAAGTACAAAATGATCGATGTAGTACCGGGTAACTGTACTGAATATTGAGTCTTTTAAGTTCGAATTTTTTGCACTGTGACAACACTAATATAGCACAGTATATAACACAGTATATAAATAAAATGTTATGATTTATGTTACTTCAATTAGTTATTCCAATAAATGCAGTTGTCAAAGCAGAATTATTCATAACATCTCTGCAGAAAGTCGCTCTAAGTCAAAATATGACATAAATCTATACATTATAATTAAAAATATACATTCATTTCATACACTGTAGAGAGTAATGCAGAGGGCAGCCTAAATACTTGGGATAGCTGACAATTGCGTTTGGAATGTGCCCCTTAGTATAGAAAAAGAGACCCGATCTCCAGGGATGTATGGCTTTAATGGAGATGCTATATGTTTCTCTGTATTGATTGAACTGTTGTCCACTGGAAATGAAACTGGGATTGCAGTGAAAGTGATCCGACTGCTTCCGTTTGAAAGGTCAGGGTTTGGATCAGGCTTTCACATGCACCATTTGTTCTTAATGCTGGTTGTTTGAAAACATCTGCTGCTAAAATTGCATTACTTCGTCAAAAGAATGTTATAAAAACTTTTGATAATTTGTGTCTTATGAGTACACTCAACAGAGGATATTTGATATGTAGCATTACCTGTGCAGGAAGTATAGTTGTAGTATTTCAAGCAGAGCGGGTAAAATAAAATGTATGAATAAACTTGTTGTTTTGAAGATGCAGAAGTGTCCAAATTACAGTGGATTTACTGAACATCAAGACATTTACAGATGGTTTTAGGCAAGCACACCTCTAATAGATTACAAAGGCATAAACCATGCCCTGTTATCGTTATTTCTAGTAACAATTTTGTTGACACTTTTTATTTTTTACTGCATAAATGTACCAATATAATTACTGGGAAAAGGGGATAGAGGTTAAAATGTCATGTTTTTAATTGCAAAAAGAATATTTAAATTTTAACAGGGTCAAACTGAACTGTGTCCTGTGGTTCTGATTATGAGACAAGAGCCTTTATGTGGAGACTTGATTTTTTATTACTTTCTGTAAAAAAAATCACAAGAATTTTATCTGAATCACTCAAATGGCTTAAAAGCTATTACTGCTTCAAAACTGTTTTAATGGCAATCTAGTCTCTATAGAGATGTTACTGACACATAGCAGCATCAAAATTAAACAATAAAAAAGTTCACTGGAGAGAGTGTAGATTTTTCCAAGGTATTTTTAGCTATCAAAGCACAAAAAAATTTCAAAATACAATAAAATGTTTAATGTCATACCATGGAACATTCTAAGCATACGTCTTTATGGTGACTAGCAGGTTGCTGCCCCTGCACCGGAAATGTTACACAGTGTACCTTCAGTTTTGATGATAAAAACACTGACCTGAACAATATCACTTAAGAATTGCCTGTGATGGAACAGGAGCAGAGGTGTCATCACACATGGAGCTGTCTCATTTCAACAAGCAGCAGATCACAAACACACTGGGACTAAACTTGCATTGAATAAAACAGAAAATGAGTTGTAGGGAGTTCCAACTTTAAAGCATGTAATGCACATTAGGAACGTCACTCCAAGATAGATGCATTTGAATAAACCATTTAAAATGTGACAGAGGGTAAACAGCTAGGCTCTGATTTATGGTCATCATCTTGCTGTCATCTGCTTTGACTGGAACAATTGCAGTCCTAAATCTTTAAACAAAATGGAACTGCATTGTTTATGGTTGTTTGATACAAGCATACAATTAATAAAACATTTGTGTCCAAGACAAGACAATAAACTGCAAAATTATGCCTGTTTTCTCCCAAAAAGTACTGAGATGCTATTACTCAAAACAGTACAAGAGATATTGTAGTAATCTAAAACGACTTTGTACATCCCCCCTCTCAGGATTTAAGTCGACTTTCACTACATCCATAAATCTCCTCTTTGGGCTTCCCCCACCTCGCAGCTCTTACAGTATTTACTATCACTCTCCTTCAGTATCAAAAGTATATCAATGTGGCTCCTTTGACTTCATCTCCAAAACATCTAAAGAGAGGAGAGCTGTACCAGTGATGTACTTTAATATCCAGCAGACTAAATGATACACTGCAAATGAATAGAAATGGCAAGTTGGCATTTATTATATCACAGTTCCTGAAATTATTTATATAATAGGTTGTTCTTTGTAAGGAACAAAATATTCTGTCTTTTTATTAAATCTTATACTGCTGTTTAAATCTCTATTTGCAATTTACCTTTACTTAAGTCGTGTTATAATGTTACTTCATCAAAAACATACCTGGAGTTGTGTTTTGTTTTATTCACACGTGTGAGTAACTCTTTATTGTTAGTTTATCGACATCTCCAAAGCTCAGAATGCTCTGTTCCACCTTGTGATGTCATGAAGTGGTAGTTTTCAAGTTAAGGCAATTCCAGGACTGAATTTACCCAAATGATTCTAGTGAAGATGTATCGAGTTTAAAAACACACTAGAGCACTTTCTGTTTTACCACATGACATCACAAGGTGGAAAAGAGTATTTTCAGTTTGAAAGAAGAACAGAAGATTATGCTGGGGTTGTGTGTTAAACATGTGTGAATGAAACAAAACACAACTCCAGGTATGTTTGTGATGAGGAAACAACATTATAACAATACTCAGAAAATAGCTTAATATGGGCTCTTTAACACAGTAATATCAGCAGCTCTAACAGAAAATCACAAAGTCTGCAACATACATTTCTCCCCTGCCTTCTCCCATCAGGCATAGAACAACATGATATAAGACAGCAAATAAGATTACAAAAATGGTGAGATCTAAAACTCTCTCTTTAAAGGTGAAATGCAATGCATGTGTAATAGCTTGTAAACTTGAAATCTGTTCTTTAGCGTGACCCTTGACTATATTCAGCCCTCATGTCAGGCTATAAATAAAGGATGGCGTTCTGCTGGAGCTGAGATAGATTTTGTACGTATGTGTTGTGCTTGTGTTTTGTATGTATGTGTTGAGCTTGTGCTGATAGATGCTTTCCTTGCTGCAGATGAATAAAATATGCACCCATGCTGTTTCTCACCGTACATGATTTTACTGTTGTGACATTATGAACTCATAGGATAGATCGTCATTGAAAACAAATCTGGAATAACAAGGGTTTGTATTTGTACTGAACATGTGCTAGAGATTAGAAGACCTATTTTGTACATACAGATTTAGATTACAAAATAGTACTATGCATTTGATGATACTATAATTAGCTTAATACAGCTTCTTAATGGTATAATACTGTATTAATGGATGTCTTTTTTTTTTCATTTAAGACAAGCCCCTGTATTGAAAAGCTACTAATTGTCACTGGTTCTTTCAACCGCTTTTGAGAGAAAAAATTATAAACTGAATCATGGCATGGCTTTGAAAGGGTATGAATCAAGAGTCATTAAACCATTTATTTAGTATTTTTAGTTAAATCAAATCTTTTCATCCTTTTGTTGAGGTTGTAGCCTATTCTCCAAGCTGAGATAAGGCCTAAACTGACAGACTTCCATTCACTTTCACATTCATTACAGGCAATTTAGATTCACCAGGGCATGCATGTCGCACACACCACTCAAGGATACCCTCAACCCCTTGCTAAATAAAAGATCTTATAGTGGCCTATTCATTATAGTGGCTACTGCTGGTGGGCTTTTAAAGTATACACTATCAATAGACCACATGATGGACACTCTCAAACAGCAAAGATGGCCGCCCCAAGCAATGTAGACTTACAGTGTTGAAAGGTTGACATAGGTTATCAACTAAATTATCACATTTAATTCATTTGAGACAAAGGAAGTATCTTTGATGATGTATTTTATTAGAGGATTTTCATTATGTTACTGAATAGAGAGGTACAGCATCAGGTGTGGTACAGATGTGTGAATGTCATACTCAAGATATCAAATCAGTAATTCTGCCATACACACAAACCCTCACTAGTTTATCACAACTTGCTCATATGTTACATAGACTATAGTAATATTCTTGGGATTTGCTGATGATGTCAGCCAAAGAGACATTATCATATAAAGATGAGTAGGATATTAAATTAATTTTAATTAAAGAAATTCCCTGAATATTGATTGGAACAGGTAGCCAATAAATAAGCTGTGGGATGGTGTAAATTCTCACAATGCACAGTGTTTGTCATCTTGGCTACACAGCCATCAGCAGACGCATCACTGGGATGGGGCTCTCACACAATCACTGAATTCAAACAGTCTGGCATGATGAAAGATAAGGACATAGGCTAATTGTAATATGGTACTACCCCTACCCACAGGCAGTCCATCCTGCATCAAGATTACAAGCTGCATCTAGGCTGGTCTTTTAGTCGAGTAAAAGGGTGCATCATGTCCATTCATGCTTTAGTGCTACCTTTGCGCACACACATTGTAACAAACGTGGAAATCCCTAGAAACGTTTGTAACCAACAACCCAGTCTTATTTATTATAATCCGCCGCGTATTACATTTGACTGCGACCTTGGTTGGTAAGGAATGAACAGTGGCTGCTACCTAGAAGCGATAATGGTGTCAAAAACGGCGAAAATTGTGTTGACAGGGATATTGAAATAAATAATTAAGCACCCATTCAAGTCTATCTCCACACAGCGGGGCGAGCCTCCTAACGCCGTACAGCTGAAGCTATAGCCGTGCTCCCTGAATGAACATAGGCGATTCTGTGTTTTGGAGCAAAAGCGTCCTATTGACAGAGCTACCTGTTAATCCCTGGGCCGGGTGCAGCCCCACTTCCTCCAGCTGGCGCTCCGTTACTGGGCTTGGTGAGCTGTCCAGAGTCCGCTGGTGCTGAAATGGAAGCCGGAGCCCCCGTTGAAGGCACGGCGGGCCCGGCTTGTCCCGCCTGTGCCTCCCCCTCCATGCTCGCCTCATTCCCCATCGTGTCGGGACGGTTCTCGATGCAGAGAAACGGTGTCGAAGATGGTTGTACGACGGTTATAAAAACTCAGATGACACTCAGCGTTTCCCCCCTTCCGCCATCATCGCTTACAATTCAGCATCCCGCACAGAGCACGCGCACTGAAGAGCTGAAGGAGCGCGCTGACGCACAGGGTGGGAACAGTACGTGCGCGCTCACAAACAAGCCTGGTTTATTTCAAGTCAAACAGCAATCCTCTCCAAGCCCCCTACAGCACCTAAATGCAGACCACTGGGACCTCACAGTTTCTTCTGTGGAACAGGCTACAGAGTGCCAAGTCAAATCATAGGCTATTAATTTTTGCCACTTTATCAGATTGTTGCCGTTTTATTACAGCAACGTGGTTAATTATGATTGTGACATATAAATGGCAATAATGATCATAAAGGCCTACTGTAAAAACAAGAGTATGATCTGAATAAACCATGAAACGCATGTGCTTCTGGAAATTAGTCTAGCCTGAGCGGTTAGTGAAGATCTCAATCAGCATTCAAGAGTACTGTTGGTTTAAGATGCATTGCTCTCCCTAGTGCACAAAAGGTGCCACAACAGCAATAAACACCTGGATGAAATAAATGATTGTTAAAATCATAAAACACCAACTTTTATAAACTGTAAAACAAAGACATGTTAAATTCTGAAAGGATTCCAATATGCTTTAATGCAGCATGAATTGTCATGAACAACAAAGAGCTCAAAAACCAGTGAGCCAAAGAACAGATACATATGTACAAAACATACAGCTGTACAGTGAAATTCACATCAGCTCACACCAATGTTAGAGTATGATGACATAACACAGCATACACCTGTTTTTTATCTTTTGGCTGAAATTTGAATAGGTCTTTCCTTTAAAAATATCTTACCAGTAACAAAATGATGCATCAGCGCTTTAAAAACTGATAGTGAATAATGCAATATTATATACATTTACCATAGTAATGTGGAAGGTACCAGTGAAGGACAACAGAATTACTAAAACATTGTAAATAAATGTCCTTCATTGGTACCTGTGAATAACTTGAACAAACATAAAAACATTTTACTTTAATAAGTATGTTGTAATTAAGATTTCACAAATTCACAAATGAAGGAGCATTGTCAATTTAAGAAAGTTATACCCATGCCGAAGGTCCTTTTCAAACAAACTGATAAGGAAAAGCCCAAGTTCATTATGAATAACATACGTGGAGCGTTGACAGAAGCCATCTTTTGTTACAGACTTACAGGACTGATCTTGGATATGTGTTGTTACTGTCTCTTGGCTTTGTAAGGACGAGAGCGTTTCCTTCGGTCAGGTTTTCTTTGTTTGTGCAAACGTCCAATACTCACTCCTTGCCGACGTCGCACTGAGATGTTCTGCTCCACAAGGCTAGCCAACATTCCTATGGAGGGCAATGAACATTCAAGATAATTCACATTAAATTGAATTTGCAGTATAAAATGGGCCACTACAAAAATCAATAGTCACATTTGTGGCAAGACTCATGAAAATCTAATACAAGAAAGCATGGTTAAATAATGTCATATTCAAACAAAGTATAGCGCCATAAAGCAGATCTTACCTTCTTGGGCCAGCATCGATATAAAGGTACAGATAAATTCATCATAATTATGAGTTCTCCTCTGGTCATCAATCTAAAATAAATATACATTACCTTTATAGATTTAATATTTTTACAGATACAGATATTGTAAGTAAAAAGTAGTCACTTTGTATTTCTTTCTCTTTTCAACTTCCTCCTTAAGGTACACCTCATAATTTGCTATGTCAGCCTCAACACACTTTAGCAGTGCAAGCAGCTCCTACAGTAAACACACAGCAAAATTATTTTATTTATATTCTACTTTGGGGTTGGTATATAAAGTACATAACTGTAAATAACTGTACATACTTTGGGAGAATATTTATCTCCGAGGGGCTTGGGGTCAGCAATTATCTCATTGAGGTTTTCCTGGCTGGGCTTCTCCTCAGTCTCCTCTTTGACTTCTTCTTCCTTTACCTCCACGGATGGACCCTCATCTGGAGCAATATCTTCTTTCTTTTCAATGTCAACAATGACTACCTGCTCATTATCTTTAATCTTCTTTGGAGTGCATAACTGCTTTGTAACATCTGCAGCCATATCCCCTAAAAGAAAAAATATATATAATAAAAAAGAAAAAATTTAAGAAGAAAAAATCTATATAGATATCTATAGATTTATATCTACATCTATCTATCTTTCTAACTAGATAGATATATAGATATAATAAGACACTTTGATCAGGTCATCCTAAATTATGTGCCTCTCCTCTCTAAAATAATGACCAAATGAATACACTGAAAAGCATGTAGCAGAAATTACCTAAAAAAATATAATCTATCTATGTATAGGTACAAGTAAAAATATAACGTCAAAACAATAACGTTAATGTTAAATATATGAAAATTTAAGTCAACATAATTATTGGGACTACCTTATCTTGTATACTGACCAGATGGTGGCAGGGCGTACATAACTCCATCCTCTTGTAGTTGCAACAGGGCGATGCTGACAGAAGGACCCAGGTCTCGTACAGCACGGTTATGTCTGGAGTCTAGCCTCAGCAGCTCATCTTCTCCAAAAAGCACACGTGACAAATGGGATGCAACTGGACTGGAGGGACGTGTGGCAGCTTGGGAGCGAGCAGGCGAACGCAGAGGGGAGTTAAAAGCGCTGCCAATCTCAGAGGCAGTGTCAGTACTTTCGCTTGGTGTTGGGGAAGGCTGAGAGGCGGATGTGATGGAGATGCCCCCAGTACGGCCTTCTGTGCGAACTGAAAGGGGTGTATTTAAAGCATCTTTCCTCTGGGCTTCTTTCTTTAGCTTTTCAGCCAAGACACTGAGGGCAATTTGGCTCTCCATTCCAGTTGTAACTCTTCCAGTTCTTGACCGGAGACTCTGCTTCCTTCTAAACCTACTGAAAAAGAAAAGGCATCATAAGGAATAGGAAAGGGCAGTCATTTTAACAGTTTTTAACTTTAGGGGAATGCAGACCTGTTGGGTGTGCTAGTAGAACCTGTAACTGCCTCTTCCTCATCTTCATAGTCATCTTCCTCATCAGAGTATGAGGGCTGTGGAGGGCCAGACACCCGAGTGCGACCAACTCCTGCCGCAAGGTCCTCTTCTTCCTGTGACACAAATATATGAATATCTGAAGTACAAAAGGTACGACAGAAGAATCAGAGCCACCTTAAACAGATGAATTTCCATTCTACCTGCATTGGAGACTTTGCGTAGTTGTGATTGTCAAGGAAAGCGGGCAGGCGTTGTACAATAGGGCATGGACTGGTCACTCCTCCTACAGGGGTGGCAGGTTTGGCCATGACTTTAGAACTTCCTGAAGGACTTAGGGCATTTTTGGCTTCATCTATTGATCCTAGACAAAAATTTAATTTTAAACAACAGCAATATATGCAAATTTATTAATTTATAGATGACGGTTACCTGATGCAGTTTGATCACCTCCTTGGGAGGCAGATGGCTCTTCATCAGCCTCTTTCTTGACTGTAGCTGCACATTCCTCAGAGGAAGCAGAGTCCTGCTGTTTCTTTTCATGAGCAGCTTCAGTCTGTGTTAGTTGGATCATCTAAAACAGAGATGGGCAATTATTTTTTCCATGGGGCCACATGAGAAACATGCAAAATACTTAACTCATTTCCGTATAATACAAATTGTATTTCTTTTTTTTTTAAAGTAGTAAATAGCATGGTTTTGACATGCTGGTAAGACTGGTAAGAGTTTATATTATGACTAAGCAATGAAAAAGTGAAGCTACCTTACAAAAAATATCATTTGAAAAAACACCTCTAAAATAAAAGCAATGCAGCTTTAGTCCATGCATGAGATAAAATGATAAAATATGTTTATTTTGTAATTCCAAATTATCTTAAAGGGGCCGGTCAGAGTCAATCAAAGGGCCGTGTGTGACGTGGAAGCTCTACAATGCCCAGGTCTGATTTAAAATGTTTACATTTTAATAATTTACATTAAAATGCAATATAACTATCAAGTACATGGTTAGTTGCATTAAAAGGCTATACTTAGAGTAGTCAAATTTGCATTTCTTCTCCAAGCACTAATCACAACCACACAGAAGCAACAAAACATTTGAGTTTTTTACCTTTTGTAACCCCTCCAGGACAGTCTGGCGATTCCGTTTAAGAATTTCAAGTTTGGACTCATATTTGATCCTGCGGTCAGGCACCACTGCCATCAGATTGAAGCGGATATCATGATATGGCTCACTGAATAAAAAATGCAGGACAGCATACTTTTGAGAATGACAGCACTGAAATTTGTGAAAAAGGCAATGAACAACAGTTAAGTGGTTTGGAGCTCACCCTGCAGTGGCCAGTCCAATCCTCTCCATGATAACTCGCCGTGCTTTATCAGTCCACTCCTCATCCTCTCCCCAGGGACCTAAAAAGTGTTTCAAAAAATAGATTCAACACAAAGTCTAAACATAGGTAATATTGATTTCTAAATAGCATTATTTCTTGCCATGGTCAATAGGGTATGCTTTGAGCCCATCCAGCTCAAACAGACGGTCTTTTATGGGCACATAGCTGACAAAGTGGAAGGCTTCCATGGTCCGCACTGTACTGATCCCATTTTGTTTCTCAGGCAGGTGTCTGGGCTCTGGCCTTTAAAATAAAACAATTATGTGAAAACTAAATATAAGATAAGCAGTGCATATTCTGAAAAAACAAAACAAAAAAAACTTAATTCTAAAAACCTTGCATGGCTGTTGTGTGCTCTGGCAAGCTCGGGGGCATTTCCTATTGCATACCCTTTGCTCTGAAAACAGTACAGACACTTTAATTGGAGTAAGAGACGTGAAATATTATTAAGAGAGATCTAGCAGGGCCTCACCTCTGGACTGAAGCCTTTTGTGAAAGCTTTTATGCGACTAAGGGTTGTTCCAAGCTCAACACCACTGCAGTTTAGAAGCACACTCAATAAAGCATGGGTGGCACATGAGTTAGGGATGAGCTGTTTGTAAGAATTGCAACCCATTAATAGAATATAATACGCTTCTTATCTTGCAATGAGACTGTACACATGTAAATAACATTTGCTTCTCACCTGATGAGCAAAGAACATGTCATTAACAATGTCTTCATCAATAACAGAAGTCTCATCGACCAAAGTGTTTACTTTTCTTCTTGAGCGTCGTTCCTCAATCCATTTGAACAAAAAGATAAAGCCATATACTGGACTGAGAATATCAAATCAATTTGTTGTAAGTAACATACAATGTAAAGATATCATTTAGATTCAAATGTAGACCAGAATTAGCCATAGTATTAATAGTAATAGGCTGTTAAAAAATCACAAACCTTTGACATTTGCTCTGAAGGTCGTATATTTCTTCTACTTGAACTCCCTTGACACCTAGTAAAACACAAAATTAATTTGAAAACGAAGGCAAATGCCATCCGCATAGTGCGCAATTTGCAACCCACCAAAATCCTCCACAAGTAGAGTGAACAACCCTAAAATTACAAGAGAATAATAACAAAATAAGTATGGGTAAACGTGCATGGGAGCAACAGGAGTGACCGAACAACAGAATTTTATTTTAGCCTAACAGTCTGTCCAACGGAGAATCATACGAAATTACTTGCAAACGATTTATTAGTAGTCATATTTCTAGTGCCTAACAATTTACAGCGGCTCCGTTCTGAGCTAGCGTTTGTTAGCTGAGGATACTTAAAATGTTATTTTCACCTGGATCACTCTCCAGCTCAAGCCACCCCTTATTCATTTTGAAAATTATATCCAATCGACTAGGATGTTTTCCAGTCCATGTCCAACAGAAGATTGATGACAATAATTAAGAATGCTGCATCCATTCAACAGCAGGCGAAACAGAGCTCAAGATAAACACAAAAGACCTAATTGGTCGCATACATGTTACGTCATCAATAGGAGACATGCTTGCACAAAAATACAACCACTGATTAACGGTAACACAGACAAACTAAGTGTACAGAGAAAGGGTATTTATTTCATTGCATTTACATAATATTGTTTCACAATGCACATCAGCGTTAGTGTGAAATCGTCAAAAAGGAGTTACCCTGGCTCACCCTACATACACGCTCTCTCAACCCTTTGCTACAAACATAAGTAAACATTATGCAGAATTTCTAAATACCGTATATTATGTGTTAGTTTACGAAAACTATTCTGTGCATATGCACTTTTTTTATATTTCTGAATCTAGTAATTTCGCTTCGTTCGTAACCGGAACACTTGGGGTTGCGCCAATTTTGGGGGGAGCATGTTTATCGTTGCACTGGAAAATTGGAATTTAGCTGCCTTTATCATTTTATTAACCTCGGTCCTGTTGGAATAAACTATGGTGTTCGTGTGCTCTCTTAGTGGGATTTCATAGAGACTGCAGTGTAGACGCATGTATGGTAAGCTTCAACAACATTCGGTTGTTTTGGTGTAACTAACGCACCGAAGACTAGCTAGCGTAGTAATTTGGGTTAGCGTTAGCTCGTATCTGCTACACATATATTATAATAGATGTGTATTTATAAAGAAATCCCATTATATCAACGGGACTCAATTAAAACCTATGTGTTTATGAATAATATTCTTGATACACAGATGTGCTTTAGAAAGCTCGTTTGTTATTATGGCAGTCATCAATGCAACGCTTGTACTTGCTGTATGTGCTAGTTAAAGGTGTTAGTGATAGTTAAGTTGTAACGTTACTGTAGTTTCACACATCAATGCACTAGTTGGTACACTGTACAACTTTCTTTGTCATTAACTTTTTTGATCTGAGCTGGACTGGCTAATAAGTTGCAAATAGAGAATGTGAAATTTACTATTAACCTCCATCCTCTCATGTCCTCAGCACTCCCAATGAAGATGTGTAGGTAATAGCCTCACAGCCCTGCAAGACACCATGTCTGAAGAGGCTCATTCAGAGAGTGACCTGGACACCAATCCCAACAGTGAAGAGGAGGATTTTGAAAATGAAGAAGAGGAAGAAAATGATGACATGGATGAGGATGAGGATGAAAATGATGGAGATGATGAGGATGATAGTGTTGGTAAGAGATAGAATTGAAAAAATGGTTTGTGTATTATATTATTATATTTTTGGTCTGATCTAATGATTGTGGCGTTGTTCAGAACGACCTGCAAGTTCTCACAGCCACCCAGAATCCTCTGAGTCACCCACATCTGAGCCTCCATCTCGGCCTCCTTCACAACCTCCATCGCAACCTCCATCACAGCCATCTTCACGGGCTCCCTCCAGACCTGGCTCCAGATGTCAACCCCCAAGCCCTGAAAACTCAAATAAGAACAAAACACCTTCTACCAAAACAAAGAAACCCAAGTCCTCAAGTAAGTCAAAATCTGCAAAGTCTCCAAAAAGCTCCAAGTCCACCAAGCGATCAAAGCCTTCCAACATGAGAAAAAACATCAGGTACATTTTTCTGATCTATGTATCTGATAGTGTTATCCTTTATAGATTTATTAATAGATTTATTTGTGTTTGAAGAAAACTATTGAAAGAAGACCAGCTTGAGGCTGGTACAAAGACTGCTCAACAGGAAGAGATGGAAAGACGAAAACGTCTGGAGCAGCAGAGGAAGGACTTTCCCACAGCAGCCCCAGTCCTGCCAGATTCTCAACTAGGTCACTCTCCACATATTGTCATTTGGAGTCCTATATCATGGCATTTTTGTTACACTTTCTACAATGTTAGTATGTTTCACATATTTATATCCTTCACTCTTCTCAGTTGAAACCACTGCAATATTAGGAGAAGTGTCTCAATTGGTTCCTGATCTTCTTAGCAAGGAAGATGTAATATGTTTGGATAGTAGTGGTGATGAAGACGAGAATTTGGAACAGAAGTTGCCTGTACTTGCTGTCAGAGATGGTGATTTTTGTTATGCATCTTATTTGTGGTTTGTGCTGTATAAGGCCCTTTCTCTAAAGTCTAATGGAGCCTTGTGTCATAGATGTAATAGAACTGAGTTCTGGGGATGAAGATGCTCTACAGATCAGCAGTGAGTCTGCTGAGGAGGATGCAGATGCTGCTGGTTCAGAGGAGAGCAGTGGAGCTCACATCAACGATGCACTGAACTTACCTGATGCACAAGGGCGGGTCCTGGTCAACATTAATCACCCTGCAGAAGAAAAAGACATTTTTCTTGCTCCACAACTTGCAAGGGCTGTCAAACCACATCAGGTATTGTTGATGTTTTGACAATGACAGTATTTTTTTCTTGCTTTTTGTTCTCTACTGAATTTTTACTTTTCACATTTTAGATTGGGGGTATCCGATTTCTTTATGATAACCTAATTGAATCTCTGGAACGGTATAAAACTAGCAGTGGCTTTGGCTGCATCCTTGCTCACAGTATGGGACTGGGAAAGACTCTGCAGGTCATTTCGTTTATTGACATTTTGCTGAAGAATACTGAGGCTCACACTGTACTGGCCATCGTCCCTGTAAGTGCAGCCATACGCATTTCTTCTTTTTCCCCCTCTTTATTGCTGTTAAATAACTGTATTTGTAATGACATGTTTGTCCTTGTTCTAGGTGAACACGCTTCAGAACTGGCTGTCAGAGTTCAACCTATGGCTCCCCCCTCAAGAGGCCCTTAGTCCTGACACTGATCCTGCAATTTTTACTGGTCGATCTTTCAAAGTTCACATTTTAAATGATGAGCACAAGTAAGCATTGCTGTTTTTGCTTTATGGTCCTTTATATGATTGTTTTTATTACATATAAATCATACTTTTACTCTTCAGAACAACCGTTGCAAGGGCCAAAGTTGTAGAAGAGTGGTCAAAAGATGGAGGAGTATTACTCATGGGTTATGAGATGTACCGACTTTTGTCTATGAAAAAGAGTTTTGTGATGGGAAAGAAGAGGAAGTCAAAGAAGCCTGTGGGCCCAATCATCATTGATTTGGATGAGGAAGACAGACAACAAGAGCTGATGAAAAGTCAGTACTCTCGCTATCCTTTTATATAACTTGATCCCTTTCCTGATTCTACCTGTTGTTCCTTTTAGGTATTGAAAAGGCAATTGCGCGACCTGGCCCAGATGTGGTGATATGTGATGAGGGACATAGAATCAAGAATTACCATGCAAGCACTTCACAAGCGCTTAAAAACATCAGGTCGCGCCGGAGAGTAGTTCTGACTGGATATCCACTGCAGAACAACCTCATTGAGTACTGGTGCATGGTGGACTTTGTCAGGCCAGACTTTTTGGGCACACGGCAGGAATTCAGCAATATGTTTGAAAGGCCCATTCTGAACGGACAGTGTGTGGACAGCACTCCTCAAGATGTTCGGCTAATGCGCTACCGCAGCCATGTCCTCTACAGTCTGCTAGAGGGCTTTGTACAGAGGTAATTATTTTCAGGGCTTTATATAAGTTTTACTGCAGAATACATTAATATTATATTTCTTTATTTCAGACGAGGTCATGATGTGCTGCGAGATCAGCTCCCCCACAAAGAGGAGCATGTAATTTTGGTGAGGCTGACTCCCATTCAGAGAGCACTATACACAGAGTTCATGAAACGATTCAGAGAAGCAGGAAACAGTGGGTGGCTTGGACTAAATCCTCTCAAAGCATTTTGTGTATGCTGCAAGGTGAGATGGTATTTTGTTCATTGCCAAGTATAAGGCATTTAACCAGTTTTTAGCCCCTAAAATCAAATTATGGTATCATTAATTTTATTTGCTTATCTTTGTTGTCTTTCAGATTTGGAATCATCCGGATGTCCTTTTCGAGGCCCTGCAGAAGGAGAATCAAGCCAACGATCAGGATTTGGACCTTGATGACATTACGAACAATCCTCGCTGCTCTGCTCCTGCTGGCCTTAAAGCCAAAGATTCAAGTAACAGCAAAGGGAATGGAAACAATAACCTTCCACCTCTGAATCCTTCACAGGATAAATCAAATCAAGTGATCACTTACGAATGGGTATGTCTAACACTAAACTAATTTAATTTGGACAAATCTTTAATTATTTACACCAGCATGTGCTGACCTGTCTTAGGCAAAGGATATCATGTCAAACTATCAAAGTGGAGTTCTGGAAAACTCTGCTAAGATGCTTCTGCTGTTCTGTTTGATTGATGAAAGTGTAAAAAGACGAGATAAGATATTGGTCTTCAGGTACTTCTCTTTTTTGCCTCGATCCTTAAATATTACTTACCACTGATGAATAGGTGTAAAGATTTTTTGTAATCATCTGAATTGCTTTTTGCAGCCAAAGTTTATCAACGCTGTCTCTTATTGAGGACTTCTTATCACAGCGTCTCATGCCAGCAGATGTCTGCCCTCCTGACGGCCTGAACCATAACTGGGTTCGCAATATCAACTACTACAGTGAGTCCATAAAAATATACATTACATGTCTTCACACAATTTTAGCCCCAATTGAAACTGTTGCAGGAATGATAATCAAATGGAGCTACATTTAATTTTGTTTGTAGGACTGGATGGGAGTACTTCTGCTACAGAGAGAGAACGCCTCATCAATCAGTTTAATGACCCAGAAAACAACACAACTTGGGTTTTCCTCCTGTCTACAAGGTACACATATGTATACACATAGCAATTTCATTAAAATACATTACTTTGCAGTCACTATATTAATGCCATTTTCTAACTTTAGAGCTGGCTGCTTGGGTGTTAATCTGATTGGCGCAAACAGAGTTGTTGTGTTTGATGCCTCCTGGAACCCTTGTCATGACGCCCAAGCAGTGTGTCGTGTGTATCGATATGGTCAGAAAAAACCCTGCTATATTTACCGCCTAGTCTGTGACTTCACTTTGGAGAAGAAAATTTATGACCGTCAGGTTTCCAAACAGGGGATGTCTGGTAAGGTTTAGTTTTGACTGCAGAAGCCCATGCAACAAGCTACAGTTAATTGTATTGTATGATTTGAATGTTGTTTGTTTCTGCTGTAGACCGTGTGGTGGATGACCTAAACCCAGTTCTCAACTTTACCCGTAAAGAGGTTGAGTCTTTATTGCATTTTGTTGAGGAAGAGCCTGAGAATGAAAAAATCTCTCTTGAATCCAAAGAAGATCTTGAGTTGGTGTTGTTCCAGGCCTGTCGTTTGCACCCACACCTCATCACCAAGGTACATGATTTTGCCAAAACTTTGTTTTGAGGCCAAATGTATTTTTTGTTGTTACCAATTTATTTATTTATTTTTTTACATTTTTGCAGTTTGAGATTTTAGCATGTGGTGTTATATTTTTCTTAGTTTCAAATTGACCATAGATGATACATATTTAACTTTGCTGAAACAAAATTCATTTTGATTTTTTCAATCAGCCACCTTTCCAACACGAGTCTCTGCTGGTGGACCGCAAGGAATCCAAACTGACCAAAGCAGAAAAAAGGGCAGCAAAGAAGAGCTATGAGGATGAGAAACGAGCCTCAGTACCTTATTCTCGTCCCTCATATGCCTCATATTATCCAAACAGTGATCAAGCACTTGCAAATATACCTGCATTTAATCAACGGGGGTGGTAAGTGAACTTCACAAATGTGAAACTATTCCTACAATTATTTGCATATTTACTTATGTGTACTTGAAGGCAACCAATGTTAAGGCCGGATGAGAAGCCAGTAGCTAGCGTTCGACCAATTCAATCAACCCCAATCCCAATGATGCCCCGTCAGGTTGGGATGGGCCTACCAGGCTCCAGTGGAAGCATCCCGGTTAACTTCCTGCAGAAGGCTGGAGTTTCTGTGCAGAGAATAGTCACTACAACAGGTAAAGCACATAATTTATTTCTCACAAATGTGCTCTTTAATTAATAGTAGCAATTTTGCTTGGATTTTCAGATATTGTAATACCAGGCGCAAATAGTGCTACAGAGGTTCAAGCCAGAATCAGTGCTGGAGAAACCATTCATGTTATAAGAGGTTCTAAAGGTAGTAAAAGCAAGACCGTGACTACATATCACCCATATCATCCATATGACATGTTAACTTGTTATTATGGTGACTGTTGTTTAACCATAGGCACCTACATCAGAACTCACGATGGGAGGATCTTTGCTGTCAGATCAGGAAAAATTAGCCGACCTCCAGTTGCAGTGGCTGCTGTTTCAAGAGGTTGGTGTATATTAATATCTAAATACATTATTTTTCTCACTGTGACAAATAACACATTGAAGATAGTAAGGACTGTGAGTACTAATTGCTAAATCCAATTTAAAGATAAGGATTTATTGTAAACTTTAATTATGCTTTGTGAAATGTTATTCTTAGGTTATTTTTGTAAAGGGATGATATTGGGGATAGTTATACTACAAATTTAGTCAGTGCAAGTTCCATGTCCTGTACAGGTCATGTGAGATTTCATTCACACTGAGGAGGTTATGCTTGTTCCCACAGAACCACAGGGCCCTCTGATCCAACCAGTCACTAACGGCTGCTCATCACCTGTGGAGCAACCACAGCACTCCCCGAGCAGAGATCCGCATCCCTCCTCTCCTTTGAGCTCCGACCTTATCAGGGAGCTGAGCACTTTCTCAGCCCCAGGAAGAGACTCTTCCTCTGGGCTCAGGAATGAACTGCTCTCCCCGCCCCATCCCACACCCGCTCCCGGTGCAGGAGGGCACAACCAGAAAAACCAAAACACAGACCTCAACAGACCACTGAGTGAAGACCTCCTGGGCTCCACACTGGACATGCATGGGATAAAGCGCAAAAACAATGAACCACAAACCAACATGTATAGCACAGGGAAACGCACCTCCGCGGCATCACGTTTTCCTGGATTTAACATGGGCTCCAGTGGACTGAGCTTTCCACCAATGGGACTAAACTCGTCCTCTTTATTAGGGAACTTAGGACATATGAGTCACCCTCTACTGATGGGCGGCAGCGGGGGGGCTTCTTTTTTGCAGACCCCTGGACAAAACATGGGGGACCTCCAAACCATGTTCCCAGGCTCCACAGGCTCAGACCTGCTCAGACAGCCGGCCACAGGGAATGGGCATCTCCAAACCCCTTCATCCTCAGCTTTCTCCTCCACTCCGACCACTAATCCCTCCACAGCAACATCTTCCTCACTGTCCTCCAGTTCACTGCCTCCATATCTGATGAACCCCAACATGACGGGGCTGCTTACTTCTGGATTTCCCCCTATTAACTACAGTCAGTCATTACTTCCTGAGTCTAGGATGCTCTCCACGCCTCACCTTTCTGGCTCAGGGAGTCTTCCTACTTCTATCCCTAGTACTTCTTCGTCCAGTTTTCTTTCCCATTTCAGTAACCCCACTTCCAGTCTGCTGGGGGCAGCTCTGACCCACGCCGACAGGCATCACAGTGCAGAGAATGGGGGCAGTAGTTCGGATGATGATGTTATAGAGGTTATTGGGCAGTAGGAAAATCATCAAATGTAATAAAATTATAACAGCGTCTAAAATAATGCACAATTGATAAAAAGTCAGTTTACTTTAAGCTAAAACGCATATAATGAGGACACATAAAAATCTGAAGCTTATTAACTATGAACGTTATTATGGCTTACAGGGCATTTTCAATTCAGTAAAAATCATCACAGTGGCCATTAATTAATGTTTTAAATGTGTACCTCTGTATGTGATTCACTTTAAGTTACTTAAATGTTTTCACTTTTCACATTCACATTCTACAATGTACCTATTTTGGCTGCATCGGCAAAAATGAACTGATAAAAAAGGTAGTTTTCCAAATAAGTGATGCAAATGTCAACACTAAAATACCTATTGCTAAAACACAAAACCGGTCTCGAGTTAAACATAACTTTATATAAAAAGGAAGTTCTTTTCATCCAGGTTGTATTTAATTGTATTTGGAGCCAGGTTATTTGGCATACAGGGACCAGCTGTATCTTTCCAGGGTTTTCTAAGCACAGCTTCTCCTGTTACAATTTGTAAACGTCTTGTGATATAACAATTAGTTTTAGTTTTGTTCAGATGTCATTGGAGAGTTTCTGTGGTGGCTCTTGCACATATGTTTATGGTGTATTAGTGATCAAATATGTAATATAGTAATCAAAAAACCCAAAGCAACTTATCTTTTGAGGCTATTAGAGAAAATCATAGCAATTCAGTAGATATTGTTGCAACCCAGTTAAAATATTGTGAGTGAAATACAAGTGAATATGTTAATACTTTGTAAATAGCAGCCATTATCATTGTTTATATTGCAAGGTAATGTTAAATGTGTAGATTTTGGTCAGAGGGGTGATATCATCGCTTGTAAGAACCCAACCCCACTTATACATTTTGTTTTCTCTAAAATGAATGTATTTAGGCATTTGTAACCTGGGACAGTCAGACTATTATAGCCTTAAATTTCGAAGGGTACGCCTTGTTTTTTTTCTACGTCTGTGGGACAAACTACTGAGCATTGAGATGGTGCTGAACTCATAATAAATACAATTATTCAGCAAAGAGGAAAGAAAACCATCAGAAACATGAACAAATCTTACCTAAGCTGTTAAACCATTGGTGCGGCCTATGTTTTCAAAAATCTAAAGTTGTAGCTGCCTGACATTGAAACATCATTACATTGAAACACCACTCATGACATTTAGGTGGTGGTGTGGTGGCCTTACCAAACTAACAGTGCCATTTCGTGGTAGCGTTTCACTGAGATGCACCCTTTTCAGAGCAGTGCAGTGTTAGTAGCTTCTGTCAGTGGCGTCACGTGCCGGTCTGCGATGCTTAGAGAGGTCTGTAGGTCTTTGCTGTTCTCTGTAGCATTGTGTTTCTGTGTAGTGTGACTTAGAGAAGTTACTTTTCCTCGTATAGTGGAATAGCCTTTAGGAGAACACTGAGAGAGTTATTCTAAAAATCATTCCCACATATATAAACGATTTTGTACAAATACTTAAGTTCCAGACCAGTTTAGTTTGTACTGGCATTTCCTTTAACTTTTCTATCAAGGATACCCCCAGAATGCATAAGCATGTCTTTGTCAGATTTTGTGATGACATTTGACAGTAGAAGTGATATTTGAAAATGATCTGCTTGCGAACTGTACAGACATTAAGTGTCCCCAACCTTAATTTTGACCTTCATAGATTAAGTTGGACAAGTTCTAAAAAACAACGCTTTTTAATGTACCATTTGTCACTTACTGTTGTATGTTTTATAGTAAACTGTCCTTTTTTTAAAGTGTTTTTATAACTTTTTATTGGTGTTTGCTCACCTGTATCTCCTATTTTGTTTGAGATATTTATTTTGATTGCAAAGTTAGTAATGCCATTTCTATCATGTTTATTTGAATCCTGCAGGCAAATTCATTGAATTTCTGAACACAGTTTAGATCAATGTAGAATTATACTGTGTTATCAATATTATTTTAACAATAAACATGCTCCTATTGCAATCACACACTATTTTGCATTATTATATTTAAATTTTAAATACATATTATTTTCATAGCACAATAGAAATTCCCTGACAATGTCATTGCACAATTATGATTTGACCAGTAGTGAATGTGACAAGCCAAAATATTTCAACGTAAGTGTTTTTGTTGGGTTTGTCAGGACTGCAGTCTCTTTTTTGCAGTGTATGCGCGGGAGACTTGGTCCATGATGACAAGAGCAGAGAGCACAGGGCACAGGGCTGACAGATACCAGGTGTAACTGCTGACAGACTCAGTGAACCAGGAGGAGCAAAGGCCAAGCAGCAGACTCCCACAGCCGAGCAGGTAGGTCACAAGTCCTGACGCTGCATGGTACCGCTTCAGTTTGGCAAGAGACCAGCCTTTAGCTAGACTGTGGTACTTGAGAGGCAGTGCTGCCAGGGACTGCAGCCCAACCACACACACAGTGATCAGGCCTAGTAAGCCATGCCAGGAGGTAAAGTGCAGTTTATTGTTCAAATGTTTGTTATAGGCAATGACTGCTAGACCCACAACAGCACAGGCCACACACAAAACCTGGAGGGCCCAGTGAATACGACCTTTGGTCTTATGCCCAAACTTCCTTATAGGTGAGCCATGGGGGGAGAAGAGAAGGATAGCCTCTGTCATGATGAAGGAAAACTATGGGATATGGAGAAGGGTAGAAACTGTTAATCTTTAAATATGAAATCAATAATTAATTAAATATTTCTGTAACATAAATATACTTACAGCAAGTGTCATCAGAAAAGGATGCCATGAGAACAAGCCTGTGCCAACACATAGTTGTAATTCTGAACAAGTTTAATTAAAATCTGAAAAAAGTGGTATTAGAAAAAGTACTTAGACACTCACTCGAACCGGGTCGAGACAGGAATACAAGGAAAACTGTGAAGGCAATGCAGAGGACATGGGTAAGGGCTGCGACCAGGGTCCTTGTGCATCTGTATAATCTCGCTTCGGCCTCAGTCTCCTTCCCTTGGGCCATGTTTAAATGAATAAAGGTTTTAAAACAAACCTAAAACTGCAGCCGTGGCCCCCGCCTGTCAGTCACCTGAAGTGAACTCAACACTTTAGCAAAGAGCGATGCTCAAGATCGACGCGTAGTTCATAGAAATAAGCAACTTTTCTCAATTCAATCGATCAATGTACTATCAAAACGCGAGTCCGATTATTATAGATATGAGTGAAATGTAAACAATTTCAAGCTTTTAGAAATAATAGTAACAATCGATAGTTTTACATAACCGACAATAGAAAGCAATGAATGGTTCCGCTGCACTGAAAAGTACAACTTCCGTCTTAAATATTATAATGCAAAACAACGACCTCTTTAAATTGACTTTTAATAAAAAAATAAAAATAAACAAATTTTGTTGCTAACTTTGCGTTCAGTACAGATTTATGTATTCGTACTGCATGCAAATACAGTTAAATGAATAAAAAGTTTCGTCTTTTATTTTGACAGGAAAAATGGTTACAACAGCATCTTGACACGCCTCCTGCTGACGTGGATGAAGATGACAATTTTTAAACCCCAAAAAATCAAGCAATTAAGTGCCTATACATCGAAACAACGATGCAAACATGAATGCATTTTTGAGTTCATACATGGCTCACATAACAGTACGTGTGTTCAGTCATGATAGGAATTATGTTTAAGGCTATACCCTTTCACATATGAAAAATATTAGGTTATTATATTAGGCAGGTCCTGACTTTAGTGAGCATATGCAATATTGGTTAAAACATAACAATGTCTACAGGCCTTTATACCTCAGTCCTTTAACTGAATGGATTCTTGAGTGGTTAGTTGTTCATTGGTCATTGTGCTCCAATAACTCTGTAATAGGCTTGTGACTGCACAGTCCATAGCCAAAGGGGAACTAGCATTAGTCAGTGAAAACATAATTTTATTTTAGATGGAATAATTTGTTTTTCTGTTTTTAAATTTGTGTGCACGTTAGTTAGAGTTTTGCACTAACATTTAAACTGATGATTTAATTATAACAACAATGCATCAATGACTACACCAACCAGGCATCAGTTAATTATCATTTAATAACATAGGCCCATAAACTATGGAGGCACTGCTTTTGTGGCAGCTGACCTGCTCTGTTAGAGCACACATAAATAAAACAGCTGGCTCCCATGAGCCTTGAGCACTGGGTGATTTCCAAATTAAGACTGAAATCAAAATGAGTTGCAGTATTTGCCATTTGGCCTACAACATTGATGTTGAGGGATATTCAAAGAGCACAAGAAAAAGCCTAACTGAAAAAAAAATTCTCATGTCAAAATGCTTATTATGTTTGATCGCATAATATTCTATATCCACAAATCTCTTATATGATCAGGTCTTTATAAACCTTCAGTATAAATAAATAAATAAATATAGACTGGGCTATTCGATATTTTTTGATCGATCTAGGCCTATCTATGATGGGTACGTAGTGTAACCACTCACTTACTAAACCTAATGTGTGGGGACCAGAGGGTTTTCCTTTTTGATGTCTCTCTGGGATTGTTAACAGCGGATTAGAGATAATCCCATACTCTCAATGTGCATGCGCAAACTCCAGGACGAGCAACGAGCCCACAGTGTCATCCTAAAACGCATATTATAATCTGCAACAAACAGCGAGAAAAAGCAAGGTAAGTGTGCATGTATGTTTACGGGGAGCTTTTTGTTGGGAGGGGATAGGGTGCACTTGTTGGGACCTCCAGAGTTCACCGACTCTATTCAAGTGTTGTAAATTTTCTCCTGTCCCGTTTGGAGATGTTGCGATCTCTAGATAGCGGAGTCCTTAATCTGTACCTATTTTAATGGCCATTGGCAACACTAGCCTTAGTTTATTTAGAAAGTTATCGGTTCTTGCACAATGGTCGCTTGTTAGCCTGTAGATAATTTCACGGTGCCGTGACCCACTTGGCAAATAACGCTCCGGGTTGTTCAAATTCAAGTCACAATGCTGTTTTCTCACACAGTATGAACACTATACTTCCCACTATAGGATTCCACCTGTCACCAATATCGCCTATGCAGTTCTAATCTAGCCGGAGTAAACAATTTTCTTTAAAAAGAAGAGGAAGCAAAAAGTGTGAGTTGAATCTTGAAGATACTGACGCATGCATTCTCTTAAGGTTTATGTTGCTATAGCCTAGAGACACACAGAGTATGCCTATTATGCAGCTGCTATGAATGTTATTAAAGCTTATTACACTGTGAATGGTGACGCCACATTCATGCTACTCCACAATCATGGATGGCAAAGACAAAAATCCACAAATGTGCAACTTTACCAAATATAGAAACATTTAAGGTCATCCAGTTTAATTTTAGTCTTTTACTACTATGTATGGCACTATCTCTGCACACAGTCTGTACTGGTCTGTCAGGATTAAACTTACCTGGTAACATTTTTCAACCTGTGTAAAGGCAATCACTTTCATTATTCTCTGTGCTAATATCCAGCAGGCGCACATGGACTACCCATACACAGCTGACATGTGGATGTTACTACCCCGTCTAAGATGTCTAAATGTGAGTTGATTGAGCTCCAAGACCTCAGTGTGAATGACCCTATTGAGCTAGCTGCTCCTGGGACACACCACACACCTGCACCCACGGTTCTGCCTGCGGGACCATCAGGCTTCTCCCACGTGGTGCGCCTGGTGGGGGACAGAGTCAGTATTGAGACAGCGCTCTCAGAAAAGACTGGACTAGGACACGACTTCCAGCCCTTCAGACAGACCCATCCCACCTGGTGTGATCTGTGTGGGGACTTTATTTGGGTTCTTTACAAACAGCAGAGTCTGCGGTGTGCCAGTAAGTACTTAATGGTTATTTATTCACAGGTGAAGTTAGTGACATTGCTTTGTTTGTCTGACCAGGGCAAAGAAACATAGCACTGTAGCCTATACAAGACACACAAATGATAAACAACAATCAAATTTGTCAAGTCAATGTCACAAAGGTTCCAAGTTTTCCATATGAGAGAATGCTTTCTAATCTGTAGGAAGCTCTGGCTAGTGTCATAGTGAAATGCCCTGGAAACTACATTTATCTTTTGTTTTAGTTCTCATGTGAAGACATGAGATAGTGTATGGAACAATGATTGCAGCTTTGATTACACTTTGGATGTGATATTGAAAAAAATTGCAGAATCCACAATACTAGTAGAGCTTCACTCTTATTTCAGGGTGATTGTATTAGAACACATACAATGTCCCATTTATACCAATACTATCATTGTGCCCTTGGGCAAGACCCTTTTTGTCCAAATCATAGCTAAATCAAACAATGAACAGAATTGCATCTTGTACAGTGCACATGGACAAACAACTGCTCAATGCAATTTAGGAAGCATATTTTTTTTCCACAACAAGACCCAGTTAGCATACCTGTTCCAAAGCCCCAAACCATAATACTTGTTCCTTGACCTAATAGTGAAATAATATATTGTAAAAAATAAACATGCTAGTATAGACTCCAATGCAAAATAGCTGTATTGTAGTATGGTTGGGGCGAATAATGTGAATTTAGGAGAGGTACTGCTAGTGCTAGTGTTGTCCTCTGACCCCTGACACTTTTAAATATCCATGTTCCAGAATGCTGCTACACTTGTCACCACCGCTGTCGCCCATTTATCCAGCTGGACTGCAGCACAGATGAGGGGGCACCCACTGACAAGCCAGGCTCTCCGGGGGACTGCTTCGAATCAGACACAAATGTGGTAGGACTACAATATAATTCCTATTTCACCTCAGGCAGTTTTATGTGTTTTTGAGTTAAATTTCAAATATAAAGTAAAGTTTGATGGACACTTGTAGATTGTCATTGTCCTAGTGCCATATGTTTGGTTTTTTTGGCCTCTTCAGAGTCTTCAATTAAGTGACAATACAATGACTAACGTTGTAGAAATCCTTGGGGAGGGCTCCATAGCACTTTTACAATACCCCATCTGTGCTTAAATTAACCAAAATAAACCAACCATAAAATAAATGTTTGGTATTTGGGAGGAGCTAGAGGACTTCAAATGTGTTTGTTTGGTCTGGTATAATCGTTTGAGACAGAAACCAAGCAGCGAGCGACACTGAGTCTATTACTGCTTGAATTTAAGGATTAGTAATTAGGAATGAAAAATGGGGAGCATAACAGTTGACATTTCAGCAATGTGCATAAAAATACGCCTGACTCTGGAGGTATTTTCTATAATTATACCTGCATTATGTTTTCATTTTATAATTATATATATATATTTTACATTATTATATTATATTTTATGTGACACTATTATGGGTGAGTCTTTCTTTTTTTTTCAATTGAAAATCTTAAAAAAAAAAAATGTCATTTGTTTTTAGGATGATAATATTGAATGGGATCAACAGGAGTTAAGTCATGCAGAGATTCAGCAAAAGATTTTAGAGTATAATTCCCAGACCAACAACAATCTTCAAATGGTCATCGTGAGTATCCAGTTTAGGCCTTTCCTTTTGCTTTCATTCATTTTTTTTTTATTTTGCAGTGAAACTAAATTATTTCTTTTAAATATTTATTTTTGTCAAATAGAAAGGATTTACTTAGTTTATAGTTGAAATTATAGTAAAAGAATGGTTATTAAATTACAGATTTTTTTTCTGCCTCAGCAAATGAACATTATACACTTTTAATTTGTTTTAATAATTAAAAATTATTGTATTTAGACATTTTCTTTGTATTATTTGGAAAAAGAATTTTAAAAACAGTCTTTCATTTTGTTATATAAAAAAAACCTGTTAAATTCCAAAATAAATGAATGGCAAAAGCACAGGGACCTGGTCTCTTAATCTTTAGCATTAGTTTGTATATTTCAGTACTTAATTTTTTTTTCTTACCTTTCTATATTACAGCAGAAAGATGGCTCTTACACTGGTTTCATTAAGGTGCACTTTCAGTTAGTCCGCCCAATTTCCCTGCCCCCTCCTCAGGGTATGCGCCCATTGGATGCTCAGTGGGATGAAAGGATGAGACGGCGAACATCTTTCTATCTACCTAAAGACGCTGCGAAACACCTCCACATAAGTTCTCAAACACAAGTCCAAGAGGTCATCATAGCCTTGCTCAACAAGTTCACTGTGGTGGACAACCCAGCAAAGTTTGCCTTGTTCGAACGGACTGAGAGACAAAATCAGGGTATGAAAATATATTTCACTATTACAAATGAAAGGAATCTTATTGAACAGTGAATAATTACCATTCATTTTAGTGTTTATGAGGAAATTGTCTCAGGATGAGCGTCCCCTGTACCTGCGTTTGTGTGCCGGCCCCAATGAAAAAGTCCTGAGTCTAGTTTTGAAAGAGAATGAGACTGGGGAAGTTGATGTAAGCTATTCTCTCTTCAAGAGTTGTAATATTTAAATATAGATTTTCTGGAAGTGTGAGGAAAAAAAAAAATCATGTTATCTGAATACTTTTCAGTGGGATGCTTTCAGTTTTCCTGAATTGTGCAACTTCCTGAGAATCCTGCAGCGTGAAGAAGAGGAGCATGTACGACAAATTGTGAAGCGCTACACACTGGCCCGAGAGAGGATGATGCATGCAATGTCCAAGTTTAAAAGCTGCAGTTGATTTACGTCCATATGCACATAGACTAGTTATTGTAAGGTAAAATAATATGATTGTGTAAATATATGTTTACAATTAGAGAACAATATTTTTATTTTCAGAAAACAAAATTTTGAAAATAAGTGTACATAGGCCTAATAAATATTTTCATGTCTGCAATGTATTTTATTCAACTTTGGGATTGCTGCATGATTCATTTACTGTTCTGAGATTTGAATGAGTAGAGGTATCATGCATTATTATAATGTAATAATATTGTTCACGTTTATGAAAACACAATTGTTGTTAACATTTTATTATACAGTTAAAGTGAAGATGAAGATGGGTCTTTAACCTGAGGATAAAAGTGTACTATGAAATCTTTCTAAGGTCAGAGAAGATGTTATTGCTTTTCCTGGAATGTTCCACAGTTTGGCATCAAACTGTTGCTTGAAGACAAGCAGTTAGTGCCTCCAGGCCAAGTTACTGGTCAGATCTGCTCGCAGCAGGTATGCATGTTTTTCAAGGTATGTTTAACAATTTCAGCAACATCAAGTCTTACTGGGGAACACTGCATGAATAGATTTAATATCACCACGATGCCTGGACGCACTAAAAAATGGCAAATACTGCACTTAAGCTAAAAATGCACTATTTAACTTAAAGAGTCCGTCAGCTTGTTTCTATGGCTATGTCACTGCTTTGCCTGGGATGTTCCACAGTATGACATTAAACAGCTCCACCTCACATTTACTCAATTACAGGCAGTTTTATTGATCAAAAATACCTAGAAAAACAGGTATTCTAACTGAAAGGGTTTGCTTCTCCACAGATCTGACCTGTAACTTGGCCTGCTTTGACCTCCATGAAGATAGAATGGTTTAATGTGATACCGTAAAACATTCCAGACAAAGCAATAACATCTCCATGGAGACAAGCATTTGACAGAAACCAGAAAAGTTACACAATGCACCTTCAACACGCAAAATCAGGTCTCAATACCAGCCCATCCAGCCCACCAGGCGGCGCTCGTTCGTAGTTTGTCCACAAATAGCTTTCCACGAGTAGAAGGTGTAGCGTTAGCGGAGCAGCTGTGGTTCAACATCATCAAGCCAAATAAATACGCAAGATTAATCTGTGCCCGTTTGGTGACGGCTGTCAAGGTTTGTTTTCAGGTAATGCATTTGAAGCACCAGTTATTTCTTGTTGAGCTCGTCAGTAGTCATCGGAAACTCTGATTGCTGAATAATATATTATGTTAACAGTAGCTACACTGCCTTAAAGCTAGCAGTTCAGAGCAGTTTGTCTTTGAGCAATGTGTTTTATAAGGACATGCTATCTCGTAACCACTCAGGTGATCAAAACTCACTATTAAAGCGTATTTTCGTCAAGTACCATTCACGTACTGACCTCCTTCACAATTACCTTTATGCTTCTTGGCATGTCACTGGTGTGGTTTTGATAAAAGGCCAGTTTAAGATACACGTTGCTACTTAATGTACTTACACCTAGCCTGGGAATACGTTAAGTGTTTTGTTTGTTTTTTTGTTTTTTTTTTATTATATTGTTCTTATTTACCGGAGAATAGTGTCATCTCACTTTTGCTTCTGTGTCTTTTTCAGGTGTCACTTTCTGAACTGGTGCAGTAGGACTGTTGCACTACATCAGCAGTTTGATAACCAGGAAAATAATGTGCTGCAGCTGAAGATGGGGGGTAGTGGCTCCAAATCCAAAGGATTTTGGCCTTTTTCTGGCTCAGGCAGTGGTGATGATCCAACCAAAGACGGAAATGAACAGACATTGTCAAGATTTAAAAGTTTTCAAGGTGCAACACCTTTTGTATTTACTAGACGCAGGTAAGAACAATAAACAAACTTGAACTTACTCATTCACGTTTACAATTTACATTTTGTTTTTTAGATTTTCCAGTTGCATTTTATATATGCTTTGTCATTGCTTTGCCCATTTTTAAAGCCCTACTGAATAACTTTTGAGCCCAAATATAGACTAGAAGAAAGGCACTTTACTAAAATAAATAAATTTTACAATTATTTTATGATTTTTGGTGCATTGGAAAAACAGTGTTCCTTACTTCATCTCCACAAACCTGACTTTCAGTTGGCCTGGGAGAGGGCCTCTTCCTGCTGAGATGTTATTTCTTTTGCTATAATATCTCATAGTAGCATAAAGCATAAAGCATAAAATAGTCATGTGTTTATCATGAAATTACACAGGAAGTTGCTTTCAGTTGTAACTTTTTAAAGTATTGACACTGTTTAAAATAGATTTTTTGCATAAATAGTGGTGTACTATTCTACTGACTCAGGTTCCCACAAATCTTTTAACTGGAAATCCTCAGGTTTCCAAAAATCTTTTAACTGGAAATCTCGCTCTTGCTCTCTCTCTCTCACGCTCTCTTGCTCTCTCTCTCACTCTCACTCTCTCGTAGTTCAATGTTTTTTGATGAAGATGGCGACTTGGCTCATGAGTTTTATGAAGAAACAATTGTGACAAAGAATGGGCGAAAAAAAGCCAAGCTCAAGCGAGTTCAGAAGAATCTTACACCTCAGGTACGCATATTAGGTAATAATGATTTGCCCCTGTAATTGTTGGCCGTAAACATGTTTGTCTTCTACGTGTCCAACAGGGAATTATTAAGCTGGAACACCCATGCATCCATGTAGATTTCCCAATTGTCATTTGTGAAGCTTGACAAAGTCTCATAAAAGCGACTGTGTCCACTCCGTCCTGTGGTCTACAGCTGAAGACTGACCACCTTTTGAAAATCATGATTTCCTGGCATCTCTGAAGTCCCTATGCAGACAGGCTGATGCTGTGTTTTAAGCCTCTGCATGTGATCTGTTTTGGCTTGTGTGCTGTTAAGACACACCATAGGTCACCGGTGGCGACTAACTAAAAGTGTGCCAAGTGAGCGAACGTGTTCGGTTTACAGATATCTCATGATCAGTGCGCATGCAGGTTTATTTAGAGCAAAGAGGACAGATGCAGTTTTTTGTAGCATTCACCAAACATGCTATGAATGAAATCTGTCCAGGCTGAAGAAGTTGGAAAGTAAACTAGATATTGGTCTCTTCTGTTAATTATTTTAGTATGCATGATGGAAAACAAACTGGCTTGGGGACTTGACAATCACTGGTCTACAAAGCAGACTGTGATGTTGAATGAACTGACTTAGGTAGTCTCAGTTTGACCAGTGTGAACTTGCAGCAGTTGTGCACAGCCAGTGTCAAATGAGAACTCCTTGTTTTTTCTTTGCTGCTTTGGCATATGTTTCACCTTTTTAATTTATTGTTAATTTTTTAATTACATTATGAAACACTAAAGTGTGAGTGGTGTTTTTTCAAGTATAGTTATTTATTTTCTTAATAACAATCAAACTTCCTACTAAGGTTGTACCATGTTTATATATACACACACATATACACACATCTGGTGACACAAGGTGGATACAGTGCTAAATTATCTCAGAAGATAAACTGCTTCATCTACATGGGAAAAGGTTTTACACAAAGCTGCATGTGATGTGTTTTTCTTCTGTAATGAAAACCGTTGGACCAAACTATTAATTTAAGATGAGAACCTGCTCACAACTGTTTTTTTTTAACCCTTTGAGTTATGATAATGGAAAGACTAAGGTGTATGTAAATGTATCAGTGATCTCCACTGGATACAATCTCCAGTAGGTTTAATGTATTTAAAATAATTCTTTCCTCATAACAAGATCAGTCTCACACAGATAGTTAATAAAAAATGATGAGTTAACAAAATCTTAAAAGAAGGTGGAGTCAGAAGAGTTATGTAAGGGATGGATGCCAAAGAAACACGGTATTATGAATTTCCTATATAAATGCACACGCCACAACTTGAAAAATAGCCAGCAAAAGGTAAGATTGCTTTTAAATTTTTAGGCTGTTATGAAGTTTTGTTTTATTGTCAACCGGAAGTAATACATAAATAAAAACGCAAAGCATTTATTTAAAACATGTTTTGTAAACGTTATATATGTCTTAATGAAGCAAATGTTTAACTTAAATGAACATAAAGCACAACACAAATGTGTTATTTTTATTACATGTTTAAGTATATGTACATTTTATTTAGGATATCAAGAGTTAAATCTGAAAAATTGTGGATCAGACCAAGTGTTTTGGGAGAGAATCGGCTAGGGGTATAATGAACCCCACATTTCTTCTTAAACATTCTAATTTATTCATTTTTGCAATCTAAATATCTCAATAACAATAATACTTACTTTCTACTTTCAAAATTAGCATGTATTAAAATCAAAGCCACATAATAATGACATATTTTATTTTATTCCGTTATTACTACGGCCACCCTCACGAATCAGGAAATGAACTGACCCATAGTTGCCTCCATGGGGTTGCTTCTATGAATTGCTTCAATGGTTGCTTCACACTTCCCGTTATTTTCTTAAGCATACTTTTTGCTGCTTTATATTCTGAAAGTTCAATATTTAGCATGGTTTGACGAGTTTTGTATTTTTAATCTCATGGCAGTGCGGTGGAGAAGCCAGGCATCCCATATGTTTCATGTGTCCATCATCTCCAGATTGTGTGAGGAAACTTGTGCCACCACGACGGAACAGGTTAGAGGAAGCAACGTATGCTAGCTATAATAGCGTACTGAAAGACAGAATAATGCATTATAAGAAAATAATGATCCTTTAATAGTTGTGTGTTCAGATGTATATCCTTCCATCTCATACGTGAACACACACATTATGAACTATTATCTCTAACAACAGAAAGCCTATATATAATGAAAAACGATTTTCCTGTGTTTGAAAAATGTCTTCCCTCAACAACTCATTGTTTTATAGGGAAGGGAGACCGTGAGCATAGATGGAGCTATTTTTCACCATTGTGGCCCTCCTGTCTTGTCCATGGATCATTGTCCTGTGTTCAGCTGACCCTAAGCAGACAAGATGGCCTTTATATTCCAGGAAGCCTCTTATTCTTGTCTGGAATGCTCCCACAGAGGACTGTACCCCTCGGCATGGTGTAACTCTATATTTGGATCAGTTTTATATTGTTGCATCCCCAAATGAAGGTTTCGTTCGACAAAACCTCACAATTTTTTACAAAGAACGTTTAGGTTTGTATCCTTACTTTGAGCCTGGAGGATCTGCAGTCAATGGAGGGCTCCCACAACTGGCCAGCCTCACTCAACATTATGAAAAGATGCCTGAAGGGGTGCAGAAGTACATACGTGAGCCTGAGGCTAAAGGGCTGGCAGTCATTGACTGGGAGGAGTGGCGGCCTCTTTGGATCCGAAACTGGGACATCAAAGATATCTATCGAAATAAGTCCAGAGAAATGGTCGCACTGAAGAATCCAACATGGAGCCCTGAACAAGTGGCCAAAGTGGCTCAAGTAGAGTTTGAACTGTCAGCTCGTAAATTCATGCTTGAGACTCTAAACTATGTCAAAAATCTGAGGCCCAATCAACTCTGGGGCTTCTATTTGTTTCCAGACTGTTACAACCATGATTATAGGAGTGGTCTGGAGAACTACACAGGCCGCTGCCCTGCCCTGGAAATGTCCCGCAATGATCAGCTCAACTGGCTGTGGATGGGATCCACTGCACTTTACCCCTCCATTTACATGGGTCCTGCCCTGCGTTCAACCAAATATGGGCGACTCTTTGTACGAAATCGAGTGAAGGAGGCAGTGCGTGTGGCGTCTGTTGGGAAGGGTTTAACACGGCCAGTTTTTGTTTACACCAGGCCTACGTACATCGGTGAGACGACTCCTCTCTCTGAGGTCTGTTATTTTGATCTTATCTTAATGTATATAAAAAAAGTGCAAAAGTAACTTTCTGTGAAACTGTGTGTTTTAGATGGATCTTGTCTCCACTATTGGGGAAAGTGTGGCTCTGGGAGCAGCTGGTGTTATATTCTGGGGAGACACATCGTATGCCAAAAGTGCTGTAAGTGTCATGCCTTTTGTCTATGTTTAATTCACTTCTTTTGCACTGATACTTTTTTTTTGGTTTTCTAGGCCAGCTGCTCTAGTCTAAATGAGTATCTTAAGGGCTCATTGGGGCGTTATCTCCTGAATGTGTCTACAGCAGCAGAACTGTGCAGTGAGAACCTGTGTAAGTCTCGTGGTCGCTGCCTTCGTAAAGAGCCTGATCAGGATGTGTATCTGCACCTCAGCCCCTCCAGCCACAGCATCGTCAGTGTGAACGGCCAGTTAAAGGTGAGAGGAGCTACAGGAAGGGCTGAGATCACACACTTCCGTACATATTTCCAGTGCCAGTGCTACACCGGGTACAGGGATGAGGGCTGCACACAGAGAGAGAGAGGACAGAATAAAGCCTCCTCTGTTATGGGGGGCTGGCACCTCTGCTTAATGCTCCCTCTAGGGCTCCTCACTCTACTGCACTGAGCATTCTCATAAAGACTAACCATGTATGTATAGCCATGTATTGGGGGAAACAAAGGTTTGGTGCAAAATATGGCTGGACCATTTTAAATATTGGTGATCTCTACATTTATGTTGTTTTTAAGAGCGCTAGGCCCAAGTATCTTGGGCAGTCTTGAGCAAATAAATAATCCCAAAGTATTTTTATACCCCTTTTTTTTCATTGTTGTATAAAAATATTAGCACCTGTTTGTCAAACCTAGTCATGTTGTTCTTTACGTTACCATTACCAAGCTTTATATGGTTAATTCATTTAACTGGCTAAATCCCTGGCAGTGGCACTGTTTACATAAATTGCTTTTAAATAATGTTATTCTGGTGGTATTTTAATAATGGCATGCATTATAATAATTGTATCTGTATTGTTTTTAATTACTTAATGGTAAAAAAAAAAATCTGCAGTTTGTTATCTTTGTACTGTCTGCAATATTTGAAAAAGGGGGGGGGACAAAATCATCTCAGTGCTGTGCTACGTGTACTACAGCTACTATAGAAAAAGTATTTTTCAGATAATCTGCACTTTACTATTTGGTTTGGCTGGACCTTGTCTTATGATTAAAGCCTTGTTTTTAGTTGCTTTCTCACTGTGAATCTATAGAGGGGTATACTTTGAAGAAATGTAACCTCTTTTGCACAAAAAGATTTAATGTATTTTTATACACCAAATCTGTCAAATAAAATAACATGCATACAATACAATAGACAAACATGTCTATTATATCAGGACAGTTTCAATTAGATAGTTATTGGTTTATATGTTTAAAGTATGACTTAAAATGTTGAAGCTTATTTGGTTTCTTCTAAAGTTCTGAACAGACTTCAGCATGTTGTCACAATTCATTATAGGAATAAAACCCACTTTTACCTCTTTCATTTATTCTCAAAATCTGTGTGAAAGAAGTTACAAAGTAAGTACTGTAATTATTTAATACTTGTAACTGATTCACCTTTACTTGAGTAGATTACAGTTACCATGTAAGAACACGTATAAAGATAATTTGGATGAACATTGGGAAAAGCTGTTACCAAAATGTGAGCAATTCTTCCAGCTTTGACAGATGAGTTTTCCATGTTGTGCAAGCTTTATTTTCCCTCCAGTTTATAATTGAACGATTTTGTTTTGTACTTATGTTGTATGGAACCCATTTGATTTTTCATCGTAATAAAAGAGTTGTAAACATGATTGTTGAATATGCTTAGTGTTTAATGCTTCGTTAATCTTTTTTTATAAAATTGCCTTGCTGGTCACGACAAAATTAAAGTACACGATTTAAATCAACTTTTTTTTCCGGAAATGACGTGACACTCGTTGTTTTGTGCAACTTCAAATGTGTTCCGGCAGGACATAGCAGCAGTCGGACTTGTCCTGCAGAAATGCCTTCACAGCAGAGCCATTCTTCAAATTCACTGAAATGCGACACAGTCTAGTTATTCGTCTGATTTCATGATTTGAGGCATGTTTCAAACGTGTATGTCATAACTGGTACGTACTGCTATTGCGACCTGCAGAGTTGATCGCTTTCTAATTGCAGCACCGCTACTGCAAGAGGAGACATGACGGATGATGCCACTGCCATTTCTTTCTCACAGTAACCCGGCTTAGCTACCGTCTTCACTGTGGTGGTATGTCCTTTTGTCATTGGTACACGAGGATAGCCGTATTATAATCGTTCAGTTACCATCCTGTTTATAATAAATTATTTACTTATAAATATTCAACATGTAAAGAAAGCAGAGAGATGGTTGGTAAGAGTGAAATCCCTAAAGAATTTCGTTAATTGGTTTATTTAAATAAAAATTACTTCAAATGTCATGATATTATTCGCAATTTGATTTTCCATATTCCTTCTCATATTGCGTATGTACTGTACAAATCTAGACAAGATGTGAAACTTGATTTTACTTATACTTGTTTTTATGGAAAATCTAAACTTTTATTCAGTGTTCTTTGATTTCTCTTGTAGATATTTTCAAGGAGCTTTCTGAAATGAATTTTCTGCGCAATCGTATTGTTGTTCTGGGCTTGGTTCTACTGGCCACATTATTGCTGTACCTGCTATTGCCAGCCATTCGCCAAGGAAGTATGGAGCCTTCACTAGAGGCGCAGAAGATGGGACTCTCAGCCACCTCTCCTCCACTAGTGCCGAGTGTCAATGTATCTATTCGCACTGGACAGCTGCCTGGAGACCCCCCTTTGTTCTTTAGAGAGGCGTTACCTGTAGATGCTGCTGGCCGCCAAATATTACCTAGGTGGGTTACTGCAAGCTAAAATGTATGATTGAATGACAGAAAACGTTTCCCTTTTTATTCCTGTGTGTACAAAGAAAAGTATTGGTGCTAAATACTGTGATGTTTTCATGTGAAGGTTACAGATTGTTATGCTACATGGCCAGGCCTTCACCTCCAAAACATGGGAAGAACTGGGAACAATGTCCATACTGGCTACTCATGGATATCAGACTCTGGCTGTGGATCTGCCAGGTACAATGTGTTCTTGAATGCTGCTGTAAAGAAATTAAGATAGGGCTGAAGCACACACTCTCCCCATTGTTTTCAAAGTTTTTCTTTCTGCAATTTCTTCAAAGTGTGGATTGAAAACTTTCCACTACGCATTTCTCTGTAAATGTTGGAGCATAATTTGGCAGCAAAGTGTAAATTCTTTCTCTCGTAATTGAATAATTGTCATCTAGACCATTGTTTCTCAAACTGGAGGACAGGGGAGCAATTATTGCCAGGAAGTACTTGGTGTTGTTTCAGGTTTTAAAAGAAAGGTGAATAGCATTTGAATATGAAATCTTCTCTGTGCCACATTTTACATCCATAATAATATTTCTGTATGATAATGTTTGGAGATGACACTATCATTATAAGACAATGTAGGGATAACCATAGAAACAGACCCCAAAAATAAGCCATGTGCTGAGAGAAAGGTTTTATGTTTCAGATATGACATCAAAATGACACTTGCACCGTCACTTCAGCCTCATCTGGGTCAAATTTAGTCAACATCTTACTGGATTGCAATAACCAAACAAATGCTAGTAATACTTGACAGACAAAAATGATGTGAATGTATTTTTGCAATTTCCACTAAAAATAATAGATTGCATATTTCAATAGTTAATAATAAAGTGATGTTTTGTTTTTTTTGTCCTGAGGTTATGGAAAATCACCTGACTCAGAGTCCTTGAAAACAGACCAAAGTAGGGTGGATCTTCTTTCCCGGTTCATGGAGTCATTGGGGGTCAGGTCTGCAGTGCTTGTGAGCCCCTCCATGAGTGGACACTACTCTATCCCATTCCTCATGAAGAACAGTGCAAAGCTACAAGCATTTATTCCTATAGCACCTGTTGGAACCAGAAGTTATACTCAACAGCAGTACCAAAACATCCAGGTAACAAATAGGGATTCAACAATATTCAATTTAATATCGAATCGTTCGATACTGGTCTCATAATTCAATACACGGTCAATATGTACGTGTCCTTTTACGCGCTCTGTATTTTGGTCTTAAAGGGAAAACCGTTCTTGCTGCAGCAAGAAAACGGCTCCATAGGGACTTACAGCTGAAATGTTCCGACATATGTGGATTTTATCTTTCAGTTACTTTTTATTTTACATTGACAGACCTAGGAATGACAAAGAAATTAACTTTTAAATACTTAAGAATCTCTTTTGGCTTTACATCGGCTTTAATCAAATGTGACTCGTGATATATGCAATCTTTTTCTCAGACTCTATCTCTTAAGTTTTAATCAGAAAATAGTCTATTGAGACATTTTGATGTAATATAACATAGTTTTAGTGTCCAGAAAGAGGATGGGAGAGCGCAGTGTGTCTGTTAAGAGCACAGACAGGGCAGTCTGGAAGGAGCTATTGGAGGAGACCTGCGTGAAGTTGGCAGTCTATCAAACGCAAACCTACACAAAAACTATCTATCGTTTGTGCTCTGTCTGTGCTGTTTTATGCTGCAAAAAGTTTTGTTTTTGCTGCTTAAGTTTTGGGGATATTAACGATTCTTTTATAGGTCAAATTCATTTCATTTTTTCATTTGTGCTATTATGGTTCGTAAGATATTAGCAGTTTTATTTTCGCCTGATGACATCATCCAGCCCATCAAAACAAGCAGAAAATTATATGGAAACGTTTGTTTGTTTTTTTTCTTCCGCTTTTTCCGGGGCCGGGTCACGGAAGCAGCAGTCCACCAGTCCCATTCCATGCACACGTCCTCCAGCTCCTCTGGGGGGATCCCAAGGCGTTTCCAGATCAGCTGAGAGACATAGTCCCTCCAGCATGTCCTGAGTCTTCCCTAGGCATGTCCTGAGTCTTCCCTAGGGCCTCCACCCGGTGGGACGTACCCAGAACACATCCTGAGGGAGGTGCATTTGTGCTAGTACATTTCTAAAATTATTAATGATTAGTTTTACCGAAATTATATGACACCATTTCCTCTCAGCTAATGGCAGCGGCCGTTAGCAAAACTCTGCAAAACTAGTGTAGATCATGGATCTATTATATATCTAATCTAATCTATTGCTGAAAAGTATGTATCAGTCTTTAGTAACTTGCCTTTGATTCTTATTTTATATAATAATACAGATTTTTCCACAGCCGATTTAACATTTTGATGGGCTGGATGATGTCATCGGCCAGAAATAAAATTGCTAATATCTTAAGAACCATAATAGCACAAACTAAACTTTTTGCAGGACAAACAGAGTACAAACGATTGACATAGTTTTTGTGTAGGTTTGTGTTTGATGGGGGGCCAACTTCACGGAGGTCTGGAACCTGACAGAGCAATGCGGACACAGGCGTGTGCATGCAGTGAGAGGAGACAGACTCAGGAGGAAAAGAAATCATCAAATCATCATCAGAGAATGAAAAGTCTGATAGTTTAACTCCCCCTCTATATTAAGAATAGACTAAAAGACTAAATTATAAAATAGCCTGAAAAAGAACTATATAAATATATATATAAATAAATGTGCTCCTCACCTTCCACGGTGGTTGGTCTCTGTCCCTGTCATCCAGCTCGGGTCGGGTCCCTCCTGGGAGTTTGAGAGTTCTGCACAGTATCTTTGCTGTTCCCAGTACTGCACTTTTCTGGACTGAGATGTCTGTTGTTTTTCCTGGTATCTGTTGTAGCCACTCTTCCAGTTTGGGGGTTACAACCCCGAGTGCTCTGATCACCACGGGCATCACTGATGCCTTCTCCAGCTCCTCCTTGAGCCCCTGGCATTTCTCTAGTTCCTCATGTTCCTTCTTCCTGATATTGCCATCGCTTGGTATTGGCTCTACTCTGTTTGTTATCCACCACCACTATGTCTGGTTGGTTTGCCATCACCATCCTGTCCGTTTGTATCTGAAGTCCCACAGGATCTTGGCTCGGTCGTTCACCACAACCTTTGGAGGTGTTTCCCACCTTGACCTTGGGGTCTCCAGCCCATACTTTGCACAGATATTTCTGTACACTATGCCCGCCACTTGGTTATGTCGCTCCATGTATGCTTTCCCTGCCAGCATCTTACACCCTGCAGTTATGTGCTGGACTGTCTTATTAGCCTCTTTGCACAGCCTACACCGTGGGTCTTGTCTGGTGTGGTAGATCTGGGCCTCTGTTGCTCAAGTGCCCAGGGCCTGCTCCTGAGCAGCCAGGATGAGTGCGTCTGTGCTGTCCTTCAGACCAGCCCTCTCAAGCCATTGGTAGGATTTCTTGATATCAGCCACTTCAGTTATGTTTTGGTGGTACACCCCGTGTAGGGGCTTGTTCTGTTGTCGTGGCCTTGTCCTTGATGTACTCGTGGAGCTTGGATGTCTCATCCTGGACAGTGGTTCCCGCACTCACTAGTCCTCGGCCTCCTTCCTTCCGGCTTGCGTACAGTCTCAGGGTGCTGGATTTGGGATGGAACCCTCCATGCATGGTCAGGAGCTTTCGTGTCTTAAAATCTTTGGTCTGTATCTCCTCCTTTTGCCGGCTTATGATTCCTTCTGGGTATCTGATCACTGGCAGTGTGTAGCTGTTTATTGCCTGCGCCTTGTTCTTGACATTGAGCTGGCTTCTTAGGACTTGCCTCAGTTGTTACAGGTACTTGGCCATAGCCACTTTCCATGTTGCCTCTTCAAGGTTGCCATTTGCTTGTGGGATACCAAGGTACTTGTAACTGTCCTCAGTGTCTGCTATTTTTCCCTCTGGGGGTGCGATCCCCTCTGTGTGGACTACCTTCCCTCTCTTTGTCACCAATGTATGTGTTGTTTCATTAATATCAGTGTTATTATATTACACTCATTAGCAGAAAAAATTGCATGTTTTTTTTTTGTTTTTTGTTTTGCACCTTAAAGCATATCAAATTCGAAGCGATATCGTGACCTCTGTATCGAGATGCGTATTGTTACATCCCTAGTAACAAAGTGCCACACAAATTCAGTGATCATGCTGGCAGACATGTATCTTTATGGTGGAATCTTCAGCATCCAAAATAGTTTTAAGAAACTCATGAAAATGGATTTAAACAACATTTTCCAGAGCCTGTGATCTTATGTATTGTCTTGTTTACAGACTCCCACTCTGATTGTGTTTGGGGCATTGGACACAAATCTGGGTGCACAATCGCACAAAAACCTGCTGCAGCTTCCACATACGTCTGTGCTTAAACTGGAAGGAGCTCGTCACGCCTGCTACATGGACAAGCCCAAAGAGTTTCACCAGGGACTGATTGACTTCCTCAGAAATGTTTAAAGTGTGTTTATATAAGCATGGATAAAAAAATAATAATTAATGCTGTTGACATAGTTAAAGAAAGGTTGTACAGTTCAAGAGGAAGGTAGCATCTGTTATAACGCACTTAATATTTCCAGTGTTAACTAAACCCACATTTGCAGATCGCCTCATTAACATAACCACAGGCTTTTTATTGGAGGGCTTTATTTTGTTGTGTGCATTGTGTTTCTGCATGTTAAAAATGAAAAGTGTTTAGCTTCGTTGCCATTTCTGTAGGTGACATGTAACTTATTGTAAATATGTATTCAGCAGATGTGCATTGTTTATGTAACTTATTTTGCTATACAGTAGAGCAGATTAAATTTTATTTATCTTCCATTAGTACTCCATCTTCCCATAAAACATGATTCTAAACAAAAGCGGATGCAATAAAAGATAACATGCTTATTTCCGTGTTTATTTTATATTGACAGCAAAACATGTCTAAGTTAAAAAAGTGCAAGTTTCTGTATTTTTCACGAAACTTGATTTTATGTTTAAACACCGGAAATGACAACTTATCAGCTGACGGACTCACTGGCTGTGTCCCAATTCAAAGGGCTGCAGCCTCCGAAGGCTGCGAAGGCTGGGTCCTTCGTCGGCCGCGAAGGCTGCAGCCCTTGAACTGGCCTCCGCGGACGACAGGCCGTTGAGGAAATGGGACAGATCTAGACCTCGGAGCCGCTCTCCCGTCGCCCAGCAACCGAGGGACGCTGCTAGAGCTAATGCTAATGCTAACACGCTCCGCGCAGATTACGCACACGGATCAGTAAAAAGAATATGCACAGGTCATCAGACTGTCGGATTTTGTGACCAAATTATTTTAATAATTCGCCAAATCTTATGGCCAAAAACAAAAATGTATGTTTAACTTTTGCAAAACAAAACGGCTATATTTAAGGGATACATCTTAAATAGACTAAATTATCTTAAAGTTTACAAAAACTATGATGAGTTATGCATTACTAAATATTATCATTATTAAGGATTTGTAAAGAAAGAAAGACATCTCTCCTGAGAAAAGCTGGTTTATTAAACAATCCAAGGAACTTCTGGAAATACTTTATCATAATATGAAGTCAAATATTAAACCCATTACACACACTCTGCATTAACAGGTTAGTACAAACAGCTGTATGTCAGTAAATCTCATTGTGTTCCCTTTTTGCTGAAGCAAGTGACAATCAAAAATGAACAAAATATCTTTGCCAAATATGATCATGTGGAATACCACTGCTTATCTGCAGTACAATAGTACATTCTTATAGTACATGTAATTAGTTACTATCAAAAGAGACATCAAACCAATGGCACATTTCACCATAAATCAAATGTCAGTACAGACTGAAAAACATTCAGAAAAACTTATGAGCAGATGTTTTCATTTCTGTCTCACACACTTGTTCAGATCATATGAGACTCTGGACCTCCTCCTCAGAGACTCTGGACATGGACATTGGAGACATGGACAGTGGACTTGGACCACTCAGTCTGATGTGTCTCTCGTCTTCTGGAGGAGGAAGAGCAGAATGGGTGTTAGGTCTGATTGATTCAAAGTTCTGTCCTGCAGAGTGAAAACCTGTAATGACACACACATTAAGAAAACTACAACACTATTAGAGGAAAATAAGTTTCACAGAGCATGCAGCCCCAAAGAACACCTGGACTCCCCCCCGCACTATTTACATTTATTATTATTTATTTATACGCAAGGGAGTGAGAAAAACAATTCTTTATATGTTTTTCGTATGAAGAATTGACAATAAACAATTTTAACGTTGAACTTAAACTTTGATCTACATTCAGATTCAAAGGCAGTTTATATCTGAAACAGCTAAATGAATAGAGGAATCCCACACATTTGAGAAATGCATATTTTCACAATTTAAAATCATAATTTCAACATGAGCATGATTCATTTGCAACTCTTATTATTAGTAGAATTTTCAATGTTACATGCCCCATACCTAATTGTTGGCAGGAGTCTGGGTCAGCACCTCCAGCTCAGTGTTGGCCGTACTTTGTCATCTGCATTTGACCCATTTTATGAATCACAAGCATCTTGTCAGCCAACAGTTCTGTGGCCCCTGCAGTGTGCTGTGTCCTCATACTGGAGGCTGCAGATGAGAAAAGAAAATTCATGTAAAACAGATTTCTCATTGTTATAACATTAGATGTGACAGACTTAACAGACACAGCCAGGTCGTATCTACACCAGTGTCTGCACAAATCTGTTAAACGAGCCTCATGTCCATCATAAATCTGACCTGTCCAGGCAGGATTATTTACTCTTCACTTTACAAACATGCACGGATTGTTAAAAGTAGATAATGTATTCCCTGAATGAAATGCACACGTTGGAGGCATATATTATGTGATTTACAAGTAAATATGAGCTTTGATAGAGTCAAACTGAGTCTTTTCAGTTGAATGTATGAAATAATGCGTGTTTTCATCTTAACTCCGAGCTACACTGACCAACTGTTTACATGTTTACACTGTCCGTGAAAACGTGGAGTTTTCTCCTCGTAGCTTCTTTAAATCACTCCGTGGGCTTCTTTTCCCCTAACAGTAAAAACATCATTAGTGTTTGATGGAAATGTGTCCAAATATGGAAGTTTGAGCGGATTTTTCATCGCATTAGCTGCACATCACTAGGCAAACTTTAGCTCAAAACTCCGCGGTTCACGCAGTTAAAAACAAACTTATTTGACAGTTTTGTGGGAGTTATGGTCGTACTTTACGTTTACAGTTGTGTTAGTAATGATTTCCTAAAGTTAAAAGTGTTACTCACATGTTTTTCTCCGCTCCAGACGGGCTTTTTGCTGCGTGTTTTCGCTCCGTGTTTTCGAACATCTGACTGCCGCCGCGCGGTGCATGCTGGGATACTGAAGGCTGCGAAGGATACTCTGATGTGTCCTCCGTTCGCGGCCCCATCTCCATGGAAACGAGACCGGTTTTAGGGCTGCATTTGAAGGCTGCATGACATAAAAATGAAATGGGACAGGCCTTGTTTCACCGGAAGTGACGTATGCGGCCTTAAAACCAGCCTTCGGAGGCTGCAGCCCTCGAATTGGGACACAGCCAACGCCTGTGTCCTGTCAGACCATCATGTGTCAGACTTGTGTGCTTGTGGACTTGCGAAACGTCATCTTCTGCGCCGGAAGGTCTGTTCCAATTCAAAGTCCGCTATTCGGCATGTCCACTGGAAATCCGTGCATGAGCTTTAGCTCCGCACGTTTTAACAGGGAGCACGTGGAAATATAAGATCATGGGGACACATCGGAGGAGACTTGTCCGTACCACGGTCCGTACTCGATACAGTACATTTTCCGCAATGCACTTAATACATCTTCAGATCGCACACGCACAGGCGGCTGCTTTCCGCGATCCTCTCACATTGCTGTCTCCGCGTGCTCAAAGTGCTGCTGCACACGGAGCGGTTACATAGACTCTAAATATACCATGAAAGTATAAATACAGGTACATACTGTATATATACACAGTCTATGCGAGCAAAGCGGCACGGTCAAGCCCGTATATACAGTGTGCGTGGAAATCATGGACTTAATGATGAGATTTAATGGTTTTATCAGTAACAATTTTCCTAAACGCGGGTTAGGGCATTTCCCCCCTAGTAACCCCATGTAGGCTTTGTTTTTGTTTTTTCAGTAGACGAGAAACTTTGAAACAACTTGTATCTCAATCTGAATTGTGAATAAATTAAAACAGTCTAAAACTGATATTTCATAGCAGAATTCACTTTAATGTATATATTTTATATATATAACTTTTTATTTTTAAATTTTTATTTTATCATTTATAATTGTCTAAATATTATTTAACAGCATAATTAATCTTGGCCTAAATTTGCGCTTTTATTATACTGAACACCCACATTATTTCCTGTGATGTCATCAAGTCTACCTGTCCCAGAAGCTCAAAGGGCCGAGTGTTTTATTATAGATCCATGACTGTGTGCTTGTGAACTGCGTAAGTCCATTCTGAGTCTGCACCACAAGTGTGTACCTGGGAGTACACGAGTACGAAGTGTGCAGACTGATGATTGTGTAAGGGCTGTAGTTCATCTGAGCGAGTGTGCGAGTTTACGAGGTAAGAGTTATCCGTCACTGCCATAATTATTATTCTAATTATTATTGTTCAGTATCGAGTGGACGTGCCTGTTGTATTAAGTATTAAGATCTAATGTTATCATTTCACCTGAAAGCTGAGAGTTGGAGCTATAGTGGTAATATACTTTTTGCTAGCTAACATTGGGTTGTACTGAAGTGATAGTAAAATTGTTCTACCTTTCCATGCGGTGATCTGGCAGCTCGTTTATCTGTAGAAATCCTTCCATAACAAGACCCGATAAAGATATGCAAAACAGATTCGCACTTTTGTATCAGTAAATATTTAAGCTTTACTCAGTGCAAGCTTTTTGCTAAAGCTATTATGTGTTTTGCTTATTTTAGTAAATCTGCCTATCGTCAGCACACACCATGCTTCCTGACAAAGATGGTCCCGAGTTGGGCAGCGGGAGCTGCTCTTCCGCAGGAGAGGACCCCTCAGTCAGTTTGTTCAGAGAATACCTCCGTCTAAAAACTGTGCACCCAGAACCAGACTATGGTGAGACTAGACTCACTTCTCCCTCCTTTAAACAATGCGTGAATGTCAAAATTATACTTTGACACACAAAGAGCGCTATTTCTTTTGTTATCATTTATCAAAGTCTACATTTTATCTTGGTTCAGATGTAGGCCTGATTTTTACTATTATATTGGCAGTCTCTAAAGTTATTCATTTGATAAACTCCACACTGTATGTCACGTAGTTTACATACTTGAAATCTTTCGATACCATCTGCTTTATTATGAAGATAAATATTTAGCTTTATGGTCTGTTCATAAGCTTATGTGCAGTCTTTTGATTCCAAACTAACTTTTACTGCTTTGAAATGGCATACAACTGAACATAGTCACCATAGTTTCCACATGACTGCATTCATATAAAACTAGATTTAACCTTTTGAAGGTAAGAGAATGCTCAAATAGTAATGTGTTATAATCAAGCTTCATAGGTTCATTTTGAGAGATTTGTTTTTGTGACAACAAATGTTAAATGCTCGATTTTTTTTGTAAGTAAATTATTTGTTTTATTAATTTACAGATGTGGTGCTTCAGTTTCTGGACAAAATTGCAAAAGAACTGGACTTGCCTATAAAGAAGATTGAGGTCTGTATATGATATAACAATCAAGTATATTTAATAGTGCTGTCATGCGATTAAAAAAATTGAGAGATTAATTAATTATGATCTGTAATTAATTAATCTAATTAATCTCATTTTAATCTCACCTAAAAATTGCTGAGAAAAGCCTTCAATTTGAGGTATTTTCATTTCAATTCATTATTACATTATTGTGGCAGATCAAAAGACTGATATAGATTTAAAAAAGTGACTTTATAAAGTCATTTATTGTTTAACAAATCTCTCCAAATTGGCTGTTGAGCCCAAGTCTCCATGAATAAGAAACTGTTTGCTGTAAAGTAGCAAAGACGAGGAAATCTGAACATAATAACCTTTGTCTACTTAAAGACAATAAAAAGTCCAGTCTTTCCTTAACCATATTAAAAATATTATTGATAGAGAAATGCTTTAGATATGAGATCACTGGTTTTAGTCCTTGTTTTAGTTCTGGTTTAGACCTGCTTTAGTCCTAGTTTAGTCCTAGTTTAGTCCTGGAATGGATTAATCCTGTTTTAGTCCTGGTGTTAGTTCTGGTTTAGACCTGGTTTAGACCTGGTTTAGACCTGGTTTAGTCCTGGTTTAGTCCTGGTTTAGTCCTGGTTTAGTCCTGGTTTAGACCTGGTTTAGACCTGGTTTAGTCCTGGTTTTAGTCTTGGTGTTAGTTCTGGTTTAGAGGCGCACAGGAGGAAGCGCAGTTTACACGGCGTACGCGAGAAAACACGATCCACACGAGGTGCACGGGAGCACATCGGTGTCCGCGCAGTAACTACGGAAGGAAACGTGGTCCGCGCGTTCTGAGGTTAATGACGATGATGAAGGTGTGTGTGTGTGTTTGTGTTTGTGTGCGTGTCCCCTCATGTGGCAGATCACTATAGGACAGTAGTGCAGACATCATGAGCCTATGCAGGTTGTTTTCACCAGTGACATTTAAGTTGTAGGCAATTTTATATTTGTTATTTTCTTTTATATTTCACGTCGGCAGAATAATTTCCAAGATACGAATGCGTTTTTACCTGTGCACTGCTGACTCTGTTCTACTGGCTCTTCGACCTCGTCCATTGTGAAAAAAAATGTATAAATGTGTTTTTTGTGTGTGTGTGTGTGTGTTGTTGTTGTCCCAACAACACATAAAAACAGGTTTTATAATAAAGCAACTCGCATACAGAAAAAGTTAGAGATTAAAAATGAGATAAACGCGATTAAAAAACATAACGCGCTAAATATGACTGTAATTAATTAATTGCAATTAACGCGATAATTTGACACCCCTAATATTTAAATAACCACCACCTTTTAACATGGAAAAAAGACTTCATGAAATAGATAATTGCTTATAAGCTGTAGTTCGTCTGATCAAGTCTGAACTTATTTGGGTATTCCACATGTGCCACATTATAGGCATATAATTCATGTCTAAAGTTATATTGTTATACTTGACAAAGATATGGATTAGTTGTTATATTTGTGTCTCAGGTGTGTCTTAAACATTCTCAAAATGACAAAGATCAGCGTTATCTGAGCACATGAACATTTAGGATTACACTGAAAATAGTTTGTAGTCACTATTGAATTAACTTGACAAGGTTCAAACACACTGCAAAACTTTTAAGAGAATCTAAAAAAACTTAAACACTTAAAGGATATGGTTTTGGTTTGTATGAATGGTTGGGGGATTATATTATATAAAGATATGTTGTTCAAATAAGTAAGAAATGGTTGTAGGAAAGGTCAGTGGCTGATCTGCAAAGAATCAGAAAGAATAATCTCTTTTACTGTATGAAATTCTAACAGGGGTCTTTTACCTTCTCCTCCAGGTATTTCCCGGTAGGGTGGTCACCATTATGACCTGGGAGGGAATCAACCCAAACCTGAAGTCCATTTTACTGAACTCCCACACAGATGTGGTCCCTGTTTTTCCGGTATGAGGCATCACCTTGTTAATACTGTGTGTACCCTGTCATTCCTGATATTAGAAGTTGGAAAAATAGATGTGATATCAATCTCTTCTTCAGGAACACTGGAAATATGATGCTTTCAGTGCTTTCAAAGATGCAGAGGGCAACATTTATGCCCGTGGATCACAGGACATGAAATGTGTGACTATACAGTGGGTATAAACTGAACTGACTTGTAGCATCACTTAGTTTAGTTTATTTTTTTTTTAGTTTATTTGTTTATTTATCAGGAACAATACACATAAAAACACTGACCTACACAAAGGGGCAATATGTTTGTGCCAGGTTATAGCAAAATTGCTAATTTTCACCTTTGGTCCCTGGACAGGTTGATATCAGATGGCGTAAATACCGATAAAATACGAAGTATATTAATGCAGTTATTTCTCCATTAAATCATGAAGTAAATCCACATCCATACACTATTTACATATATTATTTACTTCTAAATGTTGTTTGGCACGACTGTAGACCCAGCTGAGTTAGCCTGCACAGACTGTTTTTTAATCACTGTTTTAACTATATTCCCTTTGTGTTCCTTATTTGCAGGTACATTGAAGCTATTAGAAGACTGAAGGCCAAGGGACAGAAATTGGCGCGCACTGTACACCTGATGTTTGTTCCTGGTAAGAAGTGTCATTTTTGTTTGCTAGAATAAACTCAAAATTTGTTGTGTTGTAGTATGGGAGAAAGTAGGACAGGGTAGAGGGCAGAAAGCTGCAAGTCTGGATAGAAAATTTATCTTTATTTTATTTGTTTGGGAAACATGTTAGTACAAAACATGTCTACATTAAAAGGAAAGAAAGAATTAAGTGATGGAAACTACAGTATTTGTAACATCAGGAGTATGTCAGAGAGAAGGCACATCATCCTTTGTGGTTTGACTGTTGTATTTGTGGGTTGGAGATGTATAGCGGATATACTCTATAGTTGTATGGTACTGAATGCTTATGACAGTAATAAAATCACATGAAGCCTTCTTCTTTTGCATAGTTTTCAACTTAACTCACTCATTCGACAAATTATAATCAAAATTAACTGGCTATTTAGCTGCTTTTACATGGTGACAGTTGGCAGCAGATTTTGGCCAGATTTGTCTTAATTTGGCCGGAGAATACTGCTAATTAATAAAACTATATTTTCTCTTTCTAGATGAAGAGGTTGGGGGCCATAAAGGAATGGAAACATTTGTGAACCATCAAGAGTTTCACAAATTAAATATTGGCTTTGCACTTGACGAGGGTAAATGAATAACTGCACTCAGAGTCTTAATGTGTAGACCTAGATTTCACAAAAACATCTTGAAGACAGCCTGTTTTAAAAAATCAATAATCAACTTGTGCTAAACTGGGAAGGAACTGTCTGTCCACAAGACTTTAATGTTGATTTGACACAAATATATAATAGTTGTTGCTTGTATGTGTGTGAATCGTACTGTTGTAATGGCTTTTTATCTGACGAAACTTAGAACTCTGAATGAACAATACACAACATTGAAGACTGTTGTATGGTGTACTTAATGTAAATAATTGCTAACATTGGTTAAGTAGATAAAATATATTTTTATTTGTTTGCTCAAAAGATATTTGCCAGGTAGCTGTCTCTGTAGTAATTTGATTCATTAATTGCAAAATGCATTGAGTGGATGAAGAAGAGGACATAATAGTTACAATATGTACGCTTGCAGAAATTAACAATTAACAAAAGCAACCAATTTAACACTCTACAACTACCTTATAAACTCTTTCTCTTTTTATGTTTAATAGGTCTTGCCAACCCTACAGACGCCTTTACAGTTTTTTATGGAGAAAGAAATCCCTGGTGTAAGTGTGACACGGCTTTTCATTGTCCTCTGCACAGATTTGTGTGTGACCTGTATGTACATTTTTTCTTTTTTTCTTTTAGGGATCACTATACATTGTCCTGGAAGTCCAGGGCATGGCTCCAGATTTGTGGAAAACACAGCTGCTGAGAAACTTGTATGTAACCTTTTATGTACTGTATGACTGCCTCTGCAAATTATCCCCTAAAATGTGTCAAACATTACTAACACTTTACTTTTTCAGCATCATATCATTAACTCCTTCCTGGGCTTCAGAGAAAAAGAGAAACACAGGTAAATATTTGCACTTTTATTTCAGGAATAATTTTATCACAACTATGCTTATTTATACTTGCTGCCATTTCATATTTGCCTGATACTGAAACATAAATTTATACATTTAAAGATGTTTTAGCCCAATTCTCTTGGATTGGATCATTGACTATATATATAAATGGACATATCCTACTGACTCTGGCTCCCATTACCTTACACTGGAATATTGTGCCCCCTCTCTCTGTAACTGCTGCAATGAACCTTGTAATTTTCAACTTAAAATGTTTGTAATAACCTGCTCTACATGACCCTAGGGTTTTTAATTCCCATTCCTGAAAAAAGCTGTTTTTTAGGCAGAAGCTGTAAACAGCTTTTGGGTTTAAGCATGTTTTAATTGGATAAATCCACTCAAATGAAAGTGACATACTTGAGTAAGTTATGTTATATTTTCAGGTGTTATTGGATTCCCATATTTTTTTATCACAATTTTTAAATGGGAGGGAAGAAAACACTTGTTATAATGTACTTGTAGATAACACCTAGACATGTTAAGGAATCATTTTCATGTTTTTAGATAAAAGCATCAAGTTAAAATCTTGCAGGTTGAATACCAGTGAGTGCCTTACTCTGGGGGATGTGACCACTGTGAATATGACAATGGTAAAAGGCGGAGTAGCTTACAATGTCATCCCAGCAGAAATGGATGTTAGCTTTGACCTGAGGATCCCTCCCACTGTAAATCTGCAGGTCTGCACACATATTTATTTCTCCATACCACTCTTGTGCTAAGGTGTAATTGTTTTCCCTCAGGAGTTTGAATGTCAAATCAAAAAGTGGTGTAAAGAAGCAGGGGAGGACGTCACTTATAAATTCGCTCAGGTAACCACTTCCTTGACCGAGTCCCTTAACGTGTGTACTATTTAATTTTTGTGGTATACGGTCCACCATCTGCTTGTCTCTATGGAGACATTATTTTGCCTGTATTTTCCTCACTATGACATATCTGTCTTGCATTTATTTAATTTCATTTGAGTTTTAATAGCTCAAAAATACTATGGAGTAACTGCAGATTCCACATGTCACCTGCTTGTCTCCTTGAACTTAATGCTATAGTGTGGAACATTCTAAGCAAAGCAGGTGGGCATGCACTACAGTGCACCTTTTTTTTTGTACAGAAACATATGGATCAGAAGGTGACTTCTACAGATGACGATGATCCCTGGTGGAGTGCATTTAGTGCAGCCTGCAATGAAATGTGAGTATCCAGGAAATGTAGTTCTGTGGGATTAATTTCTCTCCATCAAGAACAGATGCATTACATATGAAATTAATAATAATAATAAGAATGTTATTATTATTATTATTGAACTAACACTTGATGGCAAATTCTTCAGTTCAACTGATACGTATCAGTTTGTGCATTCTCTTTGTGACTGTAAATTGAAAGCACTTGTGCTAATGTATTAGAGAAATATTTTGTATGTATTTAATTATTTATTTTATAACAGGAACATGAAATTGGAAAAAGAGATCTTCCCTGCTGCTACTGACAGTCGCTTCATTAGAGCGGTAAGTTTAGTTCTGAGAGATGGTAAAAGCCTTAAACCACTGATATAGTTAATGACACAAAATGTACCCAGGTTGGTCTACCTGCCATTGGCTTCTCCCCGATGAACCGAACCCCTATTCTGCTACATGATCATAATGAGTTCCTGAATGAGCAGGTATTCCTCAGAGGCATCAGTATTTACCAGAGACTCATCCCGGCGTTGGCCTCTGTCCTTGCTTTACCAGACGAGAAGTAGGCCTCCTGCAGTAATAGTTCACATAGAATATTATAATTTTACTCAAAGATTACCAAAGATTTATCTGTTTATAGAATTACAAAGGAATAGTACTGTTATGCTACAGTTTTACTTTCTCAGGAGTTTACACTGTGCTGTTATGTCTTTAGATATGTGAGTGCCTGTATGCAGTGTTGGACATATCTGCTAATACAAGGTTTTCCACCAGATAGGAAAAAGATCTACATTGATTCATTTTTAATGACAATTTTTAACCCATTGACGCCGGATGCTGCGCAGCGCAGCGCTGAGTCCCCTGTCCGGATTGTCTGGCGATCAGCGTAACTGGTAAAGGTGGGGCCACACCTGGAAGCATGGGGGGCGTGTCCTCCTCTCGCTTCATTCACTCCCATAGAGAGACGCAAAACTGCCAGAGCTGTACTATCGCGTTAAACCTTCTTTATCGTGACGTATTATTTCTCCATTGAAAAATAATCGAAATGTCCCGCACATGTTCCCATCAAGACCTGGTTTGAAGTAACAATCGTTGCGCTTTACTGCAGCGCATGAACGAGCTTAACCACTTGATCTGTTCGCTGTTCCAGACGCTCCTATAACAGGAGCTATGTCGTATAACAAATAAACATGGTCAAACACAAAAATGCTGACAGTGACAATGACAGTGAAGACACGGACAACATTTGTGTTTGACCATGTTCATTTGTTACACGACACAGCGATATGGCACCTGTTATAGGAGCGTCTGGAGCAGCGACTAGATCAAGTGGTTGGGCGCGTTCATGCGCTGCAGTAAAGAGCAACGTTTGTTACTTCAAACCAGGTCTTGATGGAAACATGTTCGGGATGCATTTGGATTATTTTTCAATGGAGAAATAATACGCCACGATAAAGAAGGTTTAACGCGACAACACAGCTCTGGGAGTTTTGCATCTCTCTATGGGAGTGAATGAAGCGAGAGGAGGACACGCCCCCCATGCTTCCAGGTGTGGCCCCGCCTTTACCAGTTAGGCTGATCGCCAGACAATCCGGACAGAGGACTCAGCGCTGCGCTGCGCAGCATCCGGCGTCAATGGGTTAAATCAGTTAAAACGTGTTCAAATTATTTATTAATCAATAAATATATTTGTCTAGAGCCTGACTTGGTCATTATTTTTCACACCTGTTGTATACATAAAATACAAAGAGAACCAACAACTAAGAAGAACATTAACACTAATAACAATAGCGCCACATCATTTAACTTGCTTATCATGTAACAGTAAAAATAACTTCCAATAATATCTAATCATGTTAAATACTTGTGGTCATGTTGAATATTCAAAATGATTAAACAATGCTACATAAAAGAAAAAAGCATGTCTGTGTATGAATGTGTAAAAGGATTTCAGTGATTCAATTGCTTTGGGCAGAAAAACAAATAGCATGTTAAAATCCAATATTCTCATTGATTCTGAGTTATGAATGTAAATAATATGTAGTGACACAATGTTTTATAAGAGTCAAGCTCACATTGTGGGTTAAATCAAGTATGTCATTCTTTTCATTTATAATAAAGGAGTTTACGTGCAGTGTTTACAGGAGCTAAAGGTTGCCCTCGTCTACAGTTCAGCTCCCTTCGGATTTGTCGGCTAATTAACAGTGTGCGTCTCTCTGAGGGGGATTGGCAGGAAGGCCGTGCAGTCAGTAATTAGGCTGCTCTCTCCGCGGGACACGACAGCAGCATTAACACATGGGGTTGCCTGCCACATCCTTCCTCCCTGAGGGGCCAGGAGAGGTGCAGTCATCCTGTCAGAGCATCCATAAGGCGCCCTGTAGCTGCTAAACACTTCAATAATAAAATCTTATGTCACTGCAATACGGCATTGATTTAAATAAGTTCATGTTCCAAGGGAATAATTGATGAGAATGCAGAAGTGCAGATGCAGGTCTTCTACAGTGCCTTCAAGGTCAAGTACAGGATAAGAATTCAACATAATTTGAAAACAGGGGTCAAAGGTCAAGATCAGGTCAAGGTCATATGAACAATGAACTGTATACAGTGTGGGGATCTTATAGACTAACAACACTGATATGATAATTTGCTTCAGGGCATATTTATCTATATACAATTGACATAACATTAATGGCAGGGCACTTTTGCATAACTTAAAACAAGCACTGTTATCTATTTTGTCGTAATCATCATTTCGCTACACATCCATAAAAATGTGAGAATGTCAGTGGCAATGTTTAAAAAAATAGTTAGATCCAGTGTGATTTTACATTTTAGTAAAGGTGGGCTTTGTTTGTCAAGGATACTTTTTGACCGGGCATATTTAGTTCAGTTTATCTTTAATTTTAACATAGGAAACCATGCAAAAGCTCAAAGTGCATTGTAAACACTTAAAGGAGCTGTAAGACTTTGATTTTACATTTAACAAACATGACCTAACTGTCCCCAGATACAAAGTAATTTCAAATAAAACAGACTTTATTGATAGCAATAGTAATCCCGATTTATTCTTAATTACAAAACGTTGGTTATTGTTTGGTGTTTTTGTTCTCAGTATTATCAAATCAGAATGAGAATCACATGAGTCTCTTATTTGGGTTGCCAAACACTTTCAGTTCTGAAATCCAACTGGTTTAGTACTGATTTGAATCCTGACTAACTAAACCCCAGCCTCTGCAGCTAATCACTGCTAGTGCAGCCTCTGCAGCTTGGTGGGTGAATTCTAAACTTTCACAAGGCATGGCCTTGTCATTTTAATGAGAACATGAAAAAAAAAATACATACACTCTCTCTAAAACAGCTACAAAAACAACAATTAACTTTGAAGTAAAATGTTTGAGAGCCACTGCCCTGAGACCGACAACAGTTTAAACAAATTCATATTTTATTTTAAAAGTTTGGTAAAATAGAGTAATTATAGCTTATTCCATGATACAGTTATGTATAAATATTATATAATAATAATATAATTGTGTTTAAATTACAAACACTGAATGCACATTAGGAAGCTTCAGGAATTATTCAGGTTTGTAGAGAGATATTTTTGTTGCTACACTTACCACCTCTGGGTCCATATCTCACCCACAACAACAACCCAGATGACAAGCCACCTGCCTGTGTGCTGCCTGTCACATAATCCACAGCACCCAATTTCAGACAATGGCCAAAAAAAAAAAGAAATAGACCAAATCACTGCATTACTCACAACAAAGTTTAAATGACTACTTCCATTTCAAACTTAATTGCATTTAGTCGCATTGTACTAGGCTGTACGAAGCCTCTGGTGAACATAACGATTCATGATCAAACAAAATACTCAGTGGGATTTTCTCTTATTTTAATATAGCTATATTTATTGTAGCCTACATCAGTAAAATAAAGGAAGAGTTGTGTGGCATAATTGAATGTTATTTAATAAAAAAAAAAAAGAAAAAAAAGAAAGATCAGACCCACGTGGCTCTGCAGTGATAATAAAGCCCATTTGCTGCGTTGCTGTTGCTTGGTGAACGTGAACGCGCGTCAGTGCACGCGCTGGTGCTGATAAAAGAGACTGTACTCTGTTGTGCGCGCCCCCGCCTCTCTCTTCTCTCTCCAGCTCCGCGCGTGCGTGTGAGGGAGGGTGTGAGTATGTGTGGCAGTGTTGTATGTGGGAGCGGGAGAAGAGACTCTGCAGTGTCTTGGCAGCTGCATTAGTGCATCCACAGTGGCAATGCCTCCTCGAGCGCTGCGTGCCTCCTCCGCGTCCACTTGACATTACATGCCGATATGAACTCTCCACGGAACTGACTGGACGAGGAGCGAGCGGACCTTTACGCAGCAGCAGCCAGCTTTGAAGCAAGATACCAACCGGGTAGACTGCGGCCGGAGCGTTTCGTTCACACCCCGAAAGCCCGTGACGAGATTTTTTAATGGAAAATGGCGATAGGCAAAAGGTCTTGCAGCCTGGTCTGCTTCATATCTATTCAGATGATCTTTCTTCTAAGCAACGCGCCGTGGCCCGGAGCAGAGGGGCTTCTGTTCCCCCAACATTACACGTAAGTAACGCACTGTGACAGAAACCAGTGGGACTAAGATGGTCACAACTTAAGTCTTGTCCACTCGGATTTGGTGTCAAGAAATCTCTCTGTTCAATCAGCCGCTCAGCCCTGCTCTTATGTAATTTGGTTGCATCAATATAAACGCGGAAATGAACTACCCTGTATTGTGTTGAACTATTGTCCATAATCTGACAGAGAATTGAACTCATTAAAAATAACAGAAACAAATATGCCATACAATCACTCACAATTTGTTGGTTTAACAACTTAATTTTCCAAAGCATACCAAAGATCAATTGCTGTTAGATCCTATTGTCAGGGGAATAAATGGGACACACAAAACCAGGATGGTGCAGTCTTTGAAGAAGTTGATAATGAGGGTGTAATCCCATTTTCAGTCTTAGGTACAGGTGCCATTACAGTGAAAAGCCTGTAGGTTTAGTATTGTTTTCTTAGCAGAATAATGAGATGTTTCCATGGACACTGCAAGGCACCACTATTGTATTGGCCATTGGCTATTTTATATATTTTTTATTGTTAAACACTTGCTCACAGCCTCCATTAACACCTGGGCAGCAAGAGCCCGTGTCTCCTCTCAAAAACATTGGTGAAAATAAGCATCTTCCAAACATAAGGTTTTGTCCACCTGGTTCAAAAAGCGGGAACAGATCTTGTAATAATTCTGTTTAAAGCACAGTTTTATAGAATACAGTTGTTTTTTCTGTAAATAATTCTATGTACAAGTATGGTCTATCACAATCAAACGTTTTTGTGTTGAACCTAAACAGATATTGTCATGTTTGTTTTAAAGTGTCCTGTTTTAGATCTCCAGGTACTTTGTTCAGTAAGTTACTATACACAAGATTGCTTAAACTCTTGTTTTCAGTGTTTCTAACAAAAGACCAGTAGCATTCTCCTCTTCTAATCCCATCAGTCAAGTGTCTGAATAACTGTCTGAGCTACAATTGCTGCATATTGTCCATACAGATTTTATCTTTGTTGAATGATCTGCATATTCTCTTGCCCCTTAGTTTTTGACAGATTATAAATGGCTATAGATTTGGATCATGTTTATCAGTGATCCCTGTTGTCCACTTTAGGCTGTGCTTGAGGAGGACCTGGGTCCAGATGGTCCCCTCCTCTCCTCCACACCCTCGGAAATCTGCCAGTCACTAGGGGTTTACATGTAATATATACAATGAAAGTTAAAGACAATGCAACGAAACAAAACAAAACAAAACAAAACAAAATGGTGTTCGTCCTTGAAGCATTAGCTTGCAGAACATTTTGTCTTAATCTTCTGCCATCATTTAGATGGGCTAAATTGTTGTACCATGTGTGTTGTCTTTTGCTTTGGGTCTCTAAATACATGCTAAATGAAGCAGAGATTATGCGCTATGGAGCAACAGCATCTTTTTCCAATTAAGAATTAATATGACTGCAGCACAGATTTATCCAGCTTCAGGAGTGTTAACACCACTCCTCACTTCATCCCCTGTCCTGAGATAGAGACAAATAAATAATGCAGTGATATAGATGACACTGACAATGTAAAATCAGATTGACTCTTGTAACAGAACTAAAGGTGCAGTGCAATATGTAACTTTTTTGGTGAAGGGCCAGTCACCTGCTTGTCCCTATGGAAGTGTGATTGTTTGCCTGCAGTGTTCCACACTATGAGTTATGACAATTTTGCTTTTATTCAGTTCCAGGACTTTTATTGCTCAATTCATTCTTACATTGAGCACAGGTTGCCTCTCTACAGATCTGACCTGTAACTGGATCTGGTGGCATCACCTGCTTGTCTCCATGGAGATATATATTATGAATACTATACTGTGAAACGTTTTAGGCAAAGCAGTTATAGTTCCAAGCAGGCAGTGTACAGTCCATCATAAAAGTTACACAGTGCGCCTTTGTTAATTGTCAACTGTTATACTACTGATCTACAATGTCAGAATTGAATATTTACATAGAATGGAAAATAAAGCAATAGTGAAAAATTTTGACCAATGAACAAAAATGTTAATTACATATTCACACATTGTAAATGAAAAACTATAAAGCTGTCATTTTTTTTTTTCTTATTTACTAAAATTGAGCACTAATTCATTTTAAAATAAACAGATTTGATTTTATTCCCCCTTCAATGCAGTTCTAGACTGCTCCCTTGCTCCTCTCCCTGTGTCTTTGGTGAATATGGGTCATGTACAGCTATAGTACCACTGCTCTGTCCCCTGGGTCTCCAAGTGTAGAATCGGCTATAGCTGCCTCTTTATCTCCAACCTGACTTGGTACACAAAATCACCCCAGTCAACATGTGGACAGACCTCAAATTGGGCTTTGGCTTTATCTTACTAATGGCTGTTAAAGATACATATACTTAGTATTGCATTGGGTACTCAACACACTACTAAATGTATTGAATAAATATTTCATAAAAGAAAATGGTAAAGGCTAAAAGGCAGTTTGCTCTCATATCAATATTGCAGCACGACATGGCCCCACAGGTTCTACTAGTTCACAAAGATTTATTATTGTGTGTTGATCTCATTGAAAAACATAGTAGAAGCAGAGCTTAGTTGTCCCATTTGTCCATTAATCTGACACTTCTGAATTCTTAACAAAACACATTCTTTTTATAGTCATCATACATCATAAAATTATTTTATCCAGAAAGTGATATATGTATATGTTTGCTAAATGTCATATTATTATAGTATTGGTAACAGTCCTGAAGCCCAAATTATTCTATGTAACCCATAAACTTACCTTACCTTATCTTATAAATTATTTTAAATGTAATTCCTCAAGCCTTTTTGTTATTTTATATTTGGTGAAAAAGGTAGTTATTTTGGTTTGCTGGGATAAAAGTGATTGATTGACTGACAGCAGGTATTCCCAACAACTTACTCATAACACTACACTTCATTAGCTAGGACCACACCAACAACGAAACATAGTGCGAAGAAGTTTATTGATAATGTACGACGTGGGGCAGAGATGGCTGGGTTGAGACTCTAGGTGGGGGCTCCGTCTCAATCTTCAATTGGCCCAGTCGGAACGAGACCCCCCCTTGTAGGGGTCTTATGACTGAAAGAGAAAATAGGGGGTGGGAGGGTGGGGTCGAGTTCGCCGAGACAAACTGGGATGATGGGAAAGGCTGCTACATATAGGCTTCTGGGAAATTAGAGGCGTGGTCGAGGTGAGTTGTGGTTCGCTGGTGAGAGGAGAGGGCGGCTGAGGTGTGGTCCTGCTCTTGAATCTCATATTAACTACATTTATTATTACATTACTCATTGATGTAACAGTATAGCTGCCAATTGTAAAGGCCTTCCCATATGGCTTTGTGTAACTAGCCATCTGTACATCAGGTTATATAGTAAAAAAAAACAAAAACAAAAAACAGATGAGATTAGAATGTCTATAAATTATGTATACCAAATGCTATGTTATATCTTGTAAGCAGTTTCCTATTTTATTGCCAAATGGTGCATAGTTGGATTTCTTGTTAAAAAGTGCTGCTTTCTGCTATTTTTCCCAACTCCTCCGTCACTGTGTCGCTATGACTGCCGCAGGCCCGAAAATATACAGTTTAAAAAAGTAGTGCTTGTCAAACGTACCATGAGACTGTGAATCATAACTTCAATGGGAAATGCTTGTTAAAGTAGCACACAGCTTATCTTGCTATCACTGACTGTCTCCATTTTGGTTGATTTTCAAACCAGCCCAAGCTACAGATAAAGCATTTGATGTCTGCATTATCTTGTCAAGAGAATGGATAAGATGTTGTCGCTCTGATGAAAGTAGCACTTCTTGAGGCGAGATTGTAAAACTCAGCGAGCAGTAGATACATGGATGGCAGTGGTAATGGATGGCCTCTCTGGGCATGCAAGAAAGTCAATGCACATTTTTTCAGTGCTTTCAGACCAGCTTGTTTAGACACAAAGGACTAATAATGTTTAGGATTTTCACATTTACGCATTATAAACATGTTGTCAATTAATTTTAATAGATAGATAAATAGATAGATACTTTATTGATCCCTATGGAAATTCAAATAGGCCCTTCGTAGGAGAAAACAGAAATAATAACACTACATTAGAATTAAACTGTGATTCTTAAGCTGTGCATGACAGAACTATATACAGTATTTATTGTTTCATTAATAGCCTGGTTGTTTTTAGGCCTGGCGCAATATACTGAGGTGTTGTGAAACAATGAGAATCGCTCAGTTTGTGATCAAGCTTAAATCACAAATGGCTTAGTACAGTAATAATCTCTCAGTGCTCAGATAGTGTAGGCTATATCTTAATGCCATGTTAAGACCCATGTGTGGGATGGACAGATTGTTAGCTGCAAAAATGCATCCTATCACTCTAAATACACATTACTCTTATTGCATGGGTTTTACATTTAATAATGAATAGCTGTGTTCCTATTGAAAAAGCATAGGTAATAGCAAGATAATGTCAATGGTCCAGTCCCAAAATACAATACAAAATATTCTTTAAACTCTTTAGAATTTAACTGCAGTTGCCAGACCCAAGGCTTTTTGTTGCTTTCACTGCATGAGAAATAGCTGCATAGCATTAGGCTGTTTTCCATATTGAAAAATTGTTTGACCTTGAGGTGTTTTTTGTTGGAAAAACACGTGTACAAGGCTAGCATTTATTGTAGTCACAGTAGCACTGGGCTGATGAGGAGAAGCAGTAAAATATGTGCTACAGTTGCTGTCTCTCTGTTTATAGCGCTGCAATGACCTTTCACCATATGGATAAGATGCCTTTGTAATTTTGGCAAAACCGAAATACAAACACACTGTAAGTTTTTGACTGAAATGCTTAAGGGTTAAAGTTTTCTCTAATTTGAGCCAGTCCAAAACCAAGATAGAGAAACTATCTAGAGTACCTATAAAACATAATAAATTGAGATTGCACACAAAGAGTCAGATGAACCAAGATGAGGTTGTGAAATAAATGCTCTTTTTAACCAGTTCTATTTGCAGGTTGGATGGGAACAAGAAACAAAAGTACATCATGTTTTATACTCTGGGAAATTCCTTGTAACTAAAGTAGTGGTCATGTGTAGTATGAATGTCTACTGTAATGCTTTTGTAATCGGTCAGTGTCTCTGATGTTTCTTCTTTTACCCTCTCTGTGTTATTGTGGCTCCACAGGGTAATGCACTGGGCCAGACGCATAGAGCAGGAGATAGACCGGGTTTTTCAGCAGATCACTGGAGCACAGCAGCTCAAAGGGGTGAGTACAGAGCTGCGGCAGACACGGTTTCTCATTTTCTTTTCATTCACTGCTGTCCGCTGATAGAAATGCACAGGGCAGGGGGGTCAGAGTACAAAAACGCCACATATAGGGCGATTCATATAGCATCCAAGCAATTATACAGTTCTCTGTAGAAGCTGTATATTTTATTAGTGGTTGCTAGAATCAAATACAGCCCGTAATATTTATGATCTCCAGCTTTCTCAGTCCTTTATGTATTTTGAATGTTTACAGTTTTTGTGCACAATAATTATTAAATTCTTGCACTGGCTAAGCACACGATTCTGCTTGGTTTTAGCAGACCTGCTGTTATACCATATAACACCTACATTTATTTATAGATATTGATTCAGATGATGTGTTTTTGACAGAAAGGTTTTCATGGAGTTCATGTTGGAAACAAGCACATCTTATTATAGACAGGAAAGGCTATTCTTACCACTATTATTATAGTCATTACCCAACACATGGGTCGACACTGGCTTCAGCTCTTCACACTCAGTTGGTTAGAAGTCTTTCCTTAATCTTAATGAAAAAAGCTTTTTAGTAAAATAGTTAAAGGAAGAAGATACAGTGATGAGAGAATTTTAAAAATAATTTTGAGATATGACCAACACAAGCACACAAGTGTGGTAATTTAAGAGCTTTATGTATCCATGGAAATGGCATTTTTGGTACACCATTAAAAAAATATATCTTTGCTTCATGTCAGAATATAAATGCTCACATATATATTGCTATTACCTGCCCGTTCTCATTGTGGCTGGCTTTTTGAGGTTTCCTGGTCCTGATGGATGGACTGAGTACAGGGGTGGTGTCCTCTACAGTCATTCAAGCCATTTGGATTGATGTCAGAGAGGAACCACAGCACCCATCTATTGGCTTTACAGAGTGCTTTCTGTCTCAACTGTGACAGGCTGCTGATAAAAAGGTCCTTGTAAAAAGATGTGCTGTATGTTATATGGTTTCTATACTGTAGATAATTTCTCAGTTGTAGAGACTTCCTTTTTGCAGTTTGCATATTTTTCTTCTCTTAGTACTTGTCTTATTTATTTCCATTTTCACAGTGAAAATACCAGTATCTTTAATATGTCACCCCACACAGAGGACATAATAATGTAATAGAGCACTACGTAACATCTTTTTGGTGGAGGATGTGGCACATGCTTGTCTCCATGGAGATGTTGTCCCTTTTCTTGTAATTTTCCACTGTATGGTATTGTATTTTGCTATCCACGAGACAAGCAGGTGACACCACCAAGTTATGTTAGATCTGTGGAAGAATGCATGTTTTTCAAGGTATCTTGGAGCAATAAGAACACTTGTAATTGAATCAGTGTAGGATAGATTAGTTTAATGCCCTAGTGTGGAACATTCCAGCAAAGCAACATCTTATGGAGACAACCGCATTGCAAATGTTCTACCAGAAAAGTTGTAGTGCATCTTTAAATTAGCTACAACAACAGCCCTGTACAAATTAAGAGGTTGTAATTTGCTTACTGTAGTCTTAATTGAATGGTAGTGAGATGGTAGATGCTTGTTTTCTTAACTATTGAGTTAAACTCCTGTAGTCCGGAGCACGTGCCCTCCCAGTTTGTGTCACAGAGAACAGATGGTCAACCCACACTCTCATTTCATTCAGGGCTAAATTAATCCTTGTGAAAAGACTATTAGGACTCTGACATGCTTAGTGCACTCTTAGAAACATGCGTGAAAGAGTCTAGGTTTGTTTCAGTGTTTTACTGATAAACATAAGGCAGTAATGTCTCTGTGCGGTATGTGTTTCATTATGAATCACATGTTTTTCTCTTTTTTTTTCTACCCAGATTGTACTGATTTCCCTCCACTGCTTGTTTTGATGAATATAAGTTTTATTTTGTAATTATAATGCTCATGACTCAGCAATGGCCACACATGACTTAATCCCATGTTGAGCTATATGAATCATCTTGGGTTTACTATTGATTAGTCTACACAATGTGACAAACACAGAGAAACTTAAAATGGATAAAAGCAGGTGACGCCACCAGGCCCAGTTACAGCTCAGATCTGTGGAACCCAGTCACAGAACTACTGGGTGTTTTTCAAGGTTCTTTTGAATAATAATTTAATTGATTGCTTTAAATGGAAAAATAGACTTCTCGCATTTATTCAGTTATTGCTAAAAGATCCATACTATAGACAAAGCAGACTCTTCACCAAATACTCCATGTCTTTCTGTTTTCCTTAAGACCCACATCTGCCTCATAAATATGCTCCACTTTAGTCTTGCCTCCTCCTGCCTGGTTCATTGCGTTCCCTCTTGGATGTGTGTGCGTGTGTGAAGTCAGCCCAAGCTTCAGTCTCTGGTCAGTGCAGCAGCTTGAGGGATGTCTTCAGGTCCATTTATAGGATTAAGGCTGTCGCGCTGCTCCCTTCTCTCCTCAATGCAGTCCCACCAGAGCAGAGTGTGATGCCCTCATTCAGGACACACTTTCTGGTTCACTGCCTCATGTCCAGATAGTCTTCTACTATGTTATTTTAAGACAATACTAATTATATTACAGGAAAAAGACACAATTGAAAGTATATAATGTAAAAAATCTTTAGAGTAATGAATGTGCAGTGTGGTATGATTTTTATGATAGATTCCTTAATTGGTGCAACCCTGTTAAGTTATCAGAGGACTAGCAGGGTTCAGGTCACAGGTGCTTTTTCCTCAGTGAGTTAAGTTGATCACATATATATTTTCAGATTGCTTGATAACTACCACATCCATTAATAATTCATTCATATATAAAAATTAATGGTGCACTGTGTAACTTTTTTGGGGAGAGGGTCTGTTACCTGCTTGTATCCATGAAGAAGTTATTGCTTTACCTAAAATGTTCCACAGTTTTGCAATCAACATATATATTACTTGCATGTGTTCAATTACAGGGAATTTTATTATTTTGAAAAACATGCATTCTTACTGAGAGCAGAGGCACTTATCCACAGATCTGATCTGGAACTTGGCCGAGTAGCTTCACCTGCTTGACTCCATAGATGGAGATAGATGTTTAATGTTATCGAACATTTCAGCAATAGTATTTCCATGGAGATGATCAGATGACCTTCTACCAGAAAAGTTACACAGTGCACTTTTAAAAAGCAAGTGATACAAAAATACTATCACTACAGTGTAAAAATACAATCATCTGAAATTAACCACTGTTGCCCTGTGTGTCTCAATTATAATTTAGGGCCCTTAAAATTCTTAGGATTAGGATTTGCTGTGGTGTGGACTGTGTAAATCTGAAAAAAACATTTCTGACAATATTTGTGACATATTTGTGTTGCCAGTTATATATTCTTATTATGGGATTGCTCTATATTGAGACATAATGCACAGGTCAGTTTGATGCTTGTGAGAGAAAGTCAGATGGAGTTTACAGGAAACCATTAGCAACACAGGAAATTAAACATGGATTTCTGTATGCTCTGCCAACTCAGCACATCGCACTGTGGTTCACACTCCACAGAAATCATTCTGTCTGTTTTCTTAGGCTACCTCAACCACTCAGTGTAACTACAAATATATAAATACATGCACCTTATGGACACCCATGTAACACAAAAGCAGTTTAACTCTTTTTTTTCTATACAATATTTGATTACAGGGGATTTGCAACATTCATACAGTAGTAAAAATGATTGATTTGTGTTCTGGGATGCATTATCAGTTGTTTATTATAAGATGGATGGAACTTGCTGTTAATACAAGTGGTTTACAGACCCTGGATTTATTTTACATTTAAAAGTCATAAAATTGTGATTCAATTTATTGTTATTTAGATTAGTGCTGTTGTTGGTCTTGGAGTTACTGTTTTGAGAGTTTTGTGAGAAGTTCAAGCATGACAGTTCAGTACATTACATTATGTTTCATCACTATCTTTGATGCAGTTCTTCAGTGAGTAACACAGGCTGTTGTAAAGATATTTGGTTCAATATTGTTCAGCTTTAGATATCTGCTAGTTACAAATGACTGCTGTTTTAAAGACATTATTTGGAAGTGGAATTGTTTTTCTAAAAGCAAATGTCAGTGTTCCTCCAGAGAGCTGTGGGCAGGAAGCAGCCAAATTTAGGTTTTTACTTGTGTCAGGACTGTTCTCTTGTTTTCCCAGATTTTGACATAAATAGCATGTTTGTGGTGAATTCCTGAGCTTTGGGTTGTTCAAAGAATTACTCTGTAAATTGGAGATTATGTTTTTCTTAAGAAAATAAAGAATGTCAAATGAATTAATGCTTATTTTAAAAACATATATAGAAAAGCTCATACAAGATTTGCCATTATTTACACTATTTAGTAAGTTTTAGGTGCAGGGTCAGAAACCTTGAGATGCAGATTTTATCATTTTTGCCTGGAATTTTCTATGAAATTGCAAAAATTTAGCAATCTTGACAATAAAACAATTGAATGAAAGAAAGATGGATATGTTTATATCATACTGTGGAGCATTCCAGGAAAAATAATAACATGAGACTAGGAGAAGTCAGACCATCCACCAGAAAAAAGTTATATAGTTCACCTTTAATCTAATTTTTCCTTTATGTTACAGATTTATAATGAGGAAAGGCGGCGGTTCAGTGTGATCAAGAATCAACCCAGAAGAATCGTGGAAAAGGTGGCGTTAGATATCGAAAGACTCCTGGCTAAAAAACGCAAAGCCCTGGATGTAAGTATGACAATGATACTGTCAGTACTCTAGGATTTAATTACTTTTTTATTTTGCTTCTTTGTAGACTTAAATTTTCTTCTTTGAATGGAAATATTCTTCAAATAAGAAAAGAATAATTGAAAACCATGAATATAATATATTAAACAAAAAATATACATACCTTTAAGATTAGCTTCATGTTACATTTTTCTAAACTATAGCGTAGGATACAAGGATACAACTGTTTAGTGCTTTGGATGTGCCCAGTAATAGTGGTCAAAATATTGAATGTATATATAGTAATTTGGCTCACCATCTCACACTGCTTTCAGTACAAAATCCTGCTCCTCACATTCATAGCCCTCCACAACCTTGCACCTTCATATCTATCTGCTTAGACTGGCCTTTTGTTACACCATACCACCAGACCACCAGACCACCAGACCACTGCTGTCCTGTATTAACTGTATGCTTTTAACTGTATGTTTTTTCTGTATACACGGTATTCGTAATTATTAGGCAAGTTGTATTTAAGATGATTCATTTTATAATTGAACATCATTGAACATCTACAGTGCTCTCAATCAGTCCAACATGTTAATAAACCTCAAACTTGAATATTTAAGAAAGTAAAAGTGAAGTTTTGGCTTTCTTAGGAGAAAATCTATGTGTGCGCAATTATTGGTCAGCTATTAATGTGTAGAATTATTATGCAACAAAATGAAAAATTAACATTTTCCATTTTCACTATTTTCATCTGTCAGAATAATAAACAACTCAAAATGTATAAATAAAAATTTCTGATATTTAAAAAAATTATAAAATAAAAAATCAGTGACTAATATAGCCAACCTTCTTCTCAATAATGGTCATAAGCCTTCCATTCACAGAGTCTGTCAGTTTCTTCTTTTTGTGCAGAAGGAACCACAGCCCCCCAGACGCTGTTCATAGAGGTGTACTGTACTCTTTTCCTTCACCATAAATCTCCCATTTAAGAAGGGCCCACAATTTCTCAATAGGGTTTAGGTCAGGTGAGGAAGGGGGCCATGTCATTATTTTGTCTTCTTTAAAGACTTTACTGTCTAGCCTTGCAGTGGAGTACTTCAGTGCATGTGATGCAGCATTGTCTTGCATAAAAATCATGGTCCTCTTGAAAGACGTAGACATTTTCCTGTACCAGTGCTTAAAGAAAGTGTTTTGGAGTTATGAGTTCATCTTCAACCTGAAAAGGTCCAGCAAGCTCATCTTTAATAATACCATCCCATACCAGTTACCCCAACTCCACTTTACTGGCATCTGAGTCAAAGTGGAGCTCTGTGCCTATTACAAATCCAGCCACGGGCCCATCCATCTGGTCCACCAAGAGTCACTCTCATCTCATCAGTCCATAAAACCTTTGAAAAATCTGTCTTCAGATTTTTCTTGGCCCAGTCTTGATGTTTCAGCTTATGCTTCTTGTTCAGTGGTGGTTGGGTTTCAGCCTCCCTTACTCTTGCCACACTGTTGACTATTTACAACAAAATGTTTGATGGTTCTGACCACACCACAGTATTTTTGCAAGAGTGTTACAAGAGTGCTGCATCCCTTTGAAAGACTTTTTACAATTTTTGATTTTTCAGAGTCAGTTCAATTTTACCTGCCCATTTTACCTGAGGAAAAAAAGCTGCCTAATAATTCTGCCCACCTTGACATAGGGTGTCCCTTTTTAGACAAATACACATCACCTGATCTGCTTAAATCCAATAAGAATTAAAGTTTATACAGCTTGGAGTTGGAGAATATGCATGAAATGCTTATTATTATGCTTATTATTATTAATTTACCTATTTAGTTTTAGTTTACTATAACTATCTGCTATGGGTGAATTTGTCAGCAGTTGTAATTCCTATAACAATTTGAAGGAAACGTATTTCTAATTAAGCTTTAAAATCCCATAGAACCCTTAGTTATTTGTGTAATGTCTTTTAAACAAGCTGAACAAAAATGTTTTCTTGGAGTGTCACGGCTCCTCTGAGACACAATAGTTCTTGATGTTTTTAATCAATAAAGGAAAGAGTAGGTCTAATGCAGCTCATTTGTGTGTGTAGAGGTTAGCCAGTGAAGCGGAGCGGTTACAGCGGGAGCATCTGTGGAAGGACAGCATCAAGGTAAACACAAATTAATTTAAAACCACCATCAACAGCACTGTGCAAATGACTCAACAGGCCCATGGACAGAATGGAAATAATACGTTTTATGTGGGTTGCTTTTGTCACAATGTGCGGACTAAAATCTATACGTACTCACTTCAGGGGGGCATGCTTTCTGTAATGTAAATCCTTTATTATTGGATCAGCAACATGATTTGGGTTACAATAGGTGAAGGTTTAGGTTAAGGTTTAACAAGTACAGAAACTATGGTTGAGGAAGTCAGGGTCAGTCCCAAAGAAATTAGTGTCATATATATATATATATATATATATATATATATATATATATATATATATATATATATATATATATATATATATATATATATATATATATATATATATATTATTTATTTATTTATTTATTTATTTATTATTTATTTATTTATACACACACACACAGTGTTGGGGAGTAACAGATTACATGTACCGGCGTTACATAATCAGAGTACAAATTATGAGTAACTATTCGATTACAGTTACTGTTTCAGTGAGTGGTAAATGGATTACAGTTACTTTGTTGAAATATATAGATTACATGGCAGTATTTTCCTGTTTTCACATTTTGGGCTATATCCCAAATATTTTATTTTTTCTCGGTAATTCCATTCATTGCTGGAAACCCAAACAGAACGTGCAATAAGAGCTACGTAAACGTAGGCCTGTAACGATAATCACTAAATCAGGCCTACGTAAACGTCATGTTAACGTTGGTGGCGTCAGTCACACAATGGACAAGGTCGTTAATAATCGCCGTTGATAATAATCTGAATCATTTTGAGTAAAAAAAACATCCAATATTACAGATTTTTACTGGGCTGGTGCCTTTATGTTTGTGCTGAAAGTGATTTTTCTTTTTTTTTTAAATAAACAATATGACACCTAACAGTAGGGTGGACATAATTTAAATTGATCTCATATAGAAAGCATTTCTCTATCAATGATATTTTCAAGATGGTTAAGTAAAGCCTGGGCTTTTAATTCTCTTTAAGCAGACAAAACCTATGTTAAGATTTCCTCGTCTTTGCTTCTGTACAGTAAACAAAAGTCTGTTCACGGAGACTTGGGCTCAACACACAATTGAAGAAAACAAACATTAATTTTCAGGATGTGGTTGCTACATTCATGCAGTTTTAAAAAACATGACAATATCAAGTAATCCAAAGTATTCAGATTACATTACTCACTTTAAGTATCTTAATGGATTACGTTACAAACTACATTTTGGGGTATGTAATTTCTTTTAATTTCTTTTTTTGAGCAAGACTACATTTCATAGTATTTTATTTAATTTAATACTAAACAGATCAGAACAGTTTTGTGCTAATTATGTCAGGCAGATACAAAAATGTATTCAGTTCATGTTGTCTGAAAATGGGACACACAGCTGCTTCCTCCAGATCACTGCTCTCAGCTGTTGTGTTGAGTTTTGCACATGTTTCATTCACTATATTTACAAAACTAAGTCAGGCTCATACCTCATTTAAGCCCAAATTTGGGAGAGTCGTCATGTAGTTATAGCAGAAATACATGAAATGCTCTTTAGGCAAGGTGAGTCTTTAGGCTTATATTTTTATTTTTGTAAAACAGAAAGTTCCTATTGATTCTCTATGGAATTCTTGAGTTTAACAGAGAATAAGGGAAAGGCTTTATGTTTGTGAAGCGTACATTATGATTTACTCATGAATAATTGAATAATTGTAAAATATTAAGATTCAGAAGAAAATGTACATGATGCTTGTTAATGATCTAAATACTCCCATTTATTCTCCTGAAGGAGACAAGACAGAGTTTTTCACTAAAGATTTTATTTACATTAATTGTAAGTGAGCATACAAGCCAAATATATATGAGATTAATTACAATTCCCCACTATCTCTTCAAAAATAACGTCTGTCTTTTATGTAGATTTGATTATGCGCTGTCTCCAAAAGGTTACATTCTCAGGGCTGTAGTATTTTAGTTGTATCTTTAAACAGATCCAAAATAGTGTGTGATTTTATGTCAAACTTGTTCTTGTGCTCAGAGAGCAGATGGCGGCACTCAGCCTGGCCCTCACACTCACTGATTCATCATGTGGCTGCACAAAGCACAATGCACACATTTGGATGAGACAGATTTGAAATACGAACATTTGGGATTTACCATAACAAATGTGTCACAAAAACATTTGTTACAAACACATTTAAACAGTGATTATTTTATTTATATCTATATAAAGAGCTTGTAATATACAGATGGTATGCTTGTGCCATATAGGCCATACTTAAAGACATACAGTGTAACTTGTCAAGTTTGGGTTTTGCTAGCTCTATATCTCCATGGTTTTTGCCTGGAATATTCCATAGTATGGCAATAAATGTATCTATCTCATATTTATTCAATTGCAGTTGTTTTTATTGCAAAGAAAAACACACTTTATTACTGTGATTGTGCTCACTATCCCACAGACTGACTCCATGAACATAGATAATTTCAATGCCATTTTGTGGAACATTCTAGGCAAAGTTTTGCCATAGAAACAAACAGATGACAAACCCTCGTCCTGAAAATTTACATAGTGCCATGTTGAGGAAATGGCAAAGTTATCATACATATTAATCTGACTTGGAAAGACACAAACTTGTTTTAACATGTCTGTATTTTTAGGAGCTGGACATGGCATACTATGACTCCAAGGCAGAGCTGGATTATGTGAGTAAATTCTCTGTTTTTGATTGCTGTGAAAATGTGAAATCCTTAATATGGGAAGGTAATTGCAGTAACTACTTTGCCTGGCTAGATGCATTGACTTTCTTACAAGGTTAAAAGCTGTAGAAAATGGTCCAATCATAACAGTTTACAGTAGTTTGATGTTGTTCAGTCAGCCATATTTTGGTTAAAAAAATAAAATAATAAATACATATATAAACTGCTGAGTTTATAGAAACCTTTATGCTGTACATTAAAATATCCTATATAAAATGTGGTTTTAATTCCTAATCAAATATTTTCTCCCCTATTTGAAACCCAAACAGCACAAGTAGACCATTTATACCAAATATTTTATACTATATTACTTCCATGACAGTATTCCATGGATGGAGAAGGAGAAGTGGAGAACCCCTCCCACATCAAGCTGGAGTTTGTTTACGACCCAAATTTCAAAAACAATGTCAACTACTCCTACACAGCTGTCCAGATCCCAACAGATATATACAAAGGAGGTACGTGACATTTGGGTTCTAGAGCTGGGCAATATGACAAAAAATGTGTCACTTCATTTTTTCCCTAGTGGCAGATCACAGTTTTAATTTTAAACAAATAAAAATGTCTTTCAGTATGAATTTCCTGAAGACACAATTATAGACTAACAAGTGATCTTTAACACATTTCTTCCTCCAAAGTCTAAACTCGGCTCATGAGTATTGTCTTTGGACGTCTGAGTCAAATAATCCTACCTGATCAGTCATTAGAAATAACTGAATCTTGATTTCGATTAAAATGTATTCAATTGTACAGACTTATTTAGGACCTCCACTATTGCTGGGTTTATAGATGACATCATAACATATGCATGGACCTATACATTTTATGGGCTTAGTCACTAATAAAAACAATCAGGTTCAACATCCGTTGTTCTACTGGGGGACTTCAACGCCCACATGGGTAACGACAGTGACACTTGGAGAAGGGTGAGTGGGAGGAACGGCCTCCCTGATCTGAACCCGAGCGGTGTTTTGTTATTGGACTTTTGTGCTAGTCACGGTTTGTCCATAACGAACACCATGTTCGAGCACAAGGGTGTCCATAAGTGCACGTGGCACCAGGACACCCTAGGCCGGAGGTCGATGATCGACGTTGTAGTCGTGATCTCCGGCCGCGTGTCTTGGACACACGGGTGAAGAGAGGGGCTGAGCTGTCAACTGATCACCACCTGGTTGTGAGTTGGGTTCGCTGGCGGAGGAGGAAGCCGGAAAGACCTGGCAGGCCCAAGCGTGTAGTGAGGGTCTGTTGGGAACGTCTGGTGGAGCCCTCTGTCAGAGGGACTTTCAACTCGCACCTCCGGGAGGACTTCTCCCGGATTCCGGGGGAGGCTGGAGATATGGAGTCCGAGTGGGCTTCATTCTCGGCCTCTATTGTCAATGCGGCCGCTCGGAGCTGTGGGCGTAAGGTCTGTGGTGCCTGTCGCAGCGGCAATCCCCAAACCCAGCGGTGGACACCGGAAGTAAGGGATGCCGTCAAGCTGAAGAAGGAGTCCTTTCGGGTCTTGCTGGCTCGGGGGACTCCTGAGGCAGCTGACGGGTACTGGCGGTCCAAGCGTGCTGCAGCTCGTGCGGTTGCGGAGGCAAAAACTCGGAGCTGGGAGGAGTTCGGGGAGGCCATGGAGGAGGACTATCGGACGGCCTCAAAGAGATTCTGGCAAACCGTCCGGCGCCTCAGGAGGGGGAAGCAGTTCTTCTCCAACACTGTTTACAGTTCGGGGGGAGAGCTGCTGACCTCGACTGGGGACGTTGTCCGGTGGTGGAAGGAATACTTTGAGGATCTCCTCAATCCCACCGTCACGTCTTCCGAGGAGGAGGCCGAGGCTGGGGACTCGGAGGCGGACTCATCCATCACCCTGGCTGAATCACTGAGGTGGTTGGCAAGCTCCTTGATGGCAAGGCTCCGGGGGTGAACGAGATCCGTCCTGAGTACCTTAAGTCTCTGGATGTTGTGGGGCTGTCTTGGCTGAGACGCCTCTTCAACATCGCGTGGCGGTCGGGGACAGTGCCTCTGGACTGGCAAACCGGGGTTTTGGTCCCTCTGTATAAAAAGGGGGACCGGAGGGTGTGTTCAAACTATAGGGGATCACACTCCTCTCAGCCTTCCCGGTAAGGTCTATTGCCAGGGTACTGGAGAGGAGAATCCGGCCAATAGTCGAACCTCGGGTCCAGGAGGAGCAGTGTGGTTTTCGTCCTGGCTGTGGAACACTGGACCAGCTCTACATTCTCCATAGGGTGCTCGAGGGTTCATGGGAGTTTGCCCAACGAGTCCACATGTGCTTTGTGGATCTGGAGAAGGCATTCGACCGTGTCCCTCGTGGTGTCCTGTGGGGGGTGCTCTGGGAATATGGGGTCCGGGGCCCTTTGCTAAGGGCTGTCCGGTCCCTGTATGACCGGAGCAGGAGCTGTGTTCGCATTGCCCGCAGTAAGTCAGACCTGTTCCCGGTGCATGTTGGACTCCGCCAGGGCTGCCCTTTGTCACCGGTTCTGTTCATTGTGTTTATGGACAGAATTTCTAGGTGCAGTCAGGGGCCGGAGGGGGTCTGGTTTGGGGACCACAGGATCTCATCTCTGTTGTTCGCAGATGATGTTGTCTTGTTGGCTCCATCGAACCAGGACCTGCAACGTGCACTGGGGCGGTTTACAGACGAGTGTGAAGCTGCTGGGATGAAGATCAGCTCTTCCAAGTCTGAGGCCATGGTTCTCGACCGGAAAAAGGTGGCTTGCCCTCTCCGGGTGGGTGGGGAGTCCCTGCCTCAAGTGGAAGAGTTCAAGTATCTCGGGGTCTTGTTCACGAGTGAGGGAAGGACGGAACGTGAGATTGACAGGCGGATCGGTGCAGTGATGCAGTCGCTGTATTGGACTGTGGTGAAGAGGGAGCTGAGCCGAAAGGCGAAGATTTACCAGTCAGTCTTTGTTCCTACTCTCACCTATGGTCATGACCTCTGGGTAATGACCAAAAGGACGAGACCGCAGATACAAGCGCTCGAAATGAGTTTCCTCCGCAGGGTGGCTGGGCGCTCCCTTAGAGATAGGGTGAGGAGCTCAGTCACACGGGAGGAGCTCGGAGTAGAGCCGCTGCTCCTCCACGTCGAGAGGAGCCAGCTGAGGTGGCTCGGGCATCTGTTCCACATGCCTCCTCCTTCTGGGCATATCCCACCGGGAGGAGGCTCCGGGGAAGACCCAGGACACGCTGGAGGGACTATGTCTCTCGGCTGGCCTGGGAACGCCTCGGGGTCCCCCGGAGGAGCTGGAGGACATGTCTGGGGTGAAGGAAGTATGGGAGTCCCTGCTTAGACTGCTGCCCCCGCGACCTGGCCCCAGATAAGCGGAAGAAAATGGATGGATGAATCTTGATTTCGATTAAAATTTATTCAGTTGTACAAACTTATTTATGACCTCTATTGCTGGGTTTATAGATGACATCATACCATATGCGTGGACCTATACATTTTAATGGGCTTAGTCACTCATAAAAACAATCAGGTTCAACATCTTTGGATTTTTTATTTATATATTTTAGCAAAATTATAATGTTTGTCTTTATGTTTTCAATTAGCGCCAGTGATTTTGAATGAATTGAACTGGACTCAGGCTCTGGAGAAAGTCTTTATGGAGAACAGCAGAGAGGATCCATCTTTACTGTGGCAGGCTTTTGGAAGTGCTACCGGAGTCACGCGATACTATCCAGGTATATGTTTTTAACTTACTTTCAAGGATTTCATTAACTGCATATAATTTTAAAGAGAAACAAGAAGGCCTTCTGTCTGCATTGGAATCAAAACTGTGCCTAGTCTTTTCCTTAGTATTACATTTGAAGTAAAATTATAGTCATGTGTTATTGTACAAGATATACCTACGACACACTGTAATGTTTTTGACATATGTGGTTTGAATGAAACCCCTTCTTTCTGCCCTTTCTGAGCAACCCCATGGAAAGCTCCTGATAAGATTGACTTGTATGATGTGAGGCGGAGACCTTGGTATGCTGCATTGCTACTGATTAAATACTGAATTATTTACCAGATTCATGCTGTTACTATAATGTAATTTTATTCATATGCACACAGGTACATCCAAGGTGCCTCATCTCCCAAAGACATGGTTATACTTGTTGATGTGTAAGTAAATGATTTTATTCAGTTATTTTTACTACTATTCTGTTATTTTTATTATTAAGTTAAAAAACATATTAACACGTGTTCTGCAATTTAAATTACTTTCCAAAGCTTAAGGGTGCACTATATAACTTTTTGGTTGGGGGTCTGGCTTGTTTCTATGGATATGTCATTGCTCTGCCTGGAATGTTCCACTGTATGACTTTAAACTGCTATATCGTATATTTATTCAGTTACAGGTGGTTTTACTGCCTCTCCTCAGATCTGACCTGTAACTCGGTTGGTTTGGTCTCCATGATGACAAAAAGGTTTAATACCATACTGTGAAACATTCCAGACAAAGGAATAACATCTCCATGGGGACAAGCATTTGACAGACATACCAGAAAAGTTACAATGCACATTTAACAACTGTACTGACATTTTATTATTGTATATACAGTAAATATAGGCACACTAAAGAGTAAAGCAGTTATAACAAGAATAAAAACATTTGAGAGGCACTTAGCGTGCTCAAAAGATCAAAATGATTCTAAGTAGAATAATGTCAAAGCTCAAATGAAGACAAACAAAAAATGTAAGCAACTGTAAACAGTTTATAATGTAAATTAATCTTTCTTGCTTTTATTGTTGTTTGCTGAAGTTACATGAAAATCAACAGAACACAGTCATAGCTGAGGTCTGCGTTTTGTGTCCTTGTAGTGGCTAGTTTTTGTAAATCTAATCTAATATTGAGAGGGAGAGGCGACTAGAGCAGCCCTTCATCCACATGTGTCATGCCTACGAGACCGTCTCCATGGCAGCAACTACTCCACTTATAATGAGTCCTGAACCGATGTTCCCATCCACTGTATTAGGGTTATGATATTAAATAGATTCAGGGCTTACTTTTCTAATCTGCAAAGGTGGCTCAAGTAATTAGAATCTCTTGGTGTGGAGTCTGGATGGATCTGAATTTGATACTGTGGGTTCTTTGTCTTCCCTTTATTGTCTAAAAAGATTCATGAGATAGTGAAAATGCTTTTGAATAACATCTTATTGCAATTTTTTGGGTTTAAATGTTTTCATCGATATATTTTTCACCCAAAATAGATTAAAAAAATGTTGATATAGGGTACATTAAAAGATAAATTCTCATACAGAGAAATCTGAGTATTTGTTATAATCAAAAGACTACTTACTACTTACTTATTCTAACTTACTTCTTTGAAAAGAATTTGTGATTTTGTCATTCTATGTTATACCTGACTGTTGTAATACCATGTTTTCCAGGAGTGGCAGTGTCAGTGGACTCACTCTGAAGTTGATCAAAGCCTCTGTCATGGAGATGCTGGATACTTTGTCAGATGATGATTATGTCAATGTGGCTAGGGTAAGAATATGATCCATTAAATCTTTAAGTAAATTGCACATTGCAAAATTAAAATTTCATCTTTTGAAAAAATCATCTTTTCTTGTTTTAGTTTAATGAGAAAGCTGAAGCTGTGGTCCCCTGTTTCAAACACCTTGTTCAGGCAAATGTTCGTAACAAAAAGATATTCAAAGAAGCAGTCCAACAGATGCAAGCTAAAGGCACGACTGACTACAAATCCGGGTTTCACTTTGCTTTCAACCAGCTGTTAAATGTAAGCAACAGTTCACACTATCAATATAAAGTAGGAGAGACAGACCAAGATGCATTTTTTCATGAAACGATGACCTCTGTCAGTATTTTTAGGTTAATATGTAGGGTGATTTTTGTAATTTTCCCCAAACTAGCTAATTAGAATTCAGTACAAATCTGCAACCTTGTTTTACTACAAACTGGATAAAACAACAGTGTAGTCACATTTTTTGCAGTACCCTCTTTTAAATTATGCCTGTAAATTTCTTGGTTGAGGTTAAAGTGACTGGACTGTAAAATGAGCACATGTGCAAAAATTTCACTGTATAGCCTTTTGGTTTGAATGATCACACTTACATATTTCTGTTCTTTAATATTTTCATTGACTGAATTTAAAAATTTTTGCTCACATCCAAAACACCAATTATCTTGTCTAATTGAACGCCCACCTCTAATTAAATCTACTTCCACTTCTGCTTCTACTACTTCTAAACATACTTCCAATAATATTTTAATTTCTTTGTAGAAAACAAATGTCCCTCGGGCAAATTGCAATAAGATAATCATGCTGTTCACTGATGGGGGAGAAGACAGGGCGCAGGACGTGTTTATGCAATACAACTGGCCCAACAAAACGGTACAATAAATGATATTATACTCTCTCTCCTCAACACTGCCCTCTCTTCCTTCAACCCTTCTCTGTCTCTCCTTCTGCTTTCTCTCTCCCCCTCCCCTTTTTCTTGTTCTCTTTCATGACCCCCCCCCCACATTCTCTTTATCTCTCTTTCTCATGACTCCCCCTTCTCTCTCCCTCACTCTGTCTCCCTCTTCCTCTTCATCTGCCTCTTTTTTCCACATCTCTCTAACTTTACTTTCTATTTCAGCAATGCTACATAATCTAAATTGTATTTTAATATATTTTTCCTTACAATTTCGCCCTGTTTAGGTTCGAGTATTCACCTTTTCTGTCGGTCAACACAACTACGACGTCACACCATTGCAGTGGATTGCTTGTACTAATAAAGGTAACGTAAAGGCAAATTGGATTGTGGTTGGCTTATTTGATTTCATGTATTACTCTTTATATAGGTACTTTCATATAGCTTTAAAATATGTATTAAAATGTTAAAGATTAAGTGTGAGCACATTTGATGAATAAGCTTCATGGGTAAAATTCATGGCTATATTAAGAATGCACATACTGGAACAGAGTGCAGAGTCTATTAAAATTGATGAATAGATTTGGAACCACCTCACGGGACCAAAACAAATAAATCAATCCCTAATGCGCCTGGTCTCCAAAACACTGGCAGTAATTACGCCTATGTTATGCCGCAAATGCTTTTATTTTTGAAGCAAATATGACTAACTGTTTTAGTTAAGTGAGAGTGCAATTAAGCCAAATATATTAAAGGTGCACTATATAACGTTTCTGCTCCTTACTGCCTCCACAGAGATGTTATTGCTTTGCCTAGAATGTTCCACAATATCGCATTAAACTTAACTATCTCCATAGAGACAAGCAGTACAAATGCATGTTTTTAAAGGTTTTTTTGACCAATGAAAAACATGTAATTGAACACATTCCAGGTAAAGCAATAACATTTCTAGGGAGACAAGCTGACAGGGGACGCTTAGAAGTTACAGTTACACAGTGCTCCTTTAAAAAGCTGTCTCAATTTCTGTTTCATCTATATTTCCCCCTTCTTATAATGACCTACCTATAGCCAGACTTAATGTTTTTTTGTTTTTTTTTTGTTTTTTTTTAAGTCTGGTATTAAATATGTCTATTGGGTTATATTAGCACAAACACTGATTAATATACTCATGCATAACATTATGGCCACTTACATAATATTGAGCGAACATCAACAATAGTGGTTGAGAATTTGACATTGTTTTTTAGTAATCAGAATTTTTTCATTGTCTAAAATTTGTGGTTAAATGTTCACTTGTGAAATAATATTATGCTTGATTACATATTTTGCCTCCTTAAAACTATATCAGCTTTTTAAACTAGAAAAGTAAATGAAGTAGATGAATTCTGCGGTGTTCCACAAAAAGATCCTCTGTGTTATTTAAGTGTCTGAGTCACTCTAGTAAAATGCTGAATATTTATGATCTTGCCTCTTGTGTATTCTAATATGTATATCTTGCTTCACTCTCTCTCTTTCTGCCCCCTGTCTCATGTTCTTTTCTCACCGACTCCCCTTTTCTCTCTCCTATCTTATCTTACTCTCCCTCTTTCTTTCCCTCTCCCCTCACCGCTTTTTCCTTTCTCTCTCTTCACTATCTTGCTTTCTCCCTTTCTTTTCTTTCTCTCTCTCCCTGACCCTCTTTCTCTCTGTCTTCTATTATCTTACTCTTCCCTCTCTCCCCCCTTTCCCCAAACCCTTGTTTTCTCTCTTTCCTTATTATTCCTCTCACTCCTTCCTTTCTCTCTCTCTCTCTCTCTCTCTCTCTCTCTCTCTATCTATCTATCTATCTCTCTCTTTCTCTTCCTTTCTCTCCCCCCTTTGCTATGTTTCTTTTTCTTCTGTTTTCGTCAGGTTACTATTTTGAGATCCGTTCCATCTGTGCCATCAGGATTAACACCCAGGTGGGTTAGACTCCTGTACTCAGCTCCCCCGTTTGTTTGCACACAGTATTGTCCCCTATGACCCAATGTTGTGGCTGTAGTGATTTTGCTCCATGCACTGTTGTGTTATGACAGGAGTACCTCGATGTGCTGGGGCGCCCCATGGTGCTCGCGGGCAGTGATGCAAAACAGGTTCAGTGGACCAACGTCTATCAGGACGCTCTGGTGAGAAAGCCGTGGGAGTTCATGAGAAACTGCCTTTCCATGTCCTGTTCTTCAGTGATGGAATATAAACAACAATTCAGAATTTTGCATTAAATATATGATGCAATCTATCAATCAGAGTATAAAAAAACAATATTTGCATGACTAATCTTTATAAAAACTATGATTATACTAGACTATTCACTTAAAAACTAAAAAGACGGTCATGAAAATCAGAGACTAATCAATTTTGACACTAGTATCAAAACTAGATACTCAAGTAAAGAAAACAAGCATTTAGAATAGAAAAATGCACAAAAAGGACATTTCTGAATCATTTTAGAATGGTCTTGATCTAAATCTCAATTACGACCAAATGAGATGATGTGAATAAATGACTCTTATTTTGAGTTGAAAATCACATTCGAGTGATTTCAATCATTGTTTTATTACATCATATCAAAATAATGTTAGTATCATGACAACACTACTGTAGTTTAAACAGAGCCTTTTAAACACAAACTACACAGCATTTGGACAAACTGCACAAAAATTTAACTTTAACAATTTTGCAATATACCTTTGCAGGGTCTTGGTTTGGTAGTGACTGGAACATTACCGGTATTCAACCTGACTATGGATGGAAACTCACAGGTAAAGATGATATAATAATTGCTTTAGCCTGTAATTGGTGCCTATAGTGACTGTTTTATTATTGTGTTGCTTATTGTATAGAACCAGCTGATCTTAGGCGTGATGGGTGTTGATGTGCATCTGGATGAGATTAAGCGTCTGACACCGCGATATAATGTAAGAGACCACACACAATTACACAATTTCAAATGAGTCTACTGCTGGATAATAAAGTGATGCAATTAAACATTTTACTTTCTTATGTCTCCGTTGTTTTAAAAAGTTGTGCATTATTTGATTAAACAGTGCTTAGCCTAATTTTGCCATGTAGTAATACATTTTGATAAGTAGGGATGGTGATATTGGATGAGCTTACAAATGAAACTGAAAAAATTAATAAACAGATGCAGCGGCAGAACATATTAAATTGACTTTATTACAGACACAAAAGAAGAAACTGACTTACTTTTTGGTTTATTATTTTAAAGGTACACTATGTAACTTTCCTGGTGGAATTCAAGTCACTTATTTGTCTCCAGGGAGATGCCTGCCTGTTCCACAGCATGGCTCATAAAGAATACAGTACAAATATACATTTTTCAAAACACCTCTATTGAATGAATGCAAGATAAGTTAAATGCCATGCTACGGAACATTCAAAGCAAAGCAATAATGTTCACATAGAGACACGGCGTCCCCTGCCAGAAAAGTAACATAGTGCATCGTTAACCTTAGCTTTTAGTAAGGACATTTATAATAGTAGACCTATTTAAGCTATATATGAGAAATAATGTCAACAGGCCTCCAAATCAGTTATTATTGTTTTCTGTTATTTCTGACAGCTGGGAGCAAATGGCTACATATTTGCTATTGATCCAAATGGGTATCTCCTGCTCCACCCCAATCTCCAACCCAAGGTAAGTTATAATCCACATTCTTACTACTTTTCAATTTTAGCAATGATCTGATTTTGTTTGTATCAGCTTGTGAACCTACCTGAGCCTGTTACTTTGGACTTCCTGGATGCTGAAGTAGAGGATAGCAACAAAGAGGAGGTAAAAGCCTGCAACCAACTGTCTAAGAAGATAAATTAAATAAATTAATAAATGGGCTTCAGGCTGTTTGTGTTCTTAGTTTTACTTTGTTTTTTTATAAGGTAATTGACCTATAATTTATATATATTTTTTCTCTATGCAACTTTAAGAAAAGTTATGTAAATTGTGTATTATAATTAATACCAATAGGCCTGTTAAACAGCTTGTGTGTACATGTGACTACATTCATGTTTTCTAGATTCGGAGACAAATGATTGATGGACATCCAGGTGAAATGCAAATCAAAACACTTCTAAAGTCAATTGATGAGGCAAGTCTTAAACTAAGAAATGATTAAAACTCAACTTTGAAGTATGGTCACTAAAACAAGGAAAAACAAAAAATAACGTATTATTGTTGTTGTAGCAATACATTGATGATGTGTACAGGGGCTATACCTGGGCTCCAATTAATGGGACAGATTACAGGTAAGTGAATCAATTTATCGGACCTTTTTAAATAAAGGAAATATTTTAGAATACAAAAAAATGTAATATTTTCTTTGTGTGTGTGTTTTATTTGTTTTCCTGTTCCTGTTGGGATGGCATGCTCTGCAGTTTGGGCTTGGTATTACCGCCTTACAATGAATATTACATCCAAGCCGACCTCAGTGATGTGATGCTGCAGCTTCAATGTAAGAATGCAGTAATAGCAAAGAACACCTATTTTCCGATCTGTTACAATGTTATTTCCTCATCAAAAACATACCTAGAGTTTTGTTTTGTTTCATTCACACATGTTTAACACACAGGTCTTGCATATTTAGGCTGAGTTCTTCTTTCAAACAGAAAGCACTCTGTTCCACTTTGTGATGTCATGTGGTAATACAATAAGCTCTCTATTGAGTTTTTAAGGTCCACACAACTTCACCATAATCATTTGGATAATTTCAGCTCTAAAATTACCAATCTCTACTGAACAAAAGGTAAACGGTAGCTGGTAACTTGAAAACTAGTGCTTCATAACATAACAAGATGAAACAGCATTTTGAGGTTTGGAGATGCAGATAGACTAATAAACCAGGATTAATCAAACATGTGTGATGGAAACAAACACAACTCCGGGTATGTTTTTTGAGGAGGTAACTTTATAACGTGGCTAGAAGCTCACAAGAATCAATTTTGTGTAATGTAGGACCTTTAGCAAATCTCAAAATGTTACACAGAAGTAAAACACTTAAAGACATTATAAATTATATACAACATTATAAAGAGTTGATACAACAATTAATAAGATTCAAAACACATTTCTATACACATAAATGCATTTTCTCCTTGTGTGAACCCTAGACATGCAGTCGCTGCTTCCCAGTTCGTATGAGTCTTCGGGACACGTGTTCTTGGCCCCGAGGTGAGCTTGTACCGCTTCAGCAGTTTGGAGTCACTGCACATTTTCTAAAGCATTTCTTGTGTTTTCAGGGAATACTGCAAACGTCTGCATCTTTCTGATAACAATACACAGTTTCTGCAGAACTTTCTCTCTCTCATCATCGATATCTCTCCTGAGTCAGATGAGTGTGAGTAAAAAAACAACAACAATATATTACTTTGCACTGTTAATTAGCATTATTTGTTATTATGTATTATATTTATATCTATGTGCATGCTACTATAGTATACTGTGTAAATGTATATGCTATACTACACTAGTATATTGTACATCAGTGTTTGGGGGGTTTGTGCTTTTCTTATTATTTTGTTATTAAATTGATGAATGAAGACATAAATTGTCATTGTGTCCTTGGGCAAGACTCTTAACCCACCTCGCCCCTAGTGTCGGTGTACACTGGTGTATGAATGAGTGTGTGAATGGGTGAGTGGTTCCTTGATGTAAAGTGCTTTGAGTTCCATGAAGGTGGAAAAGCACTATATAAAAATGTGACCATTTACTTTTATTATTTTAAAAGAAACTGTGAAACTGTGACAATGGGTGTGTGTTTGGCTTTATCTCAGGCGACCAAGACCTAATCCATAATCTGATCCTTGACTCCCGGATCATTGGGCAACTGGCTTCACGAGTGTGGAAAAACAAAGACCTCACCTCGTATGTTTACATCATTCCGCGACATTACAAAAATACTTAACAGAGCAAATAGCACTTTTTGTTTTTATTGTTGCAGGTATGGATTCCTAGCAGTATTTGCATCCACAGATGGAGGAATAACTCGGGTGTTTCCCAATATGTGAGTGTCAAAAACAGCAAATTACATCTATTACACAATGTTATATTTTGCACAAGTATAGCCTACTGTATGCATTTATCATTATATTTTTATATAGAGAGGTGAGGTGGGTTGAAAATCATTGTGTATAAAAATGATCATGAAATAATTAAACTATGTGTGAAAGTGGCTGTAAAAGAAATAAGAATCTCTTGAGAAAGAAATAATTGTACTACTTGGATTGACAATTAGTTACTAATAACCAGAGATTAGTTTATGTATTTGTTTATTTATCAGGCACTATAGGCACATAAAAACATTGAACTACACAAAGAAGTCATATGTTTGTGCTAGGTTATAGCAAAATTGCTAATTTCCACCTTCAGTCCCTGGACAGGTTGATGTCATAAATGGCGTATATGCCAATAAAATACAATGTATATTCAGTCAATAAGTAAAACTAGTCCTATTCAGTCTTCTTCAATTTCAGTCATTACATCTATCCACTATTTACATATTTACAGTTCATATTGCTGCATTGACACAGGGCAGATTAATGTGTACAGGTTTGTTTGGTTAAAAGCCATTGTTTGGCCAGGCCTGCAAACATTTTATAATTTATACATGATCAAATTTCATGTGGGAGGGTGTTCCAGAGGCTTAAGGCCTCTGTAGGAGAATGATGACTGACCAAATGAGTTTCTGCATCTAATAAAAGATCATTCTAACCAGTTGAAAACAAAAAATCCAAACAAAACCAATTTGGTGGTAATAAAGTCTAATTTTTTAAAAGATAAAAATAACAGTAACCCATCACATATGTTACAGTGCTGCCGACATGTGGGAAGAGGATCCGGAGCCGTTCAATTCAAATTTCTACAGAAGAAGTCTCGACAACAAAGGCTACATGTTCAGAGCCCCGCAGAGATCCTGTGAGTACTTTTGCAGCAAAATAACATTTCAAGTGTGTGTGTATGTATATATATGTATGTGTGTGTGTGTGTGTGTGTGTGTGTATATATGTGTACATATATATATATATATATATATATATATATATATATATATATATATATATATATATATATATATATATATATATATATATATATATATACACGGTGTAGGCTGTGCAAAGAGGCTAATGAGACAGTCCAGCACATAACTGCGGGGTGTAAGATGCTGGCAGGGAAAGCATACATGGAGCGACATAACCAAGGGGTGGGCATAGTGTACAGAAACATTTGTGCAGAGTACGGGCTGGAGACCCCAGGATCAAGGTGGGAAACACCTCCAAAGGTTGTGGAGAACGACCAAGCCAAGATCCTGTGGGACTTCCAGATACAGACGTACAGGATGCTGATGGCAAACCAACCAGACATGGTGGTGGATAAGAAACAGAGCAGACCCATGGTGGTGGACATCGCAATATCAGGAAAAAGGAACACGAGAAACTAGAGAAATACCAGGGGCTCAAGGAGGAGCTGGAGAGAGCCTGGAAATTGAAGGCATCAGTGGTGCCTGTGGTGATCGGGGCACTTGGGGCTGTAACCCCCAAACTGGTAGAGTAGCTACAACAGATACCAGGAAAAACAATGGACATCTCAGTCCAGAAAAGTGCAGTACTGGGGACAGCAAAGATACTGCACAGAACTCTCAAACTCCCAGGCCTCTGGTAGAGGACCCGAGCTGAATGTGGGTGAGAGAGACCTACCACTGTGGAAGTATATATATATATAGTGTATATATATATATATATATATATACACACACACACACACACACACACACACATATATATATATATATATATATATATATATATATATATATATATATATTAGGGGTGTCAAATTATCGCGTTAATTGCGATTAATTAATTACAGTCATATTTAGCGCGTTATGTTTTTTAATCGCGTTAATCTCTAACTTTAGTGTTTCTGTATGTGAGTTTCTTTATTATAAAACCTGTTTTTATGTGTTGTTGGGACAACAACACACACACACAAAACACATTTATACATTTTTTTATTTCGGTAATTCCACTCATTGCCGGAAAGCCACACAAAACAGGCGCAGTAACAGCGTAAGTAAACGTAATGTTAACGTTGGCTGCATCAGTCGCACAATGGACGAGGTCGAAGAGCCAGTAGAACAGAGTCAGCAGCGCACAGGTAAAAACACATTCGTGTCTTGGAAATTATTGTCCCGACGTGAAATATAAAAGAAAATAACAAATATAATATCGCCTGAAAACAACCTGCACATGAGGGGACACGCACACAAACACACACAAATAAACACAAACACAAATACACACAAACACAAACACACACCTTCATCATCGTCATTAACCTGAGAACGCGCGGACCACGTTTCCTTCCGTAGACACTGCGCGGACACCGACGTGCTCCCGTGAGCCGCGTGTGGGTCGTGTTTTCTCGCGTACGCGGCGTAAACCGCGCTTCCTCCTGTGCGTCTCTAAACCAGGACTAAACCAGGACTAAATCAGAACTAAAACCAGGTCTAAACCAGGTCTAAACCAGGACTAAACCAGGACTAAACCAGGACTAAACCAGGTCTAAACCAGGACTAAACCAGGACTAACACCAGGACTAACACCAGGACTAAACCAGGTCTAAACCAGGACTAAACCAGAACTAACACCAGGACTAAAACCAGGATTAATCCATTCCAGGACTAAACTAGGACTAAAGTAGGTCTAAACCAGGTCTAAACCAGGACTAAAACCAGGTCTAAACCAGGACTAACACCAGGACTAAAACCAGGATTAATCCATTCCAGGACTAAACTAGTCAAGTCAAGTCATTTTATTTATATAGCACATTTAAAAACAACCATAACAAGTTGCACCAAAGTGCTTTACAGCGTGAAACACAACATAATGAAAACACTAACACAAATATAAAATATTACATAGACGAGTTACTTGATGCATAAAAATAATAGTTTAAAATAGAGCTCATGGGCTGTTAAATGCCATCTTGAAAAAATGTGTTTTTAGGAGGGTTTTAAAGTCAGATAGGGAGGAGCAAGATCTCAGGGGAAGAGAGAGGGAATTCCAAAGCTTGGGGGCAACAACAGAGAAGGCTCGGCCTCCCCTGGTTTTGAGGCGGGATGGTGGGATGGACAGAAGGTTGAGCGAGTTTGACCTGAGAGACCGAGAGGCTGTGTGGGGGGTTAAAAGATCAGTGATGTATTGTGGCGCAAGTGAGTTAAGTGATTTAAAAACAAATAATAAAATTTTAAAATCAATTCTGTATTTAACAGGTAACCAGTGGAGTTGGGCTAGGATGGGTGTAATATGGTCTCTCTTTTTGGAACCGGTGAGCGTCTGGCAGCAGCATTTTGAATTAACTGTAACCTGTTGATGGAGGATTGTGGGAGGCCTGAATATAGTGCATTACAAGTTTAGTCCAGTCTATTTGTTACAAAGGCGTGAATGATTGTTTCAAGGTTAGGTTGAATGATAGGATTGGTTTTAAATTTCGCAATTTGTCTGAGTTAAAGAAAAAAAGCTAGTTTTAACAACATTTGCGATCTGTTTGTCAAAGTTTAAAAGAGAGTCCATAAAAAAACACCAAGGTTCTTTGCTGAACTTCGTGCAAATTTGTAGGCTAAAAGAGGTCTCAGGACTAAAACCAGGTCAGACTGTGAGTAGGTTATTATGTTCAGATTTCCTCGTTTACAACAAACAGTTTTGGGCTCCAAATAATGGATAAACATTCAGATCTCATAATTAATTAATTACAGTTTTTAGCATAGTAATAGACAAGTATCCGTACGGATAGGATAGAATAAGCATAGGATAAGATACGGATGGATACAATGGGGAAAAACAACTGACATCTCAGTCCAGGAAAGTGCAGTACTAGGAACAGCAAAGATACTGCGCAGAACTCTCAGGCTGCCAGGCCTCTGGTAGAGGACCCGAGCTGGATGAGGGTGAGAGAGACCAACCACCGTGGAAGGTGAGAAACACATTTATATATAAAATAATGCAATGTTCCTCAACAGCTTTAGACGACATAATCGGTGGAGAAAATGGCACTGTTGGTATCCTGGTTAGCTCGGCCGTTGAGGTTAATTTGGGAGGGAAAATTCTCAAGCCTGCAGGTAGGAGAACTGAAATTATAATTGTATTGTAATTGTATTATAATTGTGATATTTTTTTCCCTAAAACTAACACTAAGAATGTCTTTAGTGGTGGGAGTGAAATTGGACCTGGAAGCCTGGGTGGATAAGTTCAAGATCTTAGCCAGTAATGTGTCTGATGGACGGCAAGGTTCACACAAGGTACAAAACAATATTTTAAAAAATTACTATTGATGCTTTGAGTTTCCCTAGAGCCAAATATGACTCTGGTCCCTAATGTTGCAGTGTGGACCATCCAGGATCTGTGAAATGGACTGTGAAGCCAACACAGATGTAAGAATAATTTTACTAGACAAATTAGTAGTAATAATAAGTCGATTTACAATTATATTGAAATGGCATTAACATCATATTATCGAATATTGCCACCAAAGCAGACAAGCAAGTGGCTGAACCCCCATCAGAAATTACTGTAACACATTCAAATACTATTCAATATTTCTATTCGAGATATATATAATAATTGCAGCACAATGCACAGAGTGACCTTAATATCTGTTAACATGGAGTGTTCATCGGTCTTTGTCTTTAGGATCTCCTCTGTTATCTCATTGATGATGGTGGCTTTCTGGTCATGTCAAATCAGAGAGACCACTGGAAAAAGGTCAGTCTGTTAAGCCCATGTCTATCCACCAGGAGGTGCTGTTTCAACATTGCACACTTCATACTATTGTCTTTATTAATCTCAGATGGGGCTTTTCTTTGGAGACGTGGACCCTTATTTGATGTATGCTCTGTTCAACAACTCCATCTACTTTCGGAGGCAGTCGTTTCAGTATCAGTCTGCCTGTGAGCCTATCAGCAGCAGTCACACGGGGGCAGCACCGAGGAGATTTTTTGTGGTGAGATTCAATAGCCTTTTGATTTGACATGGCATTATCATCACCCCCAATAATAGTGCTCATGATGTTACTGGACAAGACCTCATTAAAACACTGCCCATCCCTTGAACCAGCTAATATAGACCACTGGGACACTGCTATGAAATGCTTTCACCAATAGACATCAAAACCTACTAACAGGTGTAACGATCAGGAGTGAGAGAGACACAATATAAGCAAATACATACTTTATTATAAACACATTGAAACACATTTGGTTCATACATTTTACTGGCTGCATACAAGATTATTTTCATGATTTAGATTTTTGTACCGCAATGTACAATGTACTCTGCAACACTTTGGCACAAAATTATACAGCTAAAACACAACTAAGGAATACTAAGAAAAACACAATTTTAAATTAGTAGTAGTATTATTTTTAAGTAATCTTCAACAAAAAATAATTGTTGTTTCTTACAACGTGGTCCTATATTAGTTCTGATAAAGATTCATTATTTTTCTTCAGTATCAAGACTTGTTCAAATTAGTTTTTATTTTTGTCACTGGTTTCCATATTGATTAGTATTTGAATATCATTCATTTTGATTCATTTTGTCTTGGTGTACTTTCAGTGGTTATTGCCTAATCTATTTGTGCCTATTTAGCTCATGTATTCTTTACCGTGTGTTTTCTTTGCAGCCGTCCATAGCTGACCTCCTGAGCTTGGCCTGGTGGACCTCCACAGTGGCATGGTGAGACTGTGTAACATTCAAATCATATGATCACAGCAGCTCCAAGTGCTCCTCACAGCAATCTCAACTGTGTTCAAACTGTGCACATGACTCAGGCATCTGCTCCTCTCCTTCCCTTTTATTACAGTCCAGTGCTCTGCCACGTTTTTCTTTTATTGATATATCCAAGATGTATTTTCTTCATAATGATGCAATGCTTTTTTTTAGGTCTGTGATACAGCAGCTCCTATATGGACTGGCATACAACAGCTGGCTTTATCAAGGTAAAATATATTTTGGTAATGGTTAAATATTTTTTAAGATTCCTATAGTGCTCAAATTTGTTCACAGTTACAGCTTAACAAGGAGTACACAATTATTATACTAATTTGAAACATGGGCTAAACCAAAATGGAATTCAGTGTGATTCTACAAAACACAGGTCTAATGTAAACATGGCTGTCTTGTAGATGACTTGCTGGTGGATGGTTTTGAGGCAAAGACAAGCAGCTGTGTGACCATCCAGAGTCAGTTCTACTTCACCAACACAACCAACATGTACAACGTGCTGCAGGACTGTGGCAACTGCTCCCGGTGTGTACTGCTGTCTTTGAGCAGTCCTCTAGTTCAGAGATTAATATATTATGCAATTACAGTAAAACTGCATTATCTACACCTACAGTTTAAAAAAATAAAAATAAAAATAGATAAATTTCTATGTCACACCATGGAACATCTGAAGAAAAGCAATTATATCTCCATGGAGACAGACCCCGTTCCAGAAAAGTTACTTATTGCACTTTTATTTCAGTGTTTAGTTTTAGTTTATCAATTGGGTAATATGATGTTCCTTACTGACCTCTAGTGGTTGTAGCTAATATCTTTGCAGGTATACTGATTGGACATCTTTTCTTCATTGACCCATTACTCAGCAAAAATAACTTTATTTTCAAGTATGCCTTTAAAATCCTTGTTGTATTAGTATTGATTTCTATCTGGTTGCAGGTTGATCCATGCGAAGAGAATAGAAAACACCAACCTATTGTTCGTAGTGGCGGAGACTCTGCCGTGTACGTCATGTGAGATCGAGAGGTTAACCCAGGTCCGCACCGAGTGTATCCTTCAAACTCAGGATTTATGTTTTTCATTGAGCTCATATGTGCTGACAATGGACAGATCATCCATCACGTTGACAGTTTCTTAGACATCATCCCTAACTCAATGTGAACAGTTCGGGAGGAAAATCCATGTGAAGTCCTAAGCAACGCACGATATCGGAAAGGCCCCACATCCTGCTTTGACTACAGTGCCTTAGTAAGTGCAATGAAAATGTGCTGACTCAATGCAATCTGATTTGATCATAGCATAGTAGCATTATTTTTAAGACAATTTTGCTCTCCTGGTCACCAGCAATAAACCCCAAAAACAATTGTATATTATTTGATAAATGTCACAGTTTTCATACTTGTTTTCATTAAACTTAAGAAAATAATTTTGTTGTTGCAGGAAAACACATCTGAGTGTGGAAGGGGCCATTTTCTGAGACCCTCTGTTGGACTGCTGGCTCCACTCACTCTGCCTCTCCTCTATCTCAGACTATAACCAACCTGTCATTCTACACAAGGCTCAGATCTACTCATCAACTCAAAGGAATTTTTAACATTTTTGAAAAAGCTCAGTTGTGTTTTAATAGTAAATTTGCCTTATTGCTTTTGTATTGGCCTGGAGTGAGTGTTGAAGCATGAACTTCTATTGAAGGTATCATTTAATGAAGCTTTGATGCATTGAGAGGTAATTTTTTTGCCTATAGATTTTACTGGACGTGACAGCTGTACACAATGAAATGGGGTAAGGAGTGGGCATAAACTTCAAAGTGCCCAAAATATGTATTGCAGCCCAAAACTCTAGGCCTGTGGTTCCCTACCATTTTCTCAATGGCTCCCATTCACCAGTAGATATTACATAATAATAATAATAATAATAATAATAATAATAATAATAATAATAATAATAATAATGGATTATAAATAATCACCATTAAATTAAAAACTCAATTATCATTAAATGTCATTATTTCCTTAAAATTCAAGCTATCTAGTATGGACTCCTAAGTTGGGAATCACAGCTCTTGGGTATTGTGCAGCACAGATTAGATCTTTTTGAAATGGATGAGCACAATGCTTGGTACCAGAGGTGTGGAAAAGTCACTAAATTTGTTTGCATGTTTTTCAAAATGCTGCTTTTTAACTTTTGTTGAATTATTTGCATTCCTTTTTATTTTTACATCTGCTTTCTCCCCTTGAAGCTTTGCACCACAGTAGATCTGGGCCTTAACATTTTCCTCAGTGTCCTTTCATCTGCGTGTGACCTTTGCCAGTGCTGTGAAGTCTGTTTGACACAACACAACCCTGATTCTATCAAATGTAGGCTTCCTCTAACAGTGATCCCAATTAAACAAATGTTCCCAGAGCACTTTGATGAAAAATCATGGTTTAAAATGCCAATATTTGACCTTAAGCAAGATTCGTGAGACATATCAGTGTCAAAACCTAGTTTTGTTAGTTTTAGAGAAATTACTCTTTTAAATTTGAAAAATGCTTCCATAGAGACTTGCTTTGGTCTTCCGCATTTCCAATGTTATTAAATATTTAGTTGCATATGAGGCTTTACGCAACAAGTCAGTGTGTTTGTGAAATACAGCTATTTTTGAGTAATAACAATAATTGATTGTAATTGTAGAAGTATTCTAACATCTGCAAAGGCCAAGTCAGTGTAAGGCCAAATTAGAGTAGGTTTGCAAAGACAGAAAACAACTAGATGTTTGTTTTTTCACTGAATCTTAAATTTATTTTCAAGAACAATGAGCATTAACATTGTTTTCTCTCTCTGCAGTAAAACTTCTATTACTCCTATTCTGTATGTAATATACTTTGTCACTGGAAAGCCCTCTGTCCTTGTTTGTATCAGCCCTATTTGAATAATGCACATAATATGTATGCCTGTGTATGAGGAATGTAGCTTCTGGACAGCTTCAGTGTTACCAATGCATTTGTTACTAATATGTGATTCTATGACGTCTGTGGACACAACTGTCTATTTGAACCTGTTGAATCACTGTGGGGGGTGTGTTACCTTTCTAATGCATATCTCTCCTATAAAGAAATGCATAAAAACATTCCAGAGAATACACAATAATCTCTAAGAATGCAGCACATATTCTAATTGTTAACAATATTAAATAAGACATATTATGAAAAATGTACTTTTATGAGCTTCTTAACCTTGTGGCTTTCTTCTTCTTTTCTTTTCTCAGAGATGTATTTAGGCCTTTATTTACTTGAGATGACTAAGAAAATAGGATTCAAATATGTTGCATAGCCATTTTTCAAAACTAAAAAAATAGCTGCTTACTATGCTTACTACAGTAAAATGGCAGCAATAAAGCGGGGCCTCTCATTTCTGTAGTATTGAACAGAAAATCAAGGGTCCCATTTATGTAAAAAAAAAAATATGTATATATATATATATATATATATATATATATATATATATATATATATATATATATATATATATATATATATATATATATATATATATATATATATATATGTGTGTGTGTGTTTCTCAAAAGATATGCCTTTCTTGTTTTTTTTTTAAACATACCCAAATACTAGTTGATCTAAAAGGTTATGCACAATATGATTGCATCTTCCTACAGTGATTTAACATCCCTGATGTCATTTTCCTTTGAGGTTAATCTGCAGACAGAAGTGTATAATATTTTGAAATGCTATTTTTAGAAAATCTTTGTAAAAAGCAGTTTTTCTCCATCTGCCTGGTGTCCAGCAGTGCCTTGTTGCACTCATTATAAAGGCATGAACACTGGGGCCAAAACAAAGACTCTTAACAGACTGAAGTCTATGGTCAGACTGAAGAAAGCTGCTCAACTAATGGACAAAAACAGATGAACTTGAAGTCCTCAGAGCACTGCCTTTTCTTCACAGTTACATTTGAACCCTGCTCCTCTGCTTTGTGCTGTTTGTCTCACACTGTGGCTGGGCCTGATCAAAGCACTTATGTCCATCTGCATCAGTCAACAGCACACATGGACACCATTATGTATCTGAATCATTTCCTACAGGATTGACTGAATGTTGTGCATCTTTATGAAGCATGATAGTGACTCCGGATCACCTGGAAGACCTCAGTGTGAACTTACTGGAAGCCAATTACATAATATTGGGCTTTGATAAACTGTTTACTAGCCACAAATGCTGAGGTCAAAGTCATTCTTGGAGTAGTTAGGTTTGAAGCAACAATTTATTTGCATGGTATTTTACAGATAAATGTACATAGGCTATCGTTTACATTCCCTTCACATCGTACATGTCTCTCCAGGACTCTAGAAGGAGAGAAGTATGGTGGCCCAAAAGGACAAAAGGAGAGACTTAAAATCAAGTGGGGAGTTTGACTTCAATGAAGCCTTTTGAAAGTGTATTTTAGGTTTTGCTGCAAGAAAAGCACAGAGATGTTAGTTATAAGCAACATACTGCCTGAATAATCTCCATTGTATGAAAAATATAGGAGTGGAAACAGTTTATGCATTTGAACACTGACCAACAGTAGGCCTATGGCACTGGCATGTAATTGGTTGGCTTTGTTTTGATGATTGTTTAATTAAAGTCTTATGATATTACTTCATAAAATTGAGTTATTTCTATGTATTTCTTTCAGTGTTGTAAATACTTCTTCTAACAGAAAGAAAGTGAATGTGTTTGAAGCATAACTGGGCACAGTTTACAGTTTACAACAAAAACTAAAATGCTAAAGCTTATATGCCTGTCTTTTTATTGGGTCTAAATAATGTTTTGGCTGTAATTTTGCTTTTATTTTCGCTGATGTTGTTACTCTGGGCAGTTTCCTCTCTTTGTGCCAGTCAATGCCACCTCATTTTTGTACAGATGACATGAAGCTGTTAGCAGAAGAAGGCTAACTTTGTAAAGATTTTGTCAGTCACATTCAAAATGGATATTTAAATGTTTATATCTTTGGTGATTAAATTCTATTCATATTTTTCACTTCAGCTTTGGATCATTATTTCTGTATACACTTGCTCTGTATCAAGTGAATTTGATATAGGATTTACTTTCAGTTTCTTTTATAAAATATTAAAATAATAAAATAATATAAAATATAAGAAAAACTTGTCAATATAAGCAATCATTAAAGTTTATATATTTATTTCTCACAGCAAATGTGTTCTGGATGATGGTCAGCAGGACAGACTGAAACTATAATGGATGTTTGTCTTTTGTTCCGGGTTAGAAATTCATTGTAGCTTTATATTCAAGTGTTATATTCAAAATGCAGGAGCAGAAATTACAGATATAGACAAATGTGCACAATGTAACTTTTCTGAGGGGAGCATATCACCAGCTTGTTTCCATGGAAATTGTATTACTGTACATGGCATGTTCCATAGTGTGACATTAAACTTGTCTATAGTTTTTGCCATACTGTGTAACATTCCAGGCAATGCAGTAACATCTTTTTGGAGACAAGCAAGAGGTGAACCATCCACCACCAAAAAGTAGCATAGTGCACCTTTAGAATCTATTATTACTTTTAACTTTTAACCTTGTTGCTTTCCATTACTGTCAGTGTCAGTTTTTAACTCCCCCATTCATCGCTCTGCTGAACATATCGTATGTGAAAGTCACATTTTCCTACATATCCATCATCATTAGACTACAGCATAATAATGAGACACCCATCTATTTATACAGTGTTTCTGTAGCCCCCACACCCTTGTTGCTAAATCTGACACATACTGCCACCTATCAGCCCTATGCTATTCATGTAAACCAAGTGTCCATTATCTAATGCTAGGAGACTGTGCTACTGACTGAGCCAGCTGTCAAAGGATTAAAATGTGAATTTTGGGCAGATTGACAAGGGGCAGAGGAGGGTCTGGAGTTATCCATAGTACCCGTGTTCATTTGTTAGCTATGTCACTCAATACAATATCAAACAGTGGCAGAGTTCCACATAGGAAAGACGATAGGTGCATGACTACTTTTAAAAGTCGCTCAAATCTCTGGAGGGGGTTATGGGATGTTTTGGATCCCCTGAAACCACCCCCAGCTGCTCCTTTTGGGTTACGAGATACAATGTCCCATCCAGCAGGGCATTGTGCCTTGTTATGTGGCTTAGAGAGAGTTTGACTGATCTGATTTAGCTGTGATATCACTGGAAATATGTTTGGCACAGCTCTTTGCACTGTTATAATGTGTGATTATAAAGTTTATCTAGTAGGACCCCACGGTTTCACCCCTCACTAGTTGACAATAGCAGACACAGGACAGACAATGAAGTGGAGACTGAGGCATATACTGCATGAGGGTCTCTGCTTTACTTGATTCTTTTAAGAGTGTATGTAAGTATTTCAATTTAATATATTAATATTTTTCCATAGAATAATGTTTTGAGTTTAGCAATTAGTTAAAATTTAAAATATATTTTTTAGGATTATTTGTTATATTGTTTATCATGTTTGACTGTGTGAACTTGCATTGAGGCACTATTCACTACAGTTAGGCACAAACTCTTACTCAAGGATGAAGATACATGTTTTCTGAGCATGATAAAAACATTCAGAAGGGAGTTAAAATGCATAAGTCATAATAATTACTATAACTGTTGATAGTTTAAAAAACAGAACTGCCCAACAAAAGTGTCATTCAAGAGGCCACAGAGCCAACAGGTGCAGTGAGATTAGAGTGACTAAGCAGCTGTCACTGGGTACCCGAAGAGGAAATATCAAGTAATTAGATTTTAAATTTATCCTAATTCACTTTAAAGATTAGACAATTTATTTGTCTTTGTTGTCGGAAAGTGGTGCTGAGCTATACATATTCCTTCTTGTACATGTGTATGCTTTATTTTTAGCTGTATTTTAATGTACCATTGTCATCACAGATTACTACTGTTGTTGGAGTTTGCTAAATCTTGGAAGATAGAAATCATTCAATTTAAATAATTTGGACAAAAGGAGGATAACAACAGACTGGCCAAAAGCTTTTATTGAAATAGTTCTACAATGTTACGAGATGTGCAAACCTAAGCCATATTGTATGATCTTAATTTGTGTCTCTCACTGCAGTCTATTCTTCAGCCTCCTTAGCCTGAAACAAGGATAAAGACAACAAATTTTAGTAGAATGAACCTTTTAATGTCTTTGCCTTAATCCAACTGAATGTGTTTCTTTACCTTTCCAACCTCACGGCTCTTGGCTCTGAGCTTGTTGACCTGAGATTCTGCGATGTCCGCACGCTCCTGAGCCTCCTCCAGCTCATGCTGCACCTTCCTCAGACGGGATAGGTGAGTGTTCGCCTGCTCCTCCTGCATGGACCCAAACAAAACAATGTGTGATCATGACCTTAAGACACACCAAAGTTAATAGTCATCAAAGTTTATACTCACAGCTTCTTCAGATTGTCTCTTGTATGCTTTGACTTTCAGTTGCAGTTTATCCACCAGATCCTGCAGCCGATTAATATTTTTCTTATCTTCCTCAGTCTACAATTTGAGAATCACAGTTAGAAGATATTTCCTCAGGCTCTGCTATAGGGTAAATCAAATATACATTATGCCCTGTACCTGATAGCTGAGCTCTTTCACTCTCCTCTCATATTTACGAACACCTTTGACAGCTTCAGCCCCTCTTCTTTGCTCACTATCAACTTCCGCCTCCAGCTCACGCACCTAAATAAAAAGTATTTATTTTCACTGAATGCATTAAATGTCTGACTTTGTATATAAAAACAATGTATTTTTACCCTAGTCTCCAGTTTCTGGAGCTGCTTCTTGCCACCCTTCATGGCCAGGTTCTCAGCCTCGTCCAGACGGTGCTGCAGGTCCTTCACAGTCACTTCCAGATTCTTCTTCATCCTCTCCAGATGAGCACTGGTGTCCTGCTCCTTCTTCAGCTCCTCTGCCATCATGGCAGCCTGCAATTCAGCAGTCATTAACATGGTTTCACTAAGGTGAGTCTTTATAAAGATTTTTTTACACTCACATCGGTGATGGCTTTTTTGGCCTTGTCCTCTGCATTTCTAGATTCCTGGACTGCATCTTCTACTTCTCCTTGAATCTGGATTAGATCTGCCTCCAACTTCTTCTTTGTGTTGATCAGACTGGTGTTCTAAAGAGCAAATAGCTTACATTTATACTTTCAAATTTACAGTGTATATAATATTTTATAAAAAAAATTTACCTGAGAATGGAGGAGCCCCACACGCTCACTGGCATCTGCCAATTCTTGTTCAGCTACTTTGCGGCTTCTCTCAGTCTGCTCCAGAGCAGCTCTCAGTTCCTCAATCTCTGCCAACATCAGGTTGTTTCTGCGCTCCACCATGGCCACTTGCTCCCTCATTTCATCTTGACCCCTGAGAGCCTCATCAAGGTGC